TATGGAAAGGTTATTATGAAATTTTTGTAGCAAAGATAAAAAAATAAATTTATATTACATGTGCTTTAGATATAAAGATTGAAAGGATGATGTAAAATTAAAAAAATTATGTGTATTGAAGATAAAAGTTTTAATAGGGAACAATAATCTTTGGGAATCAGAATAGTAAATCAATGGATAGAAAGAGATAGTGTAAAATGAAGAGAAAAATTAAGATATACTAAAGTAATAAGATAAATTATACTATAATAAATTGAATACCAACAGAATATCAATGAAGATATTTAATGCCATATATGAAGAATAACCCAAAGAATAGTTTCCATTATACAGTATTTAATTAGATGGTATGGATAGGGAGAAAGTGGTTAAAAAAATTAGATAAGATAAATCAGTGGATAATAGCTCTGTTAGAGTTTATAAAAAATTGTGTAGCAAATATTAACTGAGATATAAAGTACTTGTCAAATAAGATCAGATAAATGGTAAATTATATTAGAGGATTCTTTCGAAAGAAAAGAGTTATTCGTTAAAAGATGATGATTTATGGTGTTAGAAAGTTATATTTTTGCTTTTTTGACTAATAAAATTAAAAAAGAATTAGGAAATAAACTATGAAGAATTTTATGAAAAAAACCAAGAATCAATATCCATATTTGAAAGAAGGAAAATAATTAAACTAAAATTAAAAAGTTATTTTAAAACTAGCTGTCAGCTCAGATCTAATATAAAATGCCATTCTCTTATTTCTAAAATTGATAAGAAAAGCCTATTAGTCTGAATATTATTAAGTTGAAAAATAATGTAAAAATTGAAAGAATCAAAGTTTATTTTGTTATTGAGAATACAGAATAGTTTCAATCAGAATATGAAATAACGATTGAAGAAGTATATAATAGTGTGGATATGAATATTAGAGGTATTTGAAATAGCATATAAATTGATAGGTTAAAACTCAAAGATTCATTTATGGGACACAGCAGGAGATGAGAAATTTATATTTCTAATTTCATAATATTATAGAAATGTAATGCACCTATCATTGTGTATGATATTATACAAAGTGAAACCTTTTTATTTGTTTCAACTTGACTCAAAGAATTAGAAGAAAAAATCAAAAAGGATGGTAAGAATAACTTACATAATTGAGTGATTACCCTGGCTTTGATAGGCAATTTATACAATTGGTTAGAATCTTAAAGAAAAAGTCCCAAAGTCTAAAACTTCTGATTTTGCAAAGAACAATGGTATGATATTGTATGAAATATCCGCAAAAACAGGAAAGGTGTTAATAATTTATTTTAGTAATTAATTGAGACATATGTTGAGAGAAAATAAATATGTGAATATTAATCTTAAATATAATTTGCATTCCTACTCAATATTAAATCTCCATAAATTACATTCTCAATTCTATTATTAAATCACTAAACAACTAAAGATACATCTTCATTCTATGATCACCAAAAATTTTGCTCACATTAATTTTATTATTCGTAGTACTATTAATTAAAAGATGTAGCAATTTAAAAAAGAAGATGGCTCAAAGTTCTTCCATTCATTTATTCACACTATGCTGAATATTAATGAATAATTTTACTGCTATCAATCTATCAAAATATTGCTTTTTATAGTTAGCATGAGCTAAAATCTACTTTATCTTTATTTCCCAAGCTACGAGAGTTTTTAGGACAATGCTAATATAACTAGCACAAACTTAAAGATACTCTATTTCCTAAGACCAGAGCTGATATTACTTAAATATCTTCCTGAAAAGATGTTAGATGCCACTCCGTTCATAATCGTTTTGTAAATACTAATCATCAAATTTATGGTTTATCTTAATATTAATAATCATCATCAAAGATTTGTGAAAAAATGGAATCAATCAACTCCATTAAGAATAATACTGATTAATGTAATATCCTTTTATTAGCACCTGTTTAATGCTGTACTTCATTAACCTCTACAGTCAATTGTTATATGCATTATAAGTTAAACTTTGAAATAAATTTTAAATTTTAATACTAATTATATTGCATTATTAATTTTTGCAATACTGATATTCATACTTATAGAAGTAGAATCAATGTCTTTAATTTTTATTTGCAAACAATCAACTACTTTGTAGTTCATAGCTTTTGAAAAATTTCTTATCTCAAAAATAGATCTACTTATTTATGCTTTATAGCTTATATAAATAGTTGTCTTTGGAATCGCCTCTATAAATATTATAGTAGAATATTTTTAACAGATTTTTACTCTTATTATTGCAATATTAAACATTTTTAATCAATTACTATCTTAAGGATTTATTTTTAAATATTAAAGATATCTTCTTTACATAATTAACTCTTTTTTAATTATATATTCTTTATTCAAATTTATTGATCTTATGAATAATGTATTATTAATTTTACCTTTGTTAATAAGTTTGATCATCTATGCTGATTCATAATAATAACTAAATAGTATATATTCTTTATTCATTTAAAACACTCCCACTTTAACTTTATACGTCTATCACCTCTTAAAAATATGTAATAATTGCCATTAAATTGAGATTCCATATTTTTAAACCCTTTTCATTTGGAATCAACATAAATTCAAATGTAAAGATATAGGTTGCCTATGTAAATAATCAATTTAATTTGTTCTGGATCCTAAATAAACAATAATCATCACTGAACCAATTTTTAAGACTTTCATTTACAGAAAAATTAATCATATTAAAAAAATAATCTACTCTGATAAATAAATTGAAAAAAATGATGTTGCCTTTTATCAAATTGTCTAAAATACTTTATATATCAGATAGGGTTTCATGATGATGGCAATCAAAAATTTTAATAAGATTTTAATTAAATTTGATGATTAACCAAAAGATAGAATAATTGATTAACCAATGACTTAAATATTTTCAAGAAGAAGGACTAAGAGCCAGGTTGATACCTAAATTTAAGGAATTATTAATATCTAATAATAAAAAGATGAAAAATTTGAAAAAATTAGTAAGAATTTTTAAATTTCTAGTCTTGAATTAATAAAAGTATAATACAGAATCAAATAAGCCTAAATATAATTAAATGAAAACTTTAGTTCACATGTTTGCAGTCCATAAGAATATAAAATGTCAAATTTTATTTATGATTATTTAAATAATGAATTTGATCTCAATGAAATGACATCAAAATTTATTAATTTAGTAAAAATGAAAATTGAATTTTATTAATAATTGCTAAATTCAGAATATTTAAATGGAAATTAAATATTTCTTTCAATGAAGAAATTCTCAAAAAATGTCTAATATTTAGAGAAATTACTACTAAGTAAATATTTAGCATATCCAAGTGCCAAATTGCGGTCTTTAATATTATTTTTTTACTCAGAAATTTATAATAATTATTTAAAGGCTTAAAACTTTAAAAAAAAAAATAATATTTAACAACACAAATTTATTCATAGAAATTAATCTATTGACTTTTATTCAGATAAAATTGGATATGTTTTGCTCTAATTGTAGGACGATTTATAAAATTTAAAAATAAAATCATTTTCAAACAATTTTATAAAAATAATTGGTAAATAAAATGGGGATGATTAATTACATTTCTACCAAATTTTGCCTGAATTTATAAAGGATGCACATCCAATTTTAGTTTAAAGGTTTATTTAAAGTGGCATTGCACGGTTTTACAGAAATTTAAGTTTAACATTTATCTAATAAGATAATGGACTTGCTAAATAAATGGAATAAAGTTTTGATACAATCGCTTTGATGAATGATAATAAAGTTATTTTTAGTGCAATTATTTAAGATGTTATAGATTAGAAAGCTTATTTGTTAGTTAATGTTAATGGTCTTCTTTCAGGGATGACATTTATGTGTTTAAAAAAGCTTGGATTTACTTCCTAAGAAATCTCAAGTGTAAATAGTTTCTATTCATTTTATGAAATAGAAATAAATTAAATAGTTCCTAATTTTAGACAACTAATTGAAACTGATTTTTAAGAATAAAAGTTTGATAATATAAAATTTTTATTTTTCGACATCACTTGCTATTCTAAAGATATTGTTCATAAATAATCTTTAAGGGAATCAAAATTTTGTAAAATTTGGTAAGATAATTAATTCGTAAAAGAATATTTAGTGAATTTATTTATTATGAAAAGGAATGTATTTGGATTTTTCTATTATATTATTGAAATTGAATCAGCTTATTAAATTGATTGTTCTTAATAAAATAGAAATCCTGAAACAATTAAATTATCAAAAAGTAATTCTGAATCAGGTAACTTTGATGTTGCTTCATTAATTCTTTCTCTTGAAGACAATTTCTCAGAGAGAAAAGCTAATTTATCGAAATAGTAAACAATAATTTAAACAAATTAAGTTACAAAACATTTAGAATTTTAAAGAAATTTTTAACCTGAAATATTGTCACCTAAAGGAAATAGCAAATCAAATTTAATAGAAAAAAATCCATAAACAATTTATTCTTTACAAAGAAATTATAGGTAATATTAACAAGATTTTTTTTGTTAATAGCCTTTAGAGTATTTAGCTGAACATTCTAGTTAAGAAATGAAATCATAAAATTAGAACTAATTTGATGTCGTTTATGACATGAATTCAGAATCAAGTATAAATTCTATTAAGAAACCTTCTTTTATTTAGAGACTTGAAACAATAGAACGATTCTCTTCAAATTTTAATTTTTAGTAATAAAAAATCCTATTATTTTTCCTTATGTTAACTCTGAGTATATATTTTATTTTTAGTGTATTGATACTATTACTCTTAAATACGGATCTTGAAAGCAAAATTTAAGATGTTGAAATGCTTTCTTTTTAAGCTAATATAATTGCACCTTATGATAGATATTTGGGTATCAGAGCTTAAATTTATTATTATTAAAGCCTATATAGTTCTTAGAAAATAAGTATTTAGGAATAAAGAGATTTAGTAGAACCACTTTATTCAATCATAGGAGTTTGTTATAACGAACTAAAAATAAATTCATTCTAATCTTTATCTGAAAAAAAATTAAAAGAATTTTTTGAGGATCTATATACAAATGCCTTCTTTATGGGAACAACAGATAATATTATTTATTCAAAAAATATTACATTTAGAGAATTTATACATCAATTATTGAATTATTAATACGATTATAAAATAATATTTGATAAGAGAATTCCAACTAAGGGTTGTCCATGTTAAGTTTTTCAATTTTCAAATTATTTTAATCTTTAAGAGAATTTAGAATAAATGTCTCAAAAGATTTTGTAATTTTCAAATACAAAATCTTAATAAATATCTGATAAATGGATAAAAATCTATATAGCTTATTTAGTTCTTTGTTCCCTTTTATGCTTTTTGATTTATTGGCTTAGATCATAACTTAATGTTTAAATCTATACAATAATGGAATTAGTAACACATATTTAAGAACAAAGTCTATAAAGAGAAATTGAGAATCAAAAGGCGTTGTTATTAAATATTTCATAGAAATAAGATTTAACATCTTTAGATTATCCAGAAAAATAGTGTTATGATATATAAGAAATGAATGTCTAAAAAGAAAATCAGTATTATCGAAAGTAAAAGAGAAAGAGGCTTAATCGAATCTCCAATTTAAAGTCGATATTATTTTCAACAATATTTTTAGGTTTTTATTTTTTTTATTCAAGTTTTGTAATTTTTTCAAGTTAAAAATTTCTAAGTCAATACGAATCAACATCAAATTTTTATAAATTAATAGCAGATTTATCATTTAGAAGTGGAAATATGTTTTTATATCGAGAAATGTTTATGTTATGGGGAAATTTAACATATTTAAATAAATCTGATGGATTGAAGTTGTACAATTTAATAAAGATTGCTTAAAATACAATTTTGGAGTATTTAGAAGTAGCTCCAAGAGCTAATTAAGATAGTCTTTTAGTATCTGAAAATTTTATAAATTTCTTTTAAGAAGTTTAAAATAAAGATGTTTGTAGTTTTTTAGATAAAGAATATTCTTAAGTATTAGGATAATATTGTTTGAAAGCTTTTGATGGTTCTTTCATAAAAGGAATGTTGGCAACTCTTACTTATATTCGTCAATCAATTGTTAACTAATAAGCTATGAATAATTTTACATTTAGAGCTGAAGATATCTATTATGAAATTGAAGGAGGATAAATTGTGAGTAGAGTATTTTCATACATGAATAAGTAATTATAAAAAGGGATTATTACTAAGACAGAAAATTATTAATTTTAAAATTAAGTAATTATTATTCATTTAAATATTTTAGCTTTTATCAATATTTTTTCTTGTTGCTCTTTTTTTAATCTTAATTTATTTTCTATTTTTTTATTATAACAAAATCAAGTCAAATCTCAAAATGATGAAATTTAGTGTATTATTGATTCCTAGCTAAGAAATTATTCAAAATGAGTTGTTTGAAAAGTACATAAAATAAATTGAAATTAAATTAGGGTATAAAATATGAAAAAATTTATAAAAATTGTAAAAAATAATCAAATGTTTTCTGCAAATTCAAATTATCTTAAGGCTCTCTCCAAAGAATTATCCTCTAAAAATACTTTGATAGGTATAAGATATAGAGATTTCTTATAAATAATGAATTCATCTATTAAAGATTTTCTAAAGCAGCTTAGTATAATAATTGACAATATCAATTAAGATGCCATGAATAAATAAGAAAGAATCTATTTAAATTTTATTTTTACTTTATTAATATGGTTAAAATTTTGAGTCAATTCAATCATTCCTGATTTTAATTATTAAGATACATTGGAAAATACTTGACTAATTATCTAAGCACCTTCCAATTCATAAAAATGAACTTCTACTCTTTTAGTAAAATTATTTATTGCCTGTTAATTCCTAATTGCAGTAGATATATAATTTAAACTTGGAATCATGCCTTTAAGAAGAACTCCATCTAAAGCAATTTAACAATAAATTGTTAAGTTGATGTATTTCTATGTTATATAAAATAAATACAGCATCAATGAAATTGCACAAATTTTCATTCTAAACTTTACTTATGTAATTAATATAATTTTCTGAGAGCAAATATTAATCATTTTATTGATCATTCTGAATAATTAAATATTATTATATTATATTCTATGATTTTTCAACTAATTAATATAAACGATTCTAATCATGTGTTGTTAAATAACTGAAATTTGACCATCTAAAAAGTATTTCTCTGTAAACATAAAGTGTTCCACTCCTAAACCTCATATCCTAAACTAATCTATAAAAATCAGTTGTTTGTCTATATTTTGTTAGATAATTCTTGGTTTAATAGAAAATTATAACTGAGAACAATAAAAAGTAAACATACATCAAAAATATTCCCAAAAATGAAATTAATTATGGTAATTTTTTATTTCTTTATAATTTTGATTTTTCTGATTTCTATTAATTATTCTCCTTCTTTTTTCTATTATTAAATTCTTCCCTCTCTTTAAAATCGAAATCATATTTCTGTATTGTTTCTTCATTTTTGGAAATCTATTAATGTAGATTTTTAAGTTTAGTAATTTCCTATTCTATTGAATTCTTATCAGAATAATAAAATAAACATAATAAATTTTCATAAGTTTTTAACATTCTTTTTTTAACTAAAATAATGACTACTCCTAATAAAACTGAAAATATTTAATATATAATCAAAATAATAAGCCATTAAATATTTGAAGTTAAACTTCTTGATTTTGAAAATTACAATATTTCATCAGTTAGTAATTCTAATTAATCTTATAAATTAAAATAATTAGCAAATTAAAAAACTTAGAATGGTTATCCAGGTGCATATTTTCGTTAATCAAATAGCCTTTTAAATTAATATTATGCATTGATAATTGCTAGAAGTTCTTCTCTAAATGATAATATCTTGCTATAAGTAACTGTTTCATTTTAACCCATAAAAATTACAGTTTCATACTAATCAATGAAGAATTCAGTTAAATGATCATTCGTCAAAATCTCAAAATAACTATCTTATAAATCAAAATAATAAGGAGCATTGAATTAATATAATGGATCAATCAACTTTAACAAAGTAGAAGAATCTATATATTTCTCTCTATTTTATTGTTGATATGCAGTTATTGTTATTTTAATTGATAAATACAAATCATGTGGTCCCATTATACTAGCATGCAAAGATATCATATCTATTTCTTAAATAAATTATAATAATTAAGATGACATTGCTGTTACCACTATTATCGTATAGGATAACCAAAACATAATTAGTAATATTAATAAAATTATATAGATTATTATGATACTAAATTTTTTACTTTTTATAATCTTCTCTATCATTTCAAATTTCTTAAAAAGCTAAGAATCCTTTAAACCTCCTAAAGAAGACTATTGAGATTAAATTTCATCATTTTCATCTATTTTCTTTTTACTATTAATCTATGACTTCTAGATTTCCAAAGATGATTGAATATTTGAATCCATCATCAATTAGTCTATATTGAAGAATTCCTATTAAGTATCATTTTTTCTGTCTGATAACAATAATCTTTGACTTTAATAAGGAACATGAATTTGTAATTCTTCTTTTCTAAATGATGCAATATTACAAGCAACTTCATCTTCAGATTAATTATTTTTCAAAATTTCTTTTGTTTTTATATCAATAACTTTTACTCTTTTTGGTTAAGCGTCAATGCTTATATTTATTTATGAAGTTATGCTAATTGAATTTTTTCTTTCTTGAGGAATAGGAGATCTTTATCTTTAGGAAAAATAATCAATATTTTGAAAAGTCTATAACCTTGAGTTATCTTATGAAAACTTAGTCAATCTTGTAATTGATGAAATTTCGATTAAAAAATAAGATTATTCCTAAATGAAACGCTTTGTAATCATAACTGTTACATTATATTGATATATTTAATCTTCTTTTTCCCATTATTTTAGATCCATAATATATTCAATTAAATCTATTCCTTGATTTTATAATTCTTTCAATCTTTTGTCCATTAAAAATCTCATTTCTGTATTAATTTAAGATGTTTCTGTTTCGGAATGATCAATTTGACAATCAGGAAGAATATATTGTAAACTTAGATTATTTATTATATTTAATGGTAGATTTAATATAACTTTTTAGTCAAACCCAATTTTCTTAAAAAAGTTTTCTGAAAAATTAAGTTTTCCTTTTCCACCATGTGATAATATAAAACACTTTTAATCTGGCAACTCTTAAAGAAATGCTGCAAATACTAAATTCTAATTTTTAATTATTTTAGTGATATCATAACTTAAAAAAATAGTTTTTAAAAGTCCTGTTTTACATTAAATAAAACTTTAATTAAAGCTTTTATAAAAACTAGATTGACCATTAATAAAAAAATTATTTATAACTATTGGATGACTATTTCTCATAAATTTAGGCAATAGTGAATTAAATTGAAGATCCTTAAATGTTTCATAACCAATAAGCTGCAAAAAATAAGATGAAACTTATTCAATATTGAAATCATCTAAAGTTCCTTTAATTGATAAAATTATATAAGCTGTTTGTTCTACTTGAATTTCATAATTTCTTATTTTCTTATTCTTAAATATTTTATCATCCGTCATTGATGTTAGAGTAGATGTTTTATTGGCTTCATAATAACTATTCAATAATTCACTTTAAAAAAAACACAAACATCGTTATATACTCTTACAAGGATATTGAATATATGTTTATTTGATCAGCTTTTTTAATTAATCTAGTTTAGCACAAATTATTTTAGTCTATTATGCAAATTGATAGAAATCTTGTTTATCATCTTTAATTGTTAAATTATAAAAATGGATTTTATCAAGAATCAAATTTTAAGTTTTAGCATGTATATCTCTTAAACTTTTATCATATTGCAAAAATGAAAATATAAAATCAGAGACTATCAATTATTAATAAGCTTACATAGATGTACCTAAAAATGATTTTAATTTAAATTTAGCTAAATGTAAAATGAAATTTAATCTACAATATTAAGCCATATTAAGTTACACCTTCACATTAATGTATTAAGCTAATTATTAATCTGATTAAGCTTTTTTTGTAGATGTTTCATTGAATGACTCATCAAAATTAGAAACTTGTTAAATAAGATTCTTAATAATTAGATTCTAATTTTTATCTTAACAGTTCAATAATCTAGTTAGATTCTTAATACAATCTGTTAACCATCCATAATCATAATACATTAAAGTTTGTATGAATACTAATTCACCAATTTAAGTATTTTTTAGGATATTTTTGGTTTCCATAATGTTATTTATTTTAGATCTTAGAAATTATTTGAGAATCTGGTAGGTAATTGCATTTGCTTAAGAAACTTCTTAGATAAACATCTTAGAGCATACACATTTTGAATTATCACAAGTTTTACGATGAAATTTATTAATTAATGATTATTTCAAGGGATTCATATTTAATTGGATGTCACATTGATTTATAATCATTTTTAATTGCTGTATCAGTAAAGGTAGAGACACTTAATCTTTAAAAAGATTTGCAAAAAGACTATTTTAAATTTCAGTGTCTAGAGCATTGCATGAATATAAAATAAGAGGATAAATAAGTATAGGTATTATTAAGTATTCTTAAATTTATTAAGAATCTATAACAGGTTAAAAATAATAACAAGATAATGTAATATTAAATGATATTATAAAAAATAGTAACTGTTTAGATTCTATAAAAATATAATTATGATATCTGAATTAATTAATAAGCTATGAAACTGTGGAAAATAACAACAAAAATATGTTTACTATTCTAATTTATTGATTATCTTTCACGAAACAAAATATAATAATTTACAATTATTAAAGTAAATAAATAAAGTAATGAAAAATAGTGATTTTTGTATTATCTAAAAAGTGGTATTTATAAGTAAGAGGAATACCGCACAATGAGAAAGTGAAAATATAATCAACTTACCATAAGATGTATGTGAATATTGATAAAAATAAGTGAAAGTATTGATTATGATCAGTGTTAAGTGTGTATGCTAAAGTTGTCAAACAAAAATTGGAACTTAATAAATGAAAAACAGTTAATTATAATTACATAAAAGTTGCTAGTATTCTTAACCCAATTTAAATGAAGCGAGTTTAGTCAATCTTTTAAAACTAAAGTTATCTGTCTTAAATTCGATGAAGTATATAATTAATAGTAATCTACAATGCTTTTTGAAATACCAAAAATGACAACACTATCAAATACAAAAGAGTCATATTGAAATTATAATCTAAAAGCAGTAAATCTTATCTGAAGAGTAACAGAATTATGAGATGAGGTAAAGAAGTATTTTTATGATGCATTTATAATCCAGTTTCTATGACCATAAATATTGGTTAAATCAATGTAATAAGTAATAAGAACATTGATAAACCTCTATTGATGAATGTGTAATGCTTCAAAATGATCATCATTTAGATCCATTGTTATGTGAAACTAGTTTAATTTTAATTATATATCATATTTAATCAAAAATCCCCAATATATTTTTCATTTTTGATATCCATGTTTCTAGATATTTTTGCTGAGGTAATTTATTGATTATTAATGGGTGGTTCAGAGACAGGCTATAAGTATTTCTTATCAAAAGGCCATTTCTCTATAGTAACTTATGGATCATCGAAATAACTGCTTGAACCAAAGTAGACTTTCACATCACTAACTTTACCCTAAAATTATCAATAACGAATATACATAAAATTCTGCAAAGTTTTAATCTTTAATAATATAAAAATAGAACACATTTGGTATTACATGAAGGGCTTCTATTTTTTTTTATTAAGCTTATTTAACTTATAAAGCATAAGCCAAAGCATTTCCTTTCTTATATTAGAAAAATACATATGTCCATTACAATTGTTCAACTTAGATTTCTTCCAATTTTGATTCAAATTATGGAGTGTCAAGTAATTTATATGTGTTATAACTTAATTTATCATTTAACATGCTAACAAGTAATGTTCTATCACCTAATTACTAATCTTTCATAAATTGAGGATGATTTGTTGATAGTCTAGCTATCAATCTAGGAATGGTTGCCATACCTGGTAATAATGGAGATTATTAAATCCACATTCCATATGAATATTCAACAGATTCTTATTTATCCATAAATTTATAATCTATAAAACCAGTCTTAATATTTTCAGTTGTATCCATTTAAGGTATAGCCCATTTAAAATCAGCTAAATCAACTGCAGGTAATGGAAGTTTACGATGAATTTTCTAGAGTAAATCTACTACTTTCTGACTTTCATTAATAAAACTACCTTATCCTAAATATAAACGAGGATCATAAAGCCAACCATGAAATTAACCATGTCCAAATTCAGAAACACCTACCAAAAATTTAGCATACCCTACTAATGGTATGTGTTTTGTTGCTAACTCCACTTTTAATGCTTTTGCTGTATCTCTTATTATTATTATACCAACTGTTTATCCATCTTTATATCCCATATATATGAAATTCCATGATCCTTCTATTTAATCATATGCAGCCAAACTGTTTGCAGCAAAATTATTAGTAGCAATATCATAACTACTAAAATCATATGATCCCTTTTATAAAAATACACTTAACACTCTATCTTGAATTTAAGATTTATCTTAATGTTCTCTTTTAGCTGTCAATCTAAATATAGAATGTGAATCCTTTCTCTCTACTAAATGATCTGGAAAATCTGTTAACCATCTTGTCCATATACCTACAGCATATTCAGTTATTGAATCTATTTCATTAGTAAATTCTTAAACTATAAATTCTGGAGTCTATAAAACAGTATCCTTATTTGAATTCCATTAAAATTGTTTATTTGCTTAAACCAAACCATAATAAGGAAGTAATTGTTAATATCCATTTTTCTTTAAACTAACAAATCCTCCTAATCCATATGCCGCTGTCCATTTGTTCATTTAACCTATAAATTTATTTGTAAACTTATCTTATCCAATGTACAACCCTAAATAATTTGGTACATAATGCTAAACCTATTCCCAAGTTATTGGTTTATCTTCAATCAATGTATGCAATAAACAATGAACCTCTCTAGTTCTCTAATTGTAACCCATATATATATAATTCCAAGCATAATTGTAATCATTCAACTCTAATTGGCCATCAAGAAATTTTGGTTCATTTGCATCCTTCAAATCGACAAGTGTGTAAGTCGAATACTTAATTAATTGTGTATTACAAATAGTTATATGTAAAGTTCTATCTCCTTATGATTTTCTATCATTCAAAATTTCAGCATTATTATTAGTCAATCTTAATAATAATTAACAATCAGTTATTCCTGCTCCTGTTGGCTTAATCCATCCACTAAAAGCATATTCACTAATACCACTCCATCTATTCCCTTCAAATTAAATCCCATTAGTTATATCAATCTAATTTACATTTTCTATGATCTCAAATTTACCATGCTTTTCTTTATCTGTGTATTCTTAGGTCAATTAAAATGGCAATGAAAAAGTTGTTTCTATTTGTGATTTAAATTAATCCTATTGTTTTATATACGATCCTGGGCCTAGTGATAACATTATTTTTGTTATGCTTCCCTAAAATCCTAAAATGGAATCTTCCTTTCCTATTCTAAACAATAAATAATCAGTTAATGGTTTATGTAAAATCTTGTCTATTTTCATTTCGTTTATTGTTGTATCAAATGTATAACATGAAACTGTCTCTATATCTTTACTGTAACCCATATAAATATATCTCCAAATACCCTCTAATTGATTATACTTCATAAACTTTTGTTGTATTCCAGTATCAGTGTTGAGATCATATGTAGATAATTAATAATAATTAAAAACAATATGTGAAGCTAAAACACGGTCTCCTGTTTTTATTTCACCATCTGTCGTTATTTTATTTGTTGACAACCTTGCTAATTACATTAAAGCTGGTTTTGAAAGTTATCTTGTTGGAATAGTAGTGAGATAACGAGTCCACATACCATATGCATACTCTGTCATCTAATCAAATGGATATTAGAATCCATTAAATAATTCAACTTTGAGAGAACTAATTGTTTCATCACCATCTGAGGTTAAGTATATTTATTCATTTTTTTCCCAGGAAATTTTCTTTTACTTAGGAAATAGTTTATCAGCAACAAGATATTCAGCTAAAAATGGTATTTTATTATTAGTATAAGATCCTGGGCCAATAGTAAGTGCAATTTAAGCTAGATTACCTTCAAATCTTTGTTAAATGTTATCACTACCAACATAGATCCAGAGTCTATCACTAATAGCATGTAATATGATTTCTTCACTTTTACAGATATATTCATCAACAGATAGATAATAATAAAACTTAGATTTGGTTTTGCTATATCCCATATAAATGAATGACCAATTATGTTGACTAAGTTCTGGTATTTAGCAATTGTATGGGATACCAAAGTTCATACCTTTTAAAATGGTATATGTAGAGAATTCCATATTGTCTTTATTAATTTTGAAGAAAGCAAGAGTTCTGTCACCAATCCAAGAGGAATCGGATACTTTACCAATAGGGTTTTAAGTAACTCGAACAACAGTTTCTTTGTTGTCATTAATTTTTTGGAATTGTTTGTACCACAAAGCCAAAGAATATTCATTAGCTGGAAAATCAATCATTTATGGATTATTCGGAATAACTTTGTAATTGTCAATTTTTCCATCAATAATTGTATATTTATGAGAAACATCATAAGGTAGAGAAGGCATTAAATCTGTGTTCTTCATTCTTTATAAAATGTCATTCTTAGTGTCAATATATGCACCCATACCTAATCTAAATTTGATACCTGTCAACTATCCATTAAAGTTTGGATAATATTTGCCACTGTGGCCAATAGTAAGTTGAGCATAATTGTTAATAGGATTGTGTAAAGCATCTATTTTTAATTCATCTACAATATCCATTCTTCCAGTATATCCCATAGCCACACCTTGAGTTTGAGAGATGCGTTTGTAACTGTAATAGATATACACCCATTCAGATTCATATTCCATTTAATATTAGAGATTACTGAATATATTTGGTTATCCAATTGTATAAGTTGAAAATTAAAAAATGCCTTGTGACTTTTCATCTTCTCCTTTACCAAATAGAATCATCAAAACTCTATCACCAACTGCATCTGCATCTCTATATTCTCTATTTGTTGTCAATCTACTCAATCCCATCCATTTAGGTTAACTGTATAAAATACTGGATCCATAAAATCTGAATCTTATCCACATTCCATAACCATATGAACTCACTCCTTCTATTTTAACATTTGATTGCTCATTCAATTCAATCATCCATGGAATATTTTATTTATCTGCTTATGAATCTATTACTTTATCACTATGATCTATTTCTTGGTTTGCTGTCTATAATTTCAAATGATCTGTTCCACTGTTAAATCCAAAGTTTAATTCCACTGTTTCACTTTATTCATATCCACTTTCTAAATATGATCCATCTCCTACATTCAATACCCATTATTTCATCTAACCCAACCATTGGTTTGCCAATTGATACCTCTTTCCTAAAAATACACTAAATGTTGACAACAATATTCTATTTATCTCTTAAAATGTCTACTATTATTAATTAAAAGTGAACTTGCATAATCCAAATAACTTTTTCTATTTCTAAGTATAACCTATATAAATAAATGTCCATTGATTATAATACTCATTAAATTCTATATTCTTCTCTTAAGATTATGAACAGTCTTCTCCATTACAATTATATGTTCCAAAGATGAAATCCTTATCTGTTCTTTAAACATACAATTGACTATCACTCTATCCTTGTTTAATATCTTATTACTTCTTCTAAACCATCATTAATACACTAAACAATCCTCCTTATTTCTAATCTCCTCCCCATTTTAACCATCCAGATAATGAATATTCATTTACACCAGCATATTCTGAATACTCAAATACATTTTGATTTTCTTATACTTTAATCATATCAGTTTCTTACCCAAGTAATTAAACACTCTTACGAACAGCTGATACAATTCCTTAGAGAGGTTTTTCCAACAATTAAAAGGACTAATATTATGCAAGATCAACAATAAATGCTCCATTTCCCAATCTCATCTAAACATGAGCAAGTTTACCATTAAATTAAGGAATATTTGATTTTCCAACATTCAACTCAACATATTCTAAAATGTAATCATGTAAGACTTCAATAGAACATTCTTTAACTTATCCTCCAATACCAAATTAAACATATCCTTTAGCCAAACCCATATTATTGTTCATTCTTTTATATGATAAGGATATGTAATTCCAGGATCCTTCTAATTAAGAGTCTAAAGGAATCACACCCTTTTTAATATCATTTGAAACAAGATTATAAGTAGAGAATTCGTACTCTTATTTGGCCAATCTAATTTAAAGTGTCGTGTCTTTGATATCAGAATTAATTTATCCATTAACACTTTAGATTAACTTATTATCTTTTAATTCCAACAATTTACTCTAAGTTCCCATTCTGACAATCTAATGAAGATCACTTCTAGTTCCAATAAACTTAGGTAAACTGCTTAACCAACATGTCCATAATCCTATCGAATACTCACTTAATCCATTAATTCTAATATTGCTATCATCTTAAATTAAAATCTAATTAATTAATGATTCTTTTTAATCAAATGATATCTCATATTAATCTTTTTAACCTCTCAAAATTAATGGTTTAACCAACTAAAATAATCTTACAGCTCCTTCTCCATATCCAAAATTATAATCTAATTTTTTAGATTTGGCATAACTCTCAGGTCCCAAATAAACTCCAACCTATGATACTTTACCATTAAATGAAGCTACAGTCTAATCTCCCCCTAAAGTAAAATATAATGAATTAGTATTTTTGTGTTCAAGTCCTTCAAAAAATACTTCTTCATTTACTCCTACTCTAATCATAATTCCTTATGCTTTTTTCTCTTCTTAATTAAATCCAAAGTAAACATATGTCCATACATTTGTTGAATATGGAACTGATTTTATAATCATTTCACTTCCTTTACCTTCATTTCCAACAACAGAATAAGTATGAAAATTCAATCCTACATTTGACAATCCTCTAATAAAATGAATTTCCAAAGCTCTATCTCCTAATTCTCTCTTTTCTTTTACTCTCTATTTATTAGATCTTAAATTCATAATTTAAAATGAATTCAACTCTCTCACATCTAAATTGTCAACCCATCTAAACCAACCTGCGATTGCATAATGTTCATAAATAAATGAATCTTTAAATCCTTTTTCATAATTGCAATTTGTATTTCCATCCATATCTACTGGTGGTCCAACTATCATTTCCTCATGATATGTCTTTAATCCTTATGGCATAAAAGACATTGTCTCTACTAAATTGAATAATTCTTATTCATTATCAATTAATGCAGGTGCTTCTATATCATAAAAAATATTAGCAAATTAGCCTTGTAATCCTGGATAATGTAAATGCTTCCCTCCTACTATCATTGACATATAAAACGGAGGTGCATGTGTACATGGAATCTCAACTCTTTAAAACTCTCTACCTTTACCATACTATAAAACAAATCCTACTGACTTCTATTTACGACTACTATACGAGAATGACACAAAATACCATCTACCATCTATATTTTAATTCAAACTTATCTATCCCACCTTATTCTTTTCTCTTCCTACATAATCATATGTGGCAAATACAAATGTATTGTCAAACAAAAAATTAGCTAATGTTCTATCTCCATAATTCTGAAAATCCAAAAAATCTTTCAAAGATGTTAATCTAGACAAAAAATGGTATTAGTTTTTCTGCATCTTGTACTCAAGATTGCTCTAATATTTTAACCAATATCCATATCCATACTCTTCTGAGTCTTACAATTCCTTATTCGAAAACTGAATCTCATAGGATTCTTTCCCTTCAACTGTTGAATCATAAAATTTTGATTATCTCACTAAAATATTTGCAGTACTTTGTAGTGGTTTATGTTTGAATGGAATAAATTTTACTGGGTCTATTAATTAATCAGGATTTTCATCAAGTCCTTTTGTTGGCACTTAAGCTTAGTTATCTCTTATTAATTCAGTAGGTAATAATGGCTTTTATTCAACCTATTTTTGATGATCAAGTTCACTTGTATCAATACCTATAGGGGAATTTTAGGAAGTTTCATCCTACTTTTAATTTTCAGGTTCATTATTTGTGTCAAGTACATTTTTTTATTAATTATTATCTTACTATTATTCTGAAGATTCTTATGGACTTGCTTATTAATTTTATTATTATTCTTTCTACTGATCTTATTCTTACTATAGAGGTAATTATTCTTATTATTCTTATTATTATTATTATTATTATTATTATTATTATTATTGTTATTATTATTATTATTATTATTATTATTATTATTATTATTATTATTATTATTATTATTATTATTATTATTATTGTTATTATTATTATTGTTATTATTATTATTGTTATTATTATTATTGTTATTATTATTCAATTTATTCTTATAATGATGATTTTTTTTCAGTTTAATTTTGATCTGAAGTTTACTATGACACTTGTTGCTATTCTCCTTATTACTATTACTTCTATTAAGGATTATCTTCTTAAACTTATTATTAGGCCTATTAATTAACCTATTATATTTATTATTATTCAGCTTATTAATTAGTTGATTCTGGAATTGATTATTATTAAGCTTAAGACTATGTTGATTGTGGAATTTATTAAGCCTAAGGCTATTAATTAGTTGATTCTGGAATTTATTATTATGTAATCTAAGGCTATTAATTATTAATAACTTAAGTTTAAGGTTAAGATATGTTTTATGCAGAAGTTTACTGATTATTTTATTATTGTTGTTCAATATTATTAATAGGCTATTCTTATGATTTTTACTATACTGGTTATTATTATGATTATTACTAATTTGGCTATTATTATTATTGTGATATCTCCTATACTGGCTATTATTTTAATTCTTAGGATTATGATTGTTATTTTTAATCATTTAAATTAGATTCTTCTGCTTATGCCTTAATTTAAGTAGATTACTTTACTGAGTCTGGTATTGCTTTAAAATCTTCATGAGTTTCTATTTATCCATCTTACATATGATTTAATAATGCTTTTGATTTATTCTATTCTTCCTTTATCTTTTATTATTAATCACTTTATAAATTTTAAACTTGTTCCTCTTTTTAATTTTAAGATTATTTTGTTTGAACTTGTTGATCACTTTAATTTTAAGATTATTTTAATTCATTTTAACCATTTTAAATATTTTGATACTCTGATTATTCAGGGTCCACTAACTTAACTTCATCAGTTATCACTTAATTAGTTTATTCATCATTTTCTTTTACATTATCGATGTTATCCTATTCATCTAAAGTTGAAGATTAAGATTCTTATTTAGTTCCTGTATCTTTTGATCTACTTTCCTGTTCAATTTGATAATCAACATCCTATTAATAATCATAATCATCATTATTCAAGTTAATAAACCTTTATTATTTTAAATTCTAGATTGGTTGAATAGTTTCTTCCTCATAATAATCTTAATCAGTCTATTAAATGTATTGTTATTCTTCTTAGACATCATTTAAATTATCTTAAAAATCTAAATCATCTTAATCTTGGTAATTATTCTCACTTTAAGTTTAATCATCACCATCACTATTTAATTCATCTTGATCATTACTTTAATCCTAATTTTAAATTTCTTAATCATTTAAAATATGTTAATCCTATATAATATTATATTAATTCTCAGGATCAAGAGCATCATAAGGTTTTGAATCAGTTGCTACATAATAATCATTAGAGTCTTAAGTTTAATCTTCCTCCTCTAATTAAATCTAAGTATTATCATCTTGTTCTTCATTAAATTAATAAGATTGATCTTGATATTTTTAATTTGATTATTAAAAATCTTAATCATACTATTATTGATCACTATCTCTTGATTATTGTACTTAAATTTCAGGCTAATCAAATACTTATTCTCTTTTCTTTTTAATTTACCTTTTTATCTTAGGCTATTTTTATTATTTATATGATTTGGAATCTTTTCTCACTCTTTAATTAGTTTGTTTTTTTGATTTACTTTTTTACAATCTCGCATAATCATAATTGTCATAATCATAATAATTACTGTAATCATAATCATAATCACTGCTATCATAAAGAACTTATTTAATAGGATCATCATAATCTTCTAAATCATATTCATCATAACTGTATGGCTTATAATGCTTATTATTTCTTCCAATTTGATATTAACTTTCTTGTTATTGATTTTAACATTATTGTTTTATATACAATAACTATTTTAAATTAGAAATCAGCTACTCTACATCATATTCGGTAGCTTTTGATGATTGAGATAATATTGATTACATTTTTTATTTAGTTGCTTAAATGCAAACATCAATTTCAGTTAATAGATCTAATTTCTCTTTTTTAGATTACTTTTAATTCATTTATTACATTAACTTCATTATTTTTGCAAGATCTATCTCAAATTTAGCTTAGAAGTCTTATTTAGCAGGCATTTCAATTTCAATTAATGATTATTAATGCAATAGCTATTGTTTTGTATTTTTAACAATCTTCTCAACCTCTAATAATCCATTTAGATCATCTCCCAATTAATTATTTAATTCAATTGCTTCTTTCCACTAAATTGTATCAGAAATCATTATATTTATTTCATCTAAGTCTCTGCAACTCAAATTTTGCATATTCAAACGGACTGCTTGTTAGAGTGTTAGCTCTAAATATTTTATAGCATTTACTTGAACTTGCAAAAGTGAGCAAACTCACAATTACCATTGTTATATATGCGTTTTTCATAAAATTAATAGGGAACTTTTCAAAGAATTAAATCAATAAAATAAACTTATTTTACTCTAACATATTCTAATATATTAGAAAATAATTATTTCTACTCTTTTATAAGATATTTAACTAATTATATACGATGAAGGAAACTATTGATTTTAACTAGAGAAATCTTTAGAATCCTTAATGATGTATTTAATTTAGATCAATCTAGAAAATTATTTTAAAACTAATTTTATTAATAAACTTGAGTATTTATTAAAAATTTCATGTTTTTAAATTAGAATTGGTAGATAATTTAAAGTTTCAATATATAATCTAAAATAATTGTGAGTTGAAAAACAAGAATTGTACAATTTAATATTAGATAATAATAAATTTAATGCATTTACATTTATCTAATTAAAAAATGATTCAAAAAATATTTCAATAACTAAAAAATAACTGAAAATTAAATTTCAAAAACTATAGCTTTATAAGGTATAAATAACAAGTAGTTAAATATTTGAGAAAATAGTAAATATAAATGGATTTTTGAGATCTAAAAAAGACTTAAATTTTTACATTTTAATTTCATAAATTTATTAATGAATAACAATAGTAACACTAAATTGGATGTTCTTCCAAAACTAATGACTTCTTATAATAAACTCTTAGAGCCAGCTTACTTAAAGAATAGCTAAATAAAAATGAACCAAAATGAGAGCAAATTATTACCTATAATTCAGAGGAGTTCCATGATGTAGCCAAACGTGAGTTCTAAATAATTAATAGTATAGAGTAAGATAGAAATTGAACAATAGGATTGATAAGCAATTTAGAATTTAGTTCCAGGCATTTTGGTGCTGCTTGCGATAGAGGTTTTTAAGGTTTGTCAAAATATCACTATTCCCAAAAATTTGGTCATTCAGCTGCTAAATTAGAACCACTTAATAGAAATATTATAGCTGAACTTACTGATACAGAAGATGCTGAAGAAATTCCAAAAGATGAGAGAACTTATTATAAAAGAATATATAAATTTAAGAACATGCCAATTTTAGCATTAATCAAGTCTTTTGAAATAGAATGGATTAGAGAATTTGAAGATGAAGTTAATAAAAAATCAAGCAAATCATTATAATTAAGCTTTTAAAATGCTCTTGCAATATTAAATACATTTTCAGATCCATTAGAATTTTTCTAAAAAAATCTCTAATTACTTGAAAGAAATTCTGTTGCTTTAAAATAAAAAGGGTTGACTCAATTGAAATATAAAGTTAAATCTTTTGAGTAAGAAGAATTCTAGAGATTGATTGTAATAAAAAATTAATCAGGTTTAGGATATTTTAGAATCAATTTTCCAACTATTTAACTTTATTAGTAAGAATATTCTCATAATTAAACAATTGATTTATCACCTATTAGATTATATGAAATTGTAAAAAATAATTTTTTTGAAATGACAACAATTGTTGAATAATTTGATTTCGATAAATTCTAATTATACGTATCAAATTAAAACAAGGAAATTCAAGAATAATTAGATGAACCAAATATTAAATAAAATAGCAATATCCTAAAAGCTGAAGAACAATAACCATCAATTCAAAATTAATAACAAGATAAAAATGGAGAATAAGAATCTTAAAAATAATTATAAAACATTGAATAAACAAAAAATCAATATTAGGAATAAGATTAAGTATAAACCTAATAATAATAATAAGAGTAAGGGAAATAGCAAGAATACAATTTATTGAATAATATTTCTAACACTGATCTTTCTATAATAATAATTGATGGTATTAATATATATTAATATATAGAAAAACAAGAATTTCCTGAAAAGATATTATAAAAGAGATGGATCAAAAAGGTTGTTCCAAAAGATAATAAATACTACACAGTTGATTTTTTACCTTTTTAAATTCTAGTGAGAGAAAAAAGATCATAAAAAATAATAAAGATGTATTCTCCATCTCTCAAAGAATTAGATTTTATATTTTTACAATTAAATAGCAAAAGCTTATTTTAAATATTGAACGATTATGTTTTGATTACTTTTGATATGCCTCCTGAAGCATTTGATTATAAAGATTTTAAAAAAGGAACTAAAATATCATTCCAGATTGGTGAAATAACTGAATCACCTTTAGAAGTGACAGAAGAATAAATCAATAATGGTTTATTAGACTCATGGACTAAAGAAATCGAAGTTAATAACAAAGATTTATAGATTATTATAGAGTACAAGATTTGAATAAATTTAGACCTTGCATGCTTGAAATCTATTATTAATTAACATCAAGTACAATTAAGAGACCCTGCACATCAAAAGAATTAACACATATTTTAGAAAAGAGATATTTAATTGGATTTAGATTAATATGAAGTTTATTAAAATTTTTATTAATTCAGACATGTTTATCACATTCACATTGGCATATAAATTTGTTAATATATAACTCTTTAGTTAAATGTTAAGAGTGACAGTCCTAATAGCATAAACGACATAATGTTTTCTTACAAGTTTTACAACTAAAATAATTGTTTAAATAATTACTTATATTGAATTTAATTTTTATTTCTATCTCTATTTGGTATTTATTGAGTGCATGTTCCTAATAAATGACAATAACATCGATAATCATGTGAATTAAAAGATTAAATAAATGTATGATTTTTTTTAATTTCATTCACAATTATTTAACTCTAAGCAATAGAATCAGATCCATATGTCGTTATCTCATTATTACTATTATTAAGATTATTTTCACATTTAGAATGACATTATGTTACACATGTGCTACAAATCTAAAATAAATGATTAAGGAAAAAAGAATGAATTTTTGAACATTTGATACAATAATACATTTTACTCAATTTTATTTATTTTCCTTAATTACATTTTGTAATACCATAATCTTAAGACTTTTACAAACCATTATTATTATGCATTATTATTGTTAATGTAGTATTTGTTCCATAAAATTATAAAGTAAATTAAGATATAAATGGAAACAATTTTTTTAATTCCTTTATTTTTTCTTTTTCAAATATTCTATCAAAGCGTAAGACAATAAATTTTAAAGAAGTGAGTTATTCAAATTGATTAAAAATTTTCTCTAAAAAATCAAAGGTAATATTATTTCCTACTAAAGATAATTGTAGTCTCTCTAATTTTTTTAATTTCCCAATATTATTTTTTAATTTTTCTTAAACCATCTTATCATAATTAGTTATATAATCCATAATCAAAACAAGATCTTTTAAACTTAATTTAGAACCTAAATATTCTAAAAATAGACTAACTTCAGTATTTTTTGATTGTAATTTAGTTAAATTGAAATAAAACTTTTTTAAATCAACAGTTCTTAAGGATGCAACTAATAATGAAAAAGCTTATTATAAACTGCAATCTTCATAATCTAAACTTAGTTCTTCTAAAGATGATTAATTAAATGACCAGAGTTAAGAAGTTTAAGTGTAATTTAATTTGATTTTTGGTATCTTAAATTCAAAAGAGATACAATTATATTTACTTAATATCCACATAATTGTTCTATGATCCTATTCAGAAATTTCTGTGGCAATAGTCAAACTAACTTTAGGAATGTGTTAGATTTTTGTTAAAAATTAGACAATATTATTGACCTATGGATTTTTATTGTGGATAATAATTTCTAACTATGTAATGCAAGGAAATTACATATTACTTAAATTATCTGACCATTTTTAACTAGAATTATCATTTGAATCGTCAATAATTTCTAAAATAAGAATTTAAATATCATTTTAATTTAATAATATTAATTCAGGTGTTTAATTATTAAGTTTTAAATTTAGAATCTTACATTTATGAGGTAAAACACATTTTGTTTAATGATGATTTTGATTATTTTAATATAAACTAATATAATTGTGATGCTAATAAAGTACTGCAATTTCATTATAATTACAATAGAGTAAATCATCTAAAGGTTTATGATCTTCAGGAGCTAACATTTAAATAGATGGCATAGTCTATGAAAAACTTTCAGGATGTGTTCTTTTAGACTCTACAACTGAATGATAAAATTTTGATTATTGCCATTACTATCTTTATTATAAATTTTATGAACTATGACTAGGAGATGAAGGTGTTTTAATTGATCTTGTCTTAGTTGATTAAGTTAATTTAAGTGAATTAGCAAATGGTGGTTTATTGCTAAATTAATTATCCTTAGCTTAAAAATTAGATGGAGAAGATTATCTTGGAGATTTCGATGCTTATCTCTTTCTATTTGAATCTACTAATAAATTTGTAGATGACTTCTATTTCTTTTAATTACTTAAATTAACAGCAATTTATTTTGCTGATTTCTATCTCTCTTATTAATAAAAGTTTGATCCTGTGTTTCTACCTCTATTTCCTATAATATCAGGAGAAAGATAATCAAATTATGAAATTCCTTTTTTAGGAGATTCAAATGATTCAAATGTATTTCCTTTTGAAAGTTCAAGTTATTAAGGCTAATTTTCTTTTAATTATTAAAAAAGAGACTTTAACTCTATGAAATCAGGACGATTATTAGGATTGATTTATAACATTTTCTTTAAAATGGTCAATATTATTTAATCAGATTCAGTAATACGTTAAACATATCTCATATAATCTATTATTATTTCTTCTTCAATTTAAGAATTCACTTTTTACCTAAAATTCCATTATTATAATGTCACTAAATATAAAAAGCATAAACCTAAAGAATAAACATCACTTTTGAAAGGATTATGCTTAAGTTTCGAGGTTTCTGCATTCAATAATTCTGGTGCCAAATATGATTTTGTACCTACAACACATATTGTCTAAATTGTTTCAATTTTTGAACTACAACCGACATCACAAGCTTTTAATTAAAAAGGATCCATTATCAATATATTTTCTAATTTTATATCTCTATGTGCAATGTTCTTTTGTTATAAATACTCAAATATATTTATTAGTTATTCCAATATTTTATGCAACTCCTCTACCTCTAAATAATGCTTTCTATCCTTTATATATGAATCTAAATTTTGCTTTCCTTTTTCCATTAACAAATATGCAAATTATTAACTTTAGGCATATTTATCTGCCGAGATTGTTTCTAATATCATAAAATCTATTAAATTAATAACATATTCTGATGGAGACAATTATTGCATGATTTTTATTTCATTTTCAATGTTACTTTAATTGATTATGACTTACTTAATACAAGAAATCTCTTACTTTAAGTGCATACATTTTACCATTGACTAAGACACTATAAACTCTACTGTTACCTTGTCCTAAATGTCCATTATCAACCAAGTTTTTGCGAAAGTCATTTCCTTTAATAAATTTCATCTAACTTAGTTAGACAGTCAGATCCATATCAATTATTAAAATAAAAATAAATCACTTCTTAGAATCAAATCAAATGATATCTTTCATAGATAATTATTCTTATTATTATCATATATATGAATTAAGAAATTATCTTATCAGAACTTTATTTAACCTAAGCCTATTTTTTCTTTGCTTTTAATATTTAAAATTATCTAAAAGAAAAAAATTTTTTATATAATTTTAAGTATTTGTATTTTTTATTTTTCATATGTTTAGCATATTTTTTCTAAATTATTTATTTCCTTAATAATTTATTTAGAAGAGATTGAAAATTTATTTGCATAAAATCTAATTTATTTTTTCTCAAACATCATTTTATTATGACAAGCAATAAATTAAAAATAATTAATTATGAGATTAAAATCACTTAGATGATTCAAATTGATCCAGTTCGTGTTAATTACTTCTAAAAAAGTTGTTGGCAATATGTATATTTAGGGCCTACTTATATATATATATTAGTATCTTATATTTATAGGTTAATCTAATATATAAGAATATTGTTTAAAATTAGAATTGAAAAGTTTTTAATTAAATATTTTTAATGGTATCTTTATATAGAAAAGAGAGTTATTAATATTATTTATAAATATTAAATGTCTGGTGAAATAATTCCATTAAAATTAGTAGTTAACACAATAGATGAAGCATCTATTGGATTTGTTTATCAAAAGTCTGATTCAGAGGATAAAAAATAATGGATTTACAAAATTTTTCTGGAAAATATTTATACAATGGAAAAAGTAACTCGTGAAGGTGCTGAATAGAGGATTCTTGAAGATCATTAAATTTTATAGAAAGGGGGGAATTTGTTAAAAGAGAAAGTAAAATACTATTTAATAGAAATAGTTAGGTGAAGCAATAAATGAAATAATTAAGAAAAGAAATAAGATAAGAAGTATAATAAATTAATTATTTTAGATAAAGAAAAATCTAAGAAAAAGGTTGAATCTGATAGTCTTGCAGATATGGAAGGTGTGGCTGCAAAAATACCATCTACAAAAAGTAAATGAATAATTTAACTAAATATTTTTAAAACAAAAGAAATACAATAATAATTTGTATAAATTTAAAGCCTAATTTTTTATATCAATTTGATAAATATATCTTTATATTATTATAGATATAAAATTTTTTTACTTAATTCTAAGACAGATTATTATATTATTTTGAAGAGAGTATTTTAATAAATAAATTTATATTAATTATAAGATAAAATGGGTTGCTTATTAAATGTATTTTCTCGTTAATAATTGGATAAGAAAAAAATCGCATTGCTTTAAAAGTTGTTCTTATTATTATAATAAAAGCGTAGATGAAGTTGATGAAATTAGAGAGAGAATTACAAGTTATAGTATTTAAAATTAGTACATAAATTAAGAAAAAATTATAGATGAGAAACCTTATAGAGATTTTACAAAAGTAATAAATCATTTAGATACTAAAGATTAAATTTTTGACTGCAAATGAACACAATAAGATATATTTAGTTTAAAATTAGAAAGATAATGAATATTACATATTGAAATCAATTAATAAGTAATAATTAGAGTACTCAGGGATGTAAGAATAGCTTTAAAATGAACTTAAATTTTAAAAAGAAATAAAGGGAGAATTTATCTAAAAATACTATTAGGATTTTATGACAAAAAAGAAATGTTATATGATTTTAGAAAATGTTTAAGGTGGAAGTTTATAATAATTAATGTAAAGAAAGTAAATGAGTGAAATGGAAATTCGATTTTATATAGCAGAAATATTGATTGCTTTATAGGATCTTCACAATAATAATATCATTTATAGAAATTTGAGTCCTAATAATGTTTTAATTGATAATTAAGGTCACATAAGATTATCTGATTTTTCATTATGTCATTTTGGGATTGAATGCAATTCTCTTAATGGGAATATTTATTACTAAGCTCCAGAAGTGAATTAAATAAATAATTAAAATTAATTATCAGATTATTGGAGTTTAGGTGCATTGATGTATGAAATGTTTTTTGGATATCCTCCATATTTTCATCCAAATATAAAGATTTATAAGAAAAATAAGAGAGATTAAATGCTTATTATTCCTAATTAAATTTCTGAATCTAGTCAATAATTACTTAGATAATTATTAAATAATGAAGTATATTATGGATTATAATTATATAAGATATAACAAAGAATACAAAATGAATCCATAAAAAAGGTATAATATCATCCATTTTTTGATGGTTTGGATTGGTAATTAACAAAAACAAAATAATTATAGAGTCCATTTATTCCAGAACTCAGATCAAAATCAGATATAAATTATTATTTATAAGAATAAAAATATTTAAAAAAAGTGGAGTAATAAATATAATGAGATAAAAAAAAGGTTAATTTATTTATATTAATATAATCATTTTCTCTAAATAACATATTCTAATGATACTATTCTTACTCTTTTATCCCAACTACCTGTAATAATTAATTCTCTATATTGATTAACAGCAATACAACTAATTTATTCAGTATGAACTTTAATACTTTTTAAAAGAGTAGGTTAATCTTTAATTTCCCAGACTCTTAAAGTTTTATCAATTCCTGCACTAAATAAATATTTATTAAATCCTAAACTCGTTATAGTTTCATTATGTGCTTATAATTTATGAGCCTTAAATCCACCTCTCAAATTCCAAATAATAATAATTCTATCGGCACCTCCACTAGCTAACATTTAATTAGGTAATTCTTTTAAACAATAAACATCATCTCCATGAGCAAGTTCATATTTTAGTTATCCTTTAAATGCACTCCAAATCTTAATAAAACAATCTCCTCCAGATGCAAAATTATCATCATCTAATTATATTATTGTTCTAACTATCTTCTTATGAGCATCTTCTATTGTATAAAAACATTTATCTCTATTCCATATCTTTATTCTATAATCACCTCCTCCTGAACATAGATATTAAAACTTTCTTAAATAACATAAACTTTTAACTATATCAAGATGGCCTACTAAAGTAAATTCTAATGTCATATATTAAACATTCCATATATGAATCAATCTATCATTACCTCCTGATACTAATTTCTCAGCTATATCTTAATTAAAATCATCACTTATTCCACATAAACACCATATTTCACCTTTATGAGCATCTATTGTACCTAAACACATTTATGAATCTATATCCCAAAATTTTAATACTCCTTCTCCTCCGGCAGATGCAATTTAATTTAAATTTAATACACAAACTGCTGTCACTATATCTAAATGTCCTTATATTATTGTATTCAAATGTTTCTATTGACTTATAAATATTTCAAATGGAAGACCATTTAATTATGGACTTTCTTTTGGAACTGTTCTTTATTTAAATTAATTATTACTTTGGTACAAAATCACTACTTTAAGGAACTTTATACTCTTTCCCTAATAACTCTTAATGTAAATATGGTTGAATAGATGACTTATAAAAATCTAAATTCTTTTATTAATTTTTTAAATTGACCTTAAATATAGTCAATGAATCATATTCTGGTTCATCCATCACTACAGGTTTTTTTTCAGTATTTAAAATATTACTTACAACAAATGCTCTCTCAATTGCAACTTATATTGCTTTCTCAAAATTTTAATTCACTAATATATCACTACTTATGCTTGATCTACTTAACTCTTCTGCTTATTTTGTAAGAGTAGGTACTATTATCTGTAATAATTTTTCTTATAATTCTAATAAGAAATCAAATTTTCTTGAATCATCAACTTCTCCATTTAAAATGGAATTCAATTTATTAATATGTTCTTCACAATTTTGAGTAACTTCTGCAATTTTAGTATGTTTTTCATTATAAAATTATTCAATTTAAAGAATAACAGTTTTAATAAAAGCTAATAATAATTTATTACATTATACAATCTAATTCATCAGTAAAATAATTAACAATATGTTTTTATAATCTCTTGCATTCTGATTTTCTAATTTCTCTAGTTTGTATTAAATGATTTTACAACATTGTCATTCTTTATCTAACAATACTTAAATCCTCTTAAATTAAAATAAATAAGATTACTAGCAATAGTTTTTGGTACAGAATAACTAGAGGGATCAAAATCTCTTAATGGTAAAATAGCAGCTAAATGATTTTTTGGATGAGTGACTATACAATCAGAACATAATGTTTTATGCTAACATCCTTTTGTAGTACATACCATAGTGGACATCTTTCCATGATTAAAGCAACGAATCATTATAATTATAATAATAATATAGTAATTAAGAAATGAGTAAGTATAGTATAATAAATATTAGGGGTTCATTTACAGGGAAGTTTATGTACAAATTACAATAATTAATGGGTTTATATTTAGACTTAATGACAACAGCACCAAAGGTTGAATTGACAGAAAATTTATTTAGAGCTACCATAATATTTTAATTTATGTTCCGTCTTCATTATTTACTACCAGTAGATGGATGGGGAGTATGGTAATATGATGATTTTAAAATCAAAGTTCCATAATAGATTTTATCAACCATATTTTCACAAAATGCAATTTTACTTAAAGTAATTCTTATCATTATGAATGGTGCTTGTTTATTGATGAGTTTCATGCGAATTAAATTAATGTACTATTATAATAATGTAACTTGGCATATCTTTTTTATGCCTTAAGTTTCAATTCTCATAGATTTTGATTCAAGTCCAACTCTTTCAACTATTGCTATATTTTTATTGCTACTTTAATCTTTTATTAATTTATACTTTAACAGAGCAACCAAATTCTTACATAATAATCCATTTATCAGAAAGTATACTAATCTTACTCTTGTTTCTATAGCTGTAGATACTCTTTGTTACATGAATTTTCAATTTTACTTGATTAGATTAATACTACTGCATTTTTCAACCATTGTTTAAATTGTTGATGTCTATTCTTTTCATCCATACAAACCTAAACTTAATTCATTTGTATTTTAAAGTTCCATATTACAATATACTCTTATTATCATAACAACAATATCAATCATTCAATAATCAGAAAATAATTTATTTTATTCATATTTTCTACTTGGAACATTATCTGTAGCATTATCTTAGATTATAATAGAATAATCTTCTATAAAATAGACATTTGATTAATATTTTGTTTTAGTTCAATGCCAATCATTGTATCTAGCTTCTAATTTTAAAAAAGCTATTTCAATTAGCTAACATAAATAAAATTGTAAATTTAAACATGAAAGTAATGTTGCTGATACTATTATTTGTGTTTTAGAAAATTCAATCATTAAAAATAAATAAAACAAATTCGATTATGAAATTTTAGAATTAGCTTTAATTAATTTTTTATCCTTATAAAAAGCAGCATTAACAGCTTTTTGTAGATTGAAATTGTATTATAATGCAATAGATGACCATACAATATATTTTCAAATTTGTTTTCCAAATATAGATAAAAAATTATGGAAAAGAGTTAGAGATGTTCAGAATAGAATTACGAAACAAATCAGATCAACCCAATATTATGATGAAAGGGAATTAAAAACAAAAGATATTTATGTAGCTTGTTTGATGAAGGATTAATTTTATCCAAAAATAGTAGAAGTCTTAAATAGAAAGCTTGAATATTGGAATTAATTATTATCAGATCTTGCTAATTATGAAAGACTCTTTGAACATACAATAAAATGTAGTTAAGTAGTCCATAATTTTAATATATTTTTAACAAATCTATTTTCCTAAGATTTGGATGAAATATAAAATATTAAAACTGTGATAGAATTAAAAATGTTAGAAATATATTTTTGTGTTGTTAGAAATGACTAGATATAGGCTACAAAAATGTAAAAACTAATAATAGAAATGTTGAGATAGGAAACTCAACAAGATGGTAAACTCTTAAATTGTAGTATTCTTGAAAACAAAGTTGTTCTATTGTACACAAGTATTGTTAAAGCTTAAGGATTCATAATAAAGACTAATAGTGATTAATTAGCAAAGTTTTGGGGATATGAAAGTGAATTAGATTTCCATGATATTAAACATATCAATTAATTGATGCCAAATTTCTGTGCATCTGTTCATGATTAATATATAGAGAGATTCTAAACTATAGGTCATAGTATCCTTTTTGGAAAATGTAGAACTATCTTTCTCAAAGATAAATATGATTTACTCATTCCAGCCAGCATTACTATAGATAATTTCTTTATCAGTTATGATGATTATGTTATTACAGCTGCTTTTGCTAAAAATAAAGAGACTTCTTTATACATTCTATTTGATTGTAAAGGTAAAATACTAGGAGTCACTTAATTGATGTATAAAGTATTTCATACTATTGATTCAACAGTAACGCCAGAATTATTGAATACTGGATATATCTTTCAAATTATTCCCAATATCTTCTATTTAGTTAACAATCATACTAATGCTGAGTTTGATAATATTCTTTATGAAGAAAGAATTCATTTAATTATTGGAAATCCAATTAGATTATAATTTGAAAAACCTATCAATTTGTCTAGACATAAAGCATATTATGATGATTTATGGACTCTTTATGATGATACTAAAAATCATAAAACTGAAATGTTTCTCCAAGATTATTAAGATTCTTGTAAACAATTTATAGATCATTAATTGAAAACAGTGAATTTCGAAATTATATGTTAACTACATTATTAAATAATAGGACATTATAAAACTATGCCTATGTTTACTTTAGAAATTTTAGACATAATTAAAGCAGATTTATAATCTAGTCTAACTTATTCATCAGAGATTGAAATAAAAACTAATGATTTATTTGAGCCAGATCCAGTTGATTTAAGTTCAATTCAAGAAGAGAGTTTTTAGAAAGTTAAATAAAATGATTTACCATAAATAGTTAATGTACTTTAATAGATACCTGAAATATCTTTTATTCAAAAAAGATTTGAATAATAAATACATGAATAGACTCCAAGAAACAATAAATAAAAATAATTTATGTAACCTCAATCTTAAAAGGCTACATTCTAAGTGATCAAATAAAAGAGTTTAAATGATGATCTAAAAAGTATAGAGGAAGAAATGAAAAAAATGAAAGCTAATAAAAGATATAGCTAAAAATAGATTATATTGAATTAAAAATAAAAAGAAGAACACAAAAGTTCTGAAAAATTAACTAAAAGAAAGAATATAATTGATTAAATATAAGAAAAACGTAAATAAGATATCAATGAAATGGATGCAGTAAATTCTGTTAATTCTATAGCATCTAATTTGATAAATTACAAATAAGATCTTATAAAGAGTGTTTACAAATCAAATAAAATTCCATACTCACTTAAAATGATAATACTTTTTGATTTGATGATTATAACAGCTTTAATGATATTCAACATTTTTCCAATTATTACAATTCATAACAATAATGTTCATGCTATTTAATAGATTGATGCTATAATGGCTCCTTATTTATATAACTCTTACTATTGTTAATTATATGTTCATAATATGATTTTTGAATTATAAAAACTTTAGATTGTTAATTATAGTAAGGATTTGATTCATGATATAGAAGCTATGAATTAAAATAATACACTTCTTTAGGATTTAAGTAAATATTACCCAGTCTTTTTAGAAATAGAAAAACTAACTTATTTTCCTAAATTAAATATTCATTTCATAAATACAGAGGATTAATTGAATGTGTCATTCACATATATGTACAGCGTCTTAATTGAAAAACTATAATATTTTACATAAAAAGGTTAAGATTTTGCTAAATATTAGATGAATGAATCTGAGATTATCTCTTCCTTATATTTATATGCAAATTTATAAGAAAGTATATCATTATATTCAGATTTGGTAGAATTAATAGTGTTAACATTTTTTGAAGATATGGTTTATGATGAAAATAACTTCCTTAAATATCTTTTGGTAGCTATCTTTATAACTATCTTTTTATTCTGGATATAGATCATATATTTTCATTAAATATTTAATTATTTTAAGAAGATAATCTATCTAAATTGTAGACTATTAGAAAAGGATGTTCATTTAATAGTTTAGAGATTATAATTAATAAAGGAAATATTAATAGAACATACAGTTACGAATTGGAAGAAGGCTGATTATGTTCATTTGATGTTTTAATAGATAAAATCTGATCAAATTCAAATGTAATCTAAAATTAATAAACATACCCTACTTTGTTCAAGAATTGCTTAAAGTAAGTTTTCATTACTAGGAATCCTTGGTATGATTATATCAACTTAATTACTGATTATAAGTTTCTGTGTAGGAGGATACTTTTTTAATGAGATTTAATAAATAGAATTAACTCCTTAATATGAGTTGATGTCATAATTCTTTTAATTTTCTGTAACTATGGATTCCATGGTCACATAATCTATACGTGTTAAATGTTAGAGACTTTATATGTAAAATAATAAAATCAATGAATCTATCACAGTTTAGAAAAGTTTGGTTGATTAAAAACTTATATCTATTAGAACCACTAATTTAACCTTTTATTCTATTTTATTTTAAGATTTTGTTAAATCAGAGGAATTAATACTTAAAGGATTGGTAAATGATGACTCAGTTGATCGATAAAATAATTCAACATTGTATCAACTCTTCTTTAATGATATTTGCTCTTTAGTTTGTCCAAATTCTACTAATGAAAAAGATCAAAATAAATACTATGTTAATGAAGGTATATCAGGAGTATATTCTGGTCTAAGTAAATTTATTAAAAGTACATTTAATTATGAATTAGAAAATCTAAAATAAGATCCTGATATCAAGGCTTAAATTAATCTAGTAAACTCTCATGAATTTATAGTATTATTTTCAAGACATTTTTTAAATACAAAAAAAGCTTTTTTAAAATTTTAAGAAGAAATTCTGCACAAAACTTATTAGGTTATTTAAAAAAATGATAGTGAAATCTAAGCATATTTTTCATGTGCATTATTACTTGAAATAATAATTGCAGGATGTACTTTTATATTTTGTATCAAAATAAAACAAGATCAAATATAACTAATGAGATTGTCTTTATGCAGTATTCCCATAGATTTATTAGATCAGCAATCAATAAGTATCTTAAAAACATTATGAATAATATATTTATTTTAATATGATTCTATAAAAAAAATCAATAATAATATCTTAACTTTTTTATTTTATCCTTTCAAGATATTGATAATTAATGATAAAATGTTTATTAAATGTTATGTTTTAACAATTACAGTATATAAAAATAATTGATCAATTCAAACAGAAATCCACTCTAACTTAAGATAAATTATCAATTCATTTATAATGTAGAATTTTTACATTATAAAACATATAAAAAGTTTCAACATCTATAAAAATTATAAAATATATTTCAAATTACACTTAAACCTAAATTCAAGTTTATTTTTGAACTGAAATTAAATAAAAAAATGCCTAAAATTATAAATATCAGTCCTTTGAGTATAAAAATGGAATATAAATGTAGATTAATGATATATTTTATATGAGAAAGCTTATAATGACATTCTTAGATATCATTATAGTATATTTAATTACATTTGTTGGATGAATGTTTAATTATAATTATATTATTATTTTATTCTTTAAATATTATATATATACTATAAGAGTGATTATTTTATATGATCAATAAGATTTCTTTAACTTCATTACTTTCGCTGCTTTTATTGTAAAACCTATCGTAACCACTATCATTAATCCAATAGTTAATATAGAAAAAATTATAATTTTGCTTGAGATTACATTCATTTTTTCATTCCTATTGGTCTACAACTACACTAAATCTAATTGAGCAGACTAATAGTTTATTTTAAGCATATACTTTTAAGTGTTGCAAAGTATTATTGTATTATTTCACTTATTTCTCAACTTCCTTCAAATCTTCCATAGATGCTAATTCTGCTTGAATTCCTTGTTCATAGAAAAATTAAATGTTCATTTAATAATGTGCAAGGTTATGAATACAAATTTGAATCTGGGTTGTTTCATTAAAAAGTTGAGTAAACTTTTGTGTTAATTCATGATACGTGTACAACAATTGCTTATTCACACCTGTATCTGTAATTTTTAGACTATAATCAGCTGACTCACCTTCTACAAATCCTTGAATCATTTCCTTCTCTTATAATCTATCTCCAAAACATCTTATTTATCTAGCTGGTAACTTGAATCTTAAATCTACAGCATTTGCTAAGCAAATTAGAAAAAATAACATTAAATTATATTCAAATAAAATTAAATAATTCTCATCCATTACAAAAATACTATTGAATGCTTTAGAAATAACTTATTGAAAGCATTATTTAATTTTTATTATCTAAAAATTTTTTAAATCTCATCAAAATATTGAAAACTAAAAAAATTATAAAATACATTTAAAGGGATAAATTTAAATACAAAAGAAATATAAACTAAATTTAATGACAGAATCTTAATCTCATAATTTAGTTGAACATTAAATTTAATTTAAATTAATATTATTATATAAATTGAATTTTCATATTTCAGACATTTTATAAGATAAATATTTCTTTTATAATTCTTCAACAACACCTTGTTTGAAATAGAAAAATACTCAATACCTTCTAAAAAAAAATGAAAAATGAAAGAAAATTAAAAGTTATTAAGAAAAAGGTATTTATTAATTTTTTCTAAAATAAATGATTATCAAGTGATTTTCCAATTATTATATAGAGAAATAATTCTATTAAAATTGATACTAGATTATAATTTTTATCTAACAGTTTAAGATGAATATTTTATCGAATTCTATTTTTAACTTTTATTTTTTGGCAAAGTATTTTGATTTAGTCTTAATAATGATATTTTAACATTAACATTAAAATATTGTCTGGTTAATAAAAATTTCTAGCTTATTATTTAAACAATTTGATATCACTTTGAATTATTATTTTTTTGAATTTTAAAACTTGTTTATTAAAGCAAAAATCATAGCCTGAACTCTTAAGATATAAATATATTTTTTTATTTATGATTTTTTGTTTAAATATAATAATTGTTCTTCATTATTATAAATTAAAATTTATTTATATGTTATATATTTCATATATAAATTAAAATCATTATTTTCATAGCAACAGAAGTTTTGTAAATGAAAAATATGGAAACATGATCTTTTAGAAAGTAACAATCATTTGGATAATTTTTTAAGATTCTAAATTTGAAGGTTGAGAAACTATGATATGAATATATAAGACTATTCGATAGATAATAAAACCTCAATAAAAAGTGAAAAAGGTTGCCATATATATTATATGGATACTTATTGATAAGATCAATTTTAATATAATATGTGTATATAAATCAAAAAGTTAATCGTTTTATTTAAGATACTCTATAGATTTCTTCTAGAACACATTAATAAACAATTTCTAATTTTGAACTGAAGTAATGACATACTAAATTATTATTAATTATGTTAAGATTCATTATAATACTAAAGATTTTATTTTTGAAATCATGTTCATTAGAATACTTTTTACATCTGGAAATAATTATACTGTTTCTATTATCTATTCTTCTTAAATAACAGTTGATTGACTCTCTTTATATAATGTATCGTAATCTCTAGTATATAGATTTTAATTATTTACTTCCCCATTATTTATGTCCATCTATATCTTAAGAATTTGTAATATCTATTTTTTACTGTGCTGAGTGATTTTGATGGAAAGTAAGTCGATATAACTTTGAATTTAGGTCCTAATTTTAATACAGATTAAAGAATTAATCTATCTTCACTTGGAGTAAAAGATTCAAATGCAGGGATTCTAGTTTTTTTTCTTAGTTCTACTTTCTTTGCTTTTGAATAAAGTCTTTTGCGTTTCATCTTCTTTTTTGTTATTGTATTTTCGCTGTTGATTTTTGAAACTACTTTTTGTTGATCATCTTTTTCTTTTTTTCTAATTGATCGTGTTTGTGGAGGCTCATGACTAATGGTTTTTACCTATTGTTCATCTTCATCTCCATTATTTGACATGAAGAAAATCAAGTAATTTTTAGGAATTTAATTATTGAATTTCTGTTTTGTGAATTTATACAAAAAATTTAGAAAGATTTTATAATTACAAATATATATTATAAATTAATCTTGAAACTCTTAAGACTTCTTAATTTTTCTTTAAATTTATATATTAATAAAATATATGATAAAACATAACTAAATTTTTAGACATTTTTATTAGTATTTATTATTTAATTATACACTAAAATGATTATATAATTTAATATACCTTTGATCATTTAAACACAATATTCGTTTCAAAGTTGCATTGTATTAGACCTCATAATTTTAATAATAAATATTAATTCATCAATTAAAACAGAAAATTACAAATATTTAAAATTATAATATAAGTAAAATATACTATCATACGTATATATGATGTAGAAGGTAAATATTTATGGTTTTAAAATGAAAAATTTAGAAATAAACTCTTAAGAGTATTACCTTAACTTTTAATTTAGATAAACTTTGAAGAATTTGATGTTTTTAATTCATCTTATAATAAAAAAAAATATATAAATAAATGGGAGGATTCTGCCCAAGTCAAAACATAAAAGTTCTTCCCTCACCAGTCATTCAAGAGGAGATAACTGTTGACCCTCAAATAGAAATTGATACTCTTATTAATTAAGAAACCAATTACAAACTTAGTTTAAGTCATAATTTCTCTCTTGAGAATCCTACATTATAAACTTGTGATGAAGTAATCTTAGAAATCCTCTCTATATCACTTTCATTTATGGTTAAGGATTTTTCTGAATAATCAAACTTTCTTAAATTGTAAATATAAAAATAGGTCTAAGACTTAATTCAATATAAAATTGATTTCCAGGAGGATCTTCTTAAAATGCTTATTAATTATTACGATTTTCTAAGTTATGTTTAAGAAAATGGAGCTACAAAGGTTATTTCTTGGTGGAAGGATCCTATTGGTGTAATTGAAGTAGAATAGGCAATTAAGCATTGGTCATAAGAATTTATTAAGTATGGAGGAAAATTGAGAAGAGAAAAAGCTTTCAGAAAACTAAATCATCATCCTAAACCACCAGAACGCTTTGTAAAAACTAGAGAATGGATTAAAAAATAATCAGAAGGATAGGAAGACGATCTAAAACCAAAAAGAGATGCTATAGCAACTACTAATAATTTTGAAGAAGGTTTTGAAGAAAATTGATGTAATTTAGGATATATTTATAAATATCTATTTTTTTAAATCAAAAAATATATTTCTAAAATACTTATCAAATTTATATCAATTTCTTGCTAATATTCAATGTTATTAAATTTTAATCTCATTTTCCTTAAATTAGATTTATTCTATAATTTCACTTATTGATTTTTTTCTCATTTTAATTAAGATGTTAATATATATATATAATTTAAACTTAATAATAACCTTTTTATTATATTGAATTTAAATTAATATTACATCTAATACCAAATTGGATATCTTAATTAATATAATCTTAAAAAATTTAATAGATAAAATTCTAATTCCAAATTGGATTCCCTAATTAAATTAACTTAAAAAATTTAATGAATATCTAAATATCTAATTTTTAATCTTAATTTAGAATATATGGGAACAAATATAGAATTTGGATAAAAATGGAATAAATTTTGTAATTAGAAAAGAAAGATAAAAAATATTGGTTAATTAATAAAATAAAAAAAATGGCTATTAATAATGGCATGGTCGTTCATTTTAGAGTCAACTGTGAATTTGTATTTTAAGGGTATTGATAATGATAAGTATAAGATGGTCTACAACAGCTGATGAAACAGGATTATTTTTTTTTGGATGTCTTATTGTAATGTTTTATTGTATGCTTCATATGAATCTGTATACAGTTAAATTAATTTTACCAAAAAAGTAAAAAAGTATCTAAAATTGAAGTTTGATTGTTGATATTAGTTGGTATTTAGTTTATGCAATGTCTGGTATAATGGTGATGTAATTGATAATGACAATGAATGGATGGGTGAATGTAGCAGTTGTTTTAGGATGCACAATAGGATATTCAATATAGGAATCTTGGTCATAAATTTATGAAAAAGAAAATTAAGCTCCTCCTGGAGGTTGTGAATTTTGTAATTGATATCATTCATATTATAAAATGATGTATTGAAAAATATATATAAAGAAATGATTAAGTAATAATATAGATTGATTTATGAATATATAAATTATATTAAATATGGAGGAGTGAAAGATTTAAACTAAAAGGATAACAGTAAATGATAAATAAAATACATGTTTATTTTTAAGTTTTAATTGATTATTGACTCATTTATGTTTCTTTTTAGACTTTTCTCTTCTTTTTTATTTTTTAATAGGACTTTCTTCTCTTTTCTTATGTTTTTTGGCAGATTTAGACCTCGATCTTTCTTTAGGTTTTTTATTTGTTTTAACTTCATCTAAAATGAAATAAGAAATAGAAATACCTTTTTTTGATTTTCTTCTTTTATCTTCTTCATCTTTTTCAACATGTTCTTCTTTAGTTTTTTTTAATAATTCTTCACTTCTTGATCTTCTCAATTCTCCTAGACCACCACCAAGACGACGGGGTCTCCATTTTAGAATAGTTCTACCTCTTTCGATGTCTACAACCAACTTTCTACCATCTATACGCTTATCTACTGCATATTTATAAGCTTATTTAACACTGTTCTTGCTCTCATACTCTTTTAATTTAAAATCACCCCCTTACCAATGAATGCATAGCCTCTAGGCTTATCTTATGTAGAATCACGTATGATTCTTATTGATTTGATTGGTCCATATTCTTCAAATTCTTTACGTAATTTTTTATCAGTTGTAGCATAATTCAATCTACTCACAAATAAAGTTTTATAAGGTTCTGATGTGATATTTGGATCTTCAAATGGATTCCATTATTAAAGTCTCTTCTTTAATTCTTCATTGTGAAGATTCTACTTTTCTAATCTCTTTAATATCTTAGCTGGCTTTCGAGATGGTTTTACAATATCTTTTATTATTAATACAATCATTACCTTTCTCTCTTTCCTCTCTTTACATCTATTCGTATTCATCTTCAAATTTATCAAGCATCCATTCAGCCTTTCTACCTAAACCTAATATTGGATCATAAGCTCTGCATTTTGGTTTTGGTTAAGATTTAATATGTGCTATTTAAGGAATCACAAATATTGGTTGCATCTTATTCTAAATATACAATCATACATCTGGTGGAAAGTCTGGTTTTCTTATGTTTGTCACCTATTACATTTACACTGGATTATTCATCATGTGTGCAAGTGGCATCATTGGTGGTTATGCTTGATAATACATTTTTAATTAATTTATATATTAAATATTCATTCCTACATATTATCATGCAATTATTTAACAATATTATTTTTATTTTTAATCTATTCCTTTTTTATCTCTATCCTTTTTTTTATTATCAATATATCCTAATATTTTGCATTTACAGATAGATCATTTAAATATCAATATGTTGTATTCTTTTTTTTATCTTTACTAACCAACTTTAAATAAATCCATCTGAAAAATATCTTAAATAAAACAATAAAACTAAAGTCTTCATTTTATTTTTTATGATTATTACTTTAATCATAGATATTTATTTTATATTAATAATTCGTTAACTTATCATGATAAATGAATAAATGTTTCAAGAACTCAAAAACTCTAATTTTAAATCCGTTATTGATAATTGTGTTTACCTCAAGAAAATATCAAATTCTTTGTATGGAGATGCAGAAATTTTGATTCATAAAGTTTATAATGTTTAATTGGTTTTAATTACAAAGATTTTCCATAGAAAAGAAGAAGCCAAAAAGTTACAAGAGGAAACAATATTGAGACTTAATCTTATTTCAGAAAAAATATTACGCTTAGTTTGTTATAATAGTAAAAAGAAGTATTTAAATTAGTAAAGGAAGTTAAAGAATTATGCGGCAACTTCTATAGAATCTAGTGGATATATGAATTTCATTCACATACACTTTAAGATAACATTTTACACAGAAAGAAAAAAGAACTTCCCTTTAGTGAAATTGAAATCATCAATCTTTTAGAAACAATACTCCAAGGATTTCAAATTTTAAAATCTGTTTCTATAAGACATGGTTATTTATAACCTAAACATATCATTCAAAAAACTAAATCTTAAAATTACTGTATATCTGATATTAAATTTATCACAAAAATGACAGAGTATTAAGAAGCTTTACAAAATATTGACTCTATTTAATAATGTTTCCTATCACCAGAATTACTCAAGGAATTGTAAAAAGGTAATTAAGAAAACTCAAGTTATGAAAAAAATGAGATATTTTCTATTGGATTAATCTTATTAAATTGTATGCTTCTTGAATATCCTGAAATTTACGATCTTCAAAATTTTGCTATTAAGTAACAAAAACTCTAAGAATATTTAAATATTGTTCAATAAAGATATTAGAGTGCCTAAATTGTAAGAGAAATGCTTCTAATTGACATTTATCATAGGTATGCAATTAATTGATAGTAGACCATCATTAGAACAACTTATTTCATTACTTACATAATTCAAATACAAAATGTAAGTCAAGCCATCTCCAAAACCTTAGACTAATTATATTCTTCATATTGATCAAAGCAAAGAAAATCACTCTTCATTATATGAACGTAAATATGCCACCGAAAATCAATAACATTCTACTACTCCATTAAAATCTAATTAAGAATAAACTCATACTCGTAAAATATCTTAATTGACACCAATTACACATCTTACACATTCTCCACTCAATTAGAATAAATAAGAATTTACAGAAGTTTCTACTATTAGTCAAAATAGTTACTTTTAATTAGATACTTCTAATATAAATAATTCTAGTTAAAGGGATCCATATAATTTTACTTATAGAGATATTACTCCAGAAAGAAAAACTAAACCATGTCCATCCCCATTTAAATAAATTACTTCTAATAATGTTCAAAATTCATCAAGAACCAATTATTTTTTTACATCTATTAAATAAAACGAAAGTTAATCTTAAATAAAACCAGAATAAATCAGTTATGATTTTGCCGAAGGAATTAAATTAAATGTTCCTAAATCGTTGTAATAAGAATTTACTAAATTAGAAAAAAGAAGTTACCAATACTTGAATCAGTATTAATAGCAGTTATTTTGAAATAAATATATATTTTCGTCTACAAATATCATAATCATAATATTTATATGAGTTTCATAATCTCTAGAATCTTTTTGTTTTTTTATTCTATCTTCATTTTAAATCATTTCATATTATTATTACTCAATTAATCCATAATGGTTATTTTAATCTTTATCTTTAGGTAAATCTGCAACACTTTATCTTAATCCTTTGCTCATATTTATGAGAAATATATATGTTTTAATTAATTTAATTAAAGGCACCTAACTATTTTTCTTTGTAATTTTATAAATTATTCTTATGATCATTATGAAATTCTATTAACTTTAGAGATTAAATAAATTAGACTGCTATTTAGTAGGATTTTTAGCATTAGTATATATATTAACTTATTTAAAATAAATTAATTGTTTTATTCTATTCGATAAAAATGGATTTATCATTTATTATGCAATTTTATATTCAAATTTTGATAAAATTTCAAATTGAATATCAACTTTTAATTAGGATTCGGTATATTTAATAAATCGCCATTTAAGTTAATTTTAATGTTTGGCTTAAAATTGGTTATAACCTTGAATTTACTGTTATAAAGTTTACTAATATTTATATTAGCTCCTTTAATTTTATAATAATATTGCATGGAATTCTTAGTAAAGATTTTACAAGTTTTATCAAAAGTGAGTTTTAAATTCTGTATTAGCTATTTAAAACATAAAATTTTATAAAAGAATTTAAATATGGAATATTTGCTAATTCAAATTAATGTTTATAATTTGGAAAATATTATGGGCAAGTTAATTATCAGAAATATCTTTATATGCAGACAAAAAATTTTTATTTTATACTTTTTTTTGTTGTTTTGAATTATATTGCTTACTCTATTAAAGTTAATCTATATTAACATAAATATTTTTTTCATGATAGTAATCTGATATTATTTATGATTTTATTTTCTTGTAGATTATTTCCATTCACAACGTCATTATAAATTTCATTAATTAAAGATCTTAAAAAAATCATATCTTTGCTGTATTATCATAAACTAATGACCATATGGAGCTTAAAAGAATGGTTTTCACTACTTCTTTAGTTATATTGATTTCGATCTGTATTGTGATCAATCTCAATAAATTATTTTTTGGCTTCAAATCTCTATGGAAAAAGTTTGGTTCTTAAAACTAACAATTAAAACAATTATCTGAAGTTCTTTAATTATTTATTTAAAATATTTATGTATCTATCAAAATTTTTATTTTACTTATTATGATAATATTTTTTTCTATAATAATCATGATGGATAGCCATTTGAGCACTATTTATTAAGTAATTATGAAAAAAAATATTTGTATTAGAAAAGTAAGAAGAAAAAAGACAGTTGATTTTTTAAATATTTCATCTAAAGAACTCTTTTAATTACATAAAGTTTATAAACATCTAATAGTAGAGAAGGTTGCTCTCTATCCAAATATACTAATATTTGAAAAAAATATATTTTCAATCAATTTTAATAATTAATTGCAGAATTAAATATTTTCATTTAATAATTCAACATTATTTGATTATTGATGAAAATTATTAAAATTTCCAATGTTATACATTATAACACCATAATAAATAAATAAAAAACGAGAAAATTTTTATTCAAATTTAAGCTAATTATATTGGATATATTAAGAGATCAAGATATTTAATTGACTCGTTTGATAATTTGAGATACATATTTAAAAAAATGAAACATTATTTACCTTAATTTTACTTGTTTGTATAATATGATATTTTAAATAATTATTACTTAGTGTAATCAAAATCAGTTAATCATTTTTATTTTGTGGTTAGAGATAGATTAACTAAAAAAATTTAAATTGGCTTAGATACGTGAATTTTAAATTAAGGCAATCTCTCTGAAATTATCATATAAAGAGTTTGAATGAACCAAAAGTTATTACATTAAATAAAACATAATTTCAATATTTTACAACAAATATCGATATTAAGTAATTCACATTTTGGATATCATCAATTTTAAGAACAGTAATTTGGTCTAAAGTTCATTAATGAGGGCTATCTTTGATTCTAATTACTCTTTAGTATCATCAAATTGATTTTGGATAGACTTTTTATTTTGTTTTGTACTTGTTTCCTTCTTTGAAGGATCATTATTATTCTTTTATTATATTATTTTCTTCTTTCTAATCATTTTCAATGAGATTTTTGGAGTAATAAGTTAGTAAGAAACAGTACAAATATTTTTCAATTCCTGACAAATTAACTTAACATTTTCATTTTCAGAAGTTTTTAAATTCGCAATTGTATTGATTTCATTTTAAGGTTGGCTCTTTATTTCCATAAGACTTTAAAAATGATTGGAAAATTTGTTAAATTTTATTAATATGAAAAAAAATTCATATTAAGTACTCAAGATCCATTTAATCTATTTTCAAAAAAGGGATTTATAGAATATAATGATCTAATATTTAATTTTATATTATTAATTAAATACTGATATATTGAAAATGACAGAAGAAATTATAAGTCAATATATTCCTAAATATAATAATGGAACTGCTATTTTAAAAGATTTACTTCGAGATGGTCTTGAGTAAGCATTCATTAGGAAATTCAAAAATAAAGATGATTCAATATATATTTCCGAATTTAAATTGAGACATAATTTAGAAAAAAGAGATAAAGATAATGATCATCTTATAGAATAAAAAAAAAAATCAAACTTAATAATCAAAAAGATATGATGAGATGTGTAAACATTATCCAAAACATAAAAGTGGAAACTGATTTACAATACAATCCTAAATATTTCCAAGAAAATACATTTTTTATGAATTAAAATTTGGATGCCATTAAATAAAAGATTATAGAAAAGAATAATGTATAAATTATTAAAAAGGCATAGGAATTTAAATCGATGCAAAAAGCTCTCAACATTTGGTTTTAATAATCATAATAATAAAAAAATGAAGATGCGAACAAATATTAACAATAAACAAATAAAAAATAAATGAATTAATCATCATAAATTATTATTAAACAACATCAAACTGAAGGAATTTAGGTTTCTGGTATTATTACAACCAAATAAGGATATAAAATATCATATCCTAATTTAGCATATATCCTCAAAGCTACTGATATTCCAGATATAGAGCCTTAATGCTCTTTGATTAAGAAAATCAGGCCATTAAAACAAGTAAATTTTGACTATTTAGATGATTTGAGAAGATATGTTTGGAAATATAAATAATATACCTAGTTTTTCAAAATTCTCCTTAAAGTTTCTTAAGGCAATACTGAAATTTCAGAAACTCTTGTAAAAATTTAAAAGAGAATGAAAACAGGATTTTATCATGTCATGACCTTTTATCACATTTCCAATAGAAGTTGGTCTATTTGTAAATTAATCAAGAATTTAAATAAAAAAGGACTTTATTAACGAGAAAGGTAGAATCTTTATGATGTAATAAATCATATATGACAATAGAAAATTTTGGAAAACATTCAAGAAGACCTTGAAGAAATTTTTAACCCATTATTATTATCAACTGATTATGTTCCAATAGAGGAACAATACATTTCTTTTTAATAGTATAAAAAAAGACTCCAAGAAGTTATTTTAATGAGAGAAAATGGACTTTGAGTGGGTATTGATTCTATATATTTATTTCTAATTAAACTAGTAAATAGATTAATAATTAATATATATTCTCTTGTGAAATTCATTATTTATATTAAAAAAAAATGTTTTTATTTTATTTATACATTCAAAAAAAGTCTTATTTACATAAGTAAAACTATTGTTTAAGTATGCTTTAATTGAAAACATTTTTTATGATTTAATAGGACTAAAAAAAGATGAAAAAAATAATATTTTAAATGCATTTATTATCAAAGTATAAAAATAATTTTGATAATATTTATATATAAAATGAGAGTAATCGTTTTTAGTTTCCTTTTTATTAGTAATTTATGTGCTTATAGGATCAACGAGAATTTAATATAGGAGAAGGAAAGAAGATTTGATGAAGATAACTAATAGTAAGAGTAAGAGTACTCTGAAAAATTATAATAGTGTTTTGAAAACGAATTAGATGCAAAATAGGAATTAGAAAATGGTAACTCAATTAAAGTATTTTTGAGTAATGAAATTTGATGAAAAAACAAAAGGATTTGGAGAAGGATATGAAGTATACAGTGAGGATTAAAATGAATTAAATGATGAAATAGAAGGATTTGGTGATGGATTGGATGTTTATAAAGAAGAGGAAGAAAAAGAATTAAGGGATGAAAAATTAGGAAATAAAATACATGGATTTGGAAAAGGTGAAAATGTTTATGAAGAGGAAGAGAAGAAAGAAAATGAATAATTAGAGGTTAAGGGATTTGGTAAAGGAGAGGAAGTTTATGATTAGGAAAGGTAAGAAAAAGAAAAGTCAGAGGAAAATGGATTTGGAGATGCTTTAGGAACGATTGATGATTATGAGAATTAATAAGAAAGTGAAAATTAATTTGTATAGTTGTCAAGAAATTTAAGAAAAAAAGGATGATTATTAATATTACTGTGAAATAGAGGAACATCAATAATAAATAGAAAAATATGGCTTATATGTTATATAAACGATTATGATAATCAATCTCTATCAAAGAGTCTGTCTAAAAAGCTCTTTTATTTCTATTGTGGTTATTGGGTTGGTTGTGGGTTAGGTCTTGGATTTTAAGCCTGTTGTAAATTAAAATATAGTACTTGTGTTCTATCTAATGGTTATTAAGGTCTAGCTTATGGGACTGTTCTGGTTGGTACTTAAGTCTAAGCTAAGGGAAGACTAGCAACTGGAGGGGGAACGTAGGTTGTTTATTAAAGTGGAACAGTTTAAACTGGGGCAGGGGCATATTAAACTGGTTATGGAGCATATTAGACTGGCTATGGAGCATATTAGACTGGTTATGGAGCATATTAGACTGGCTATTGAACATATTAGACTGGTTAGACGACTGATTGAGTGACAACTGGTTATGCAACAACTTATTAAACTGGTTAGGCAACAACTTATTAAACAGCTTATTAATGAACAACTTATCTCTCCACTGGATAATATTCAACTCTTTCTTAATATCTATCCACAGGAACGTATTCTGAAAATTTAAATTTTTAAATGTCGTACCTGTAAATTTTTCTTAGAAGACTTATGGCACATATTCTGTTTAATATTCAACTGCATAATAATCAGTAACATATTTCTCTCTTGGTACTTAGATTCTTTATCTCACTTCTTCATATTCGAGCACAGTTTTCTCATATGGGACATATTCAATTCTGCTCTCTCCTTTTATTGTTGGCTGAGCAACAACAGATTGAGCAACAACTGGTTAAGCAACAACTGGTTAGGCTACAACTTGTTGAGTAACAACTGGTTGAGCAACAACTTGTTGAGGTACATAGGTCTAGGGAACGACCTATTAAACGACGGGTGGGGCATAGGAATATCTTAATGGTGAAAGAGGAGCAGCATATGGTTGAACATAGCTGGGTTATCCATAATATGGTTGTGGTGCTTATGGGACTTGTTGTGGATGTTATGAAGGTGGGATATTGCTCATATATAAATTTTATTTAAAAGCTCAGAGGGAAAAAAAGATATGAATTAGCCCTTATAATTAATTAATTTATATGAATTAGGAGGAATAAGCAAAAGAGTCAATTGAAAGAGAGTCAGATGATAATGAAAAGAATGACAAAAAAGATTAAGTGTTACCTCTAGAATAGAAGAAGAAAAAGAAGAAAAATAAAAAGAAAAAGAAATGGGGAGAAGAAGGTAATTAAAAACTAAATCATTAATAGAGGAAATTCTTACAGATTTTGATGATGATTGGCAAAATAAGGTGAAACAATCTAAAATCTTGTAAGATCCAGATCTCCCTTAACATATAAAGGAGAAATATGCAATTTATGAAAATAATCCATTCATGATGATTATTTCAAATGTACCTTTAAATGTTCAATTGAAAGAACTAGAGGAATATTTTAATACATTAATTACATCTCTTGATCCTAAAATAAGTAAATTGATTTCTAATATTAGATGAAAGACCAATCAAATCTATTGAATATGGGGCCACTAAATCTTGGGTTGTTTTAGAATGCAGTTCCAAAGAAGCTAAAAGAGCACTTGTTACTTAGGATTAAGTTTAATTTGTCAATAATTGTAAAATCAAAGTTGAAAGACCAAGAAAATTTTTAGAAAGAATTCTAAATCCATAAGCAAAAGATGGAGAACTGAATCAAGAATAAAAATAAGAAGATAATACTAGATTATATTTAGGAGGATTGCCTACTTATTTAAGAGATGAAGATGTGATGAAACTTATTTAATCTTTTGGAATTACCAAATATTTCAATCTAGTCAAGGATACAACATCAAATACTGAAATTTCTAAAGGATATTGTTTCTTTGAATATGAAAACACTGTTTCTACAGCTAAAGCTCTTAAGGCATTAAATAACTTATAAATTGGAGATAAAAAGTTAAAAATTTGTAAAGTTCAAGGAGAAACTCAAACAAATAAAAAAATAAATGGAAAAGATCAACCATCTAATTATGCTGGGTCATTCTTAGCATCTTGTGATTTATTGAGAATTCCTCAAGTTTAGTAGATGCTCACCATTCCACAATCTGCCTTAATCCCAAGTAAAGTTGTTTAATTTTTAAACATGGTAATCATCTTTTTAATATATTAAGTGTTCAATTCAAGACTTATATGAGGATGACATTTTTGAAGAACTTATGGAAGATATTAGAAGTGAATGTATACGTTTTGGATAAATTGAAAAAATAGAAATTCCTAGACCTGATAAAGAATCAGGGTATTTATACATTTTTAAATAGATTCTGCAATCCAGCTGTTGGTAAGATTTTTGTTAAGTTTTACTATCAAATTCCAGCAAAAAAAGCCAAATTCCATTTAGCTGGAAGAACATACAATAAGAGGACTGTTATTACTTCATTCTATCCTGAAGAATAATTTGATTATAAAGACTATTTGATAAATGGATGATTTAATATTATTATGATATAAATTAATGATGATGATCTTATTCCATAAAATATTAAGGTTTATTCTCACTTAAGGACGCTTATATAAAATTTTAGGAATTTGTTTCCAGAAGCAAAATCAAATTACAAAATAAATCAATTGTGATTTTGGATAACAACTTTATTTCTTCAAAATAACGACATTCACTTTTTCTAACATCCACATAAAAAGTAATAATACTATGAGGATATATACTCAAAAATATTACAAAACAAATCATGTATTTTTCAAAATATCATTAAGACAACAAAAAACTGGGTACTTTAAGAGATCATGAAATGTAAATTCGTTTATATCAGATTTCATCAAAATTCATAAAAAATCCTTAATAATTTATTGAATAAAAATTAATATTTCATCTTTTTTGCAACTCATATCACATGATCTTTAAATTTCCTATCAAGAATAGCCTTAAGTCACTATAAAAAAATTGGCTGAGAAATTAGAAACTTAAATTTATAAATTAGTTTTATTCTAGAGATGAAACTTAAAGTATTTTAAAACATCAGGGTTCCAAAACTGAGTTAAGAAAGCACAATAAAAACTTACTCTAATTTTTGCAGAAGTATTGAGGCATAATACAATATTTTTAAATTGGTTTGAGTTAATTCACATATATGAATGAAATTATTCAATTTGTCTTTTGAACTTTTGATCATTTTGCTTAAACATAGGAAATATAATATTAAGGAAAGCTTAATGATATAATCTATCGTACAAAGGAAAATTTTGCCAAAACTTTTTAAAAGTGAACAAAAACCGAAATTAAAACTATGATTAAATAATTTAATATGTAAAAATAATAAACATTCCTTGAGAGTAGTTTTAGTAGTCAAACCAGTAGTAGTAGTGAAAATGAAAATAAAACCTAATCGTAAATTTGAAGAAATTGCATTAAAAATTATTAATTAATGTATTAAAGAATTCGGTTCTGATTTGAAATATGCTGAATAAGAAGGAGGCAAATTACTATCAATTGAATAAACTGAATATTTCTTTAATGATTATATCCATAAACTAGGAGTCTAAAATTTGATTTCTTATGAATTTCAAGATCATACTGTAGCTCCTACTAGTGTAATTCATAATCCAACTAATGGTAAAAGCAAAGTAATTATTGGTTTGCCTATAAACTATCGCATTAATCGTATTGAAGGAGTGCTCAATCATGAAATTGGAACTCATTTTATTAGAAAAATTAATGATCGATAATAATAATGGTATTAGTCGTATTATTTATATTTATAATTATATATATATTTTATAATTTTAAATTAATAATACAAAAAAAGGTATAAATTAAAATGATCAAGAGCTAAATATCATTTGGAACCATACTTAAAATATGAAGAAGGATTGGCTGTTGTTAATCAAGTTCTTCCTCAAGCTCTTAAATAGAAAGGCAAACCTTACTTATTTATGGCAGCTTCACATTATATTTCTGTATAAAATTATTATTAATAAGTCTATTATGGTAGTTAAATGAGTTTTGCAAAGTTACTTCAAGAATTAAGATATTTTATATAAGATGATGAAGCTAGATTTCGAGAATGTTTGAGAGTTAAGAGAGGTTTGAAAGATACATCATAACCAGGAGGAATGTACAAAGATCAAGTGTATCTTACAGGTGCAATCAAGATTTTAAAATACAGAGGAAAATTAAATTTTATTCATTTACATATTGGAAAGATTACAATTAAAGATTGCTTTAGATTGGGAGAAAATGGATAAATATTTACTAAAAATATCTATCTTCCTCCTTTTTTATAAGAATTAGATCAATATAAAAAAGGTTTGGATAAAATAGCTTCACAAAATTTCATTAATTTTATATGATAAGAATAATAAATTAATAATTAATTATAAAATATTAAAACAATTTATAACTTACTTTGCTCTTGATATTATGTTTTAATTTTAACAATTTATAATTATGTCATCAAATATTATTCAAGATCATATAGTTTAGACTAAGAATAAAGTTTTTAATCATTGATTGACAATTTACACCCAAGACTAAGTTATGTAAGTTCTATTCTTCTATTTTAATAGTTGTTATATTAAGGCAATTAGAATTTATTATATAACTATTTAAAGTTGAAAATATATTATTTTAAAATTAATAATATATAAAAAATGTGATTATTGATTTTATTATAAAATAATTGATGAAACAAAACTTATAATGATAAAAATTAATGTTAAGGATTAGTTTGAAGAGCAACCAATTATTATTAGTCTGATTATTTTAGTTAAAACCTATTATTAATATGCATTATATTTATTAATTACTTGAGTTGGATTTGTTAATTATTGAATGAAAATATTATTANCAAAAAAAGGTATAAATTAAAATGATCAAGAGCTAAATATCATTTGGAACCATACTTAAAATATGAAGAAGGATTGGCTGTTGTTAATCAAGTTCTTCCTCAAGCTCTTAAATAGAAAGGCAAACCTTACTTATTTATGGCAGCTTCACATTATATTTCTGTATAAAATTATTATTAATAAGTCTATTATGGTAGTTAAATGAGTTTTGCAAAGTTACTTCAAGAATTAAGATATTTTATATAAGATGATGAAGCTAGATTTCGAGAATGTTTGAGAGTTAAGAGAGGTTTGAAAGATACATCATAACCAGGAGGAATGTACAAAGATCAAGTGTATCTTACAGGTGCAATCAAGATTTTAAAATACAGAGGAAAATTAAATTTTATTCATTTACATATTGGAAAGATTACAATTAAAGATTGCTTTAGATTGGGAGAAAATGGATAAATATTTACTAAAAATATCTATCTTCCTCCTTTTTTATAAGAATTAGATCAATATAAAAAAGGTTTGGATAAAATAGCTTCACAAAATTTCATTAATTTTATATGATAAGAATAATAAATTAATAATTAATTATAAAATATTAAAACAATTTATAACTTACTTTGCTCTTGATATTATGTTTTAATTTTAACAATTTATAATTATGTCATCAAATATTATTCAAGATCATATAGTTTAGACTAAGAATAAAGTTTTTAATCATTGATTGACAATTTACACCCAAGACTAAGTTATGTAAGTTCTATTCTTCTATTTTAATAGTTGTTATATTAAGGCAATTAGAATTTATTATATAACTATTTAAAGTTGAAAATATATTATTTTAAAATTAATAATATATAAAAAATGTGATTATTGATTTTATTATAAAATAATTGATGAAACAAAACTTATAATGATAAAAATTAATGTTAAGGATTAGTTTGAAGAGCAACCAATTATTATTAGTCTGATTATTTTAGTTAAAACCTATTATTAATATGCATTATATTTATTAATTACTTGAGTTGGATTTGTTAATTATTGAATGAAAATATTATTATTATATGGACGATGTCTTTGTCATTTAAATTTAATCTATTTTCAGAGTTGAATTTCATCTATATATATTTATTTAATGTCAGTATCTCATTGGTAGCTATCAAGTAATGATCATTTAATCTAATGGTTGATATCTTATATATTTTGGAAATTATTTTTTAAAACAATAACATTATATAATAATCAATGACTTGTTAATTTAACTATAGTATAGATAAATGAACATAAACCTCCACAAATTCCAAATGAAAGAATACTATAATATGTGAACTTACTTTTTCTTTTTGTTTCATCGTTTTCAAAATATTTTTTATGTATTAATATTGGAAATAGAAAATTCAAAGAAGCTCCACCAATAGCTCCCAATATATTTACAATGTATGCAAATTTAGGGATAGAATAGCCTATCAATCCAAGTATTATATTAATAAAAGATCTAACTTGAGTATTTGAGTTCAGGATTAATATAATTTTTTAACTTTTCAATTCTTTCTATTTATTAAAATGCTGGTAGAACTTAAAGAGGATATGAACATATTAAACCAAAAGCATAACAAACTTAAACCACATAAGATACAGGATTGTTATCAAGACAAAATAAAATTATTTATTGATTTTCCATTCTACTACCCATACCCCATACAGATAATAATGTAAAAGCAAGAAATAATCCTAAATTGAAATAAGAAACAACATTGAAAAGCTAATCTATTAAAATAACTTCTTACATTCTTAAATTAAGTTCTGACATAGTAATTCTATTAGCAAATGCAACAGGAAGAATCCCAAAACCATATGCTTTACTCCTATAATCATTGGAAACTATTCAAAATGAGCTAAATTCATTACATTTTCTCTGATTCCATTACCATCAAGTATTTGATACATTATTTAATTATTTTTCTTATTGATAATATCTTTGATAACTCCTTTAAATACTTGTTTTTTTATATCTTTATCTAATTATTTTCAATTTTCTTAAATTTGATAAGAATTCATTAATTAAAACTTTAATTATATCATTTTAAAATCTGTAAAAGTTATAGACTAAACTGATAAATTTAAATTTGATTACATGTAATATAAACTAAGCCAATATATATTGTCAATAAAAGAAAGAGGTAGTACAATACAAAAGGCCATTATCAAATATATCCAATATCCTGCTCCAGATTAACTATCAGCATTTGAAAATATATGAGCAAAGAAGGAAATAAAAAATATCAAATATGCCACTGCTTTTCTTAATTAATAGGCTATCAAAATAACTTTTGTTACTGTTTCCCTTTTTCACCATATGTTACTTCAGCCACTTCTGTAAGTCCTTAATTTTCTTTATTTTCTTCGTTAGCTACTTCTATTAAATAATGAACGCATAACTTCAGCATATAAACACTTATTAAAAAGATAAATATTGCTAAAAGCCAACCTCCAACATAAAAACTAAATGGCATTGCTAAAATTCCTGATCCTACATATCCTTTAATAAGTGTCAATGCACTATCTTTATAAATACCTTTGACAGATACTTTACCTATATATGATTTCTCATGCATATAAACTTAATCAAAATTCTACTTTTGATCTTAGTTTTAGTTAGTGACAATCTCATACAAACTTGAGACATATTTTTAATAAATAGATTAATATACCAATTCTATCATTTCTCACATATTTTAATCATCTTATACCGTTTAAGTTTTAATTTGTACTCTTCAAGATTGATAAACTTAAAACATTATTGAGTTTGCATAAAATATCAAATATTCATACATTCAAAGATGATTAAAAATTCTCTTTATACTAAATGTGTATGTTGATTGAGAATAATAATAATAATCTGAATTAATATAATAGCATAATCTGAATTAATATAATAGTCATTATTAATTCCTGCGCACATTCTTATTAATTGGATATTAGGGTTCTCCAGTAGATTCATCAAGATCTGGTGCTGCTTCATGCTAAATTCTTATAATTAAATTACTCTTGCTTCCAAAAAGAATTCATTATAACCTCTAAACACTGTATAAACATTATATGCTATAAGACATAAGATTCCATTCACAACATATACATGAGCCTTATTAGCCATTTTGAAACCTTTAGTCTCTGCCTTTGATAAAAGAGCATCCAATTTTTTCCAAATCATTATAAAAAATAACACAATTATTTTTTAGAATATCAGAATTTGATAAATTTGAACAACTTTATAAATTTTAGAAGAATATTTATTTTAAGTAAAATAATCATTATCGAATCAATATAATGTATATAATTTTCATTTTTTTTATAAAAATTTAAGTAATTAAGTTCCTTACATATTTTTTAGACGACCATTAGAAATTTATTTTTGTAATGCAATTAAATTCTTACCTGCTTATTCAAAACTTTAACTAGAGACTGTTTATTCTAATTTTTAAGAGTCAAATTACTATGATACATATTTAATTAACCTTTGATAGCCCTTTATATTTCATTAATTATAACTATTTTTCAGGACTTGCTGTTTAATGTTATAATTCATTAGTTTTATCTGACCTTTAAAGTTTATGACGTACATTATCTCGTTATCTTTCAGTTTCTGTCATTTTAGATTCAAGAAATTATTAGGTTTCATCATTTATTCTATGTAACCCTAGATCTTTTTTTCCTGACATTTATATTCTTCCTTTAGAGAGTGAACGATCAGCATCTGTATGACAAACCTTTGAGAAAATCTTCAAATTTGTTTCATAAGTAGAATTTTGATTTGATTTCTAAGCTTTATTTTGAACAAATTTGCCCAACCTCTCAAAAGCTGAAGGAGTTTTCCTGTGGATTATTTCTATAGGAGAATTGTCTGAAAATTTCTTATTTTAATCCTAATAAATATTCAGATAGATACTTTAATCATCTATTCTAAAGATCGTATTTTATCTTATTGCTGTTAAATTATAAGATCTTTTTAAACATTTAGTTCTTCAATTTTTTACATTAAAGCTTCAATTTACAATTTTTACTATTACTCTACTCTTATATGAGAACGTATTTATGCTTCAAGATCTTATATTATTGATTCATAATCATTATTAATATGTTCATCTAGTTATTCTTCAAATAAAGATTTGATTCTATAATTGTATTAAATAACATAGCAACCGATTCAAATAAGCTACAATTTAAAGTATGTATTCATATTATTATTTTTGAGACTATTCACAAATCTCTTTGGTAGTTTACTTATTCATTTATTAATATGCTTCCACAACATCCTAATAAGAAAAAAATTATACTTTATCAATAATATTGAGTACATCTATTAAGAGCTATTTTATACTTTCCATATATATATATAAATTAATAAAAAGGAGAAGAAAAGATTTTTTAGTTAGTAAGGATGAAATTTGGATGATGAAGAAGAGTTTGAAAGAATTATCTAAAAATGAGAAATATATAATAAGAGAAAATTATGCAAAAAAAGATGGTCACTGAAATTTATTAATAAAATATATATTTAAAAGTTGAGTTTATAAAGAAATCAGATGATTAAGTTTAAATGAAAGTGCTTTTGATAGGAAATGATTTGAAGACAGTGTTTTAAGATAATCCATTTAGTTATAAACTTTTATGAAGTACTTTTGCAGTTATCAAGAAAATAAATAATCATGCATAATATTTAAATAGGTGATTATAAAAATACATATCGTTGTTATCAGAATTTATTATATTCTACATGAATAATTAATTTTAATTCATCTAAAAAACAGAAGGATATCGAAATAAAGTTAGCTTACAATTATTAGAAATTAATAAGAGAAAAATTTTAATTTTTAAAATATTTGTGTATAAAAAACAGCAATGAAGGCTTTGGGTATTTTTTATCAGAAGATTCAATAAAATTAAATAGAGAAAAGAGTAGGTTAAAATATTAAGTGAACAATATAATATATGAGTGTCTTTTTTTGAGTAATTGTTATGAGAATTATCACATTATTTAATCAGTTAATAAAATAGTGTAGTAAGTATTTAATATAGCTTAATTAGAAATTTATTGACCAAATAAAGTATTTGAATCTATTTTTATTATAATAATATTGTAAAAATAAAAGAAAAGAATAACTATATAAAAGATGATGAGTTTACATTTTAAAATGGATGAGAATGTTTGATCATAGAAACTTAATATTATAATTTTGCTGCAAATCATAAAATTGTAATGAATTATAAATAAGGTGAAAATAATTTAGTTTAGATGTAAGGCATATTAAAAATCATCTATTTTAATGATCAATGAATTTATATCAAATATCAAAGAAAAATGGAAAGTAATTATGATTCTAATAGAATAGATCAGTCATGATTATTACTGTAGATTTACCAATTGCTGGTTATATTTAACTCATTGATGAAATCATTAAATTTATAAATACCAAATATTTTTGATATAAATTATACATAAATCAAAATAGAAATTATTAGTGTAAAATTATTGATATGAGAGTTATACTAATATGATTATTTCAATTTATTTATTTGATACATATTTCAATATGAAATAAAATATCATTTATGTAAAATATATATATATTTATATGGTTTAATAAATAATCATCCACTTTTGAATAAAAGTATAGCAACTTATCCCATATAAAAATATATGAAATGCTTTGTCTCATGTGTAACATATGAGCCAAAGTTTCTACCTACTATACAATGCCATGTTGGATTGTACTTTTTATCAAATTCCTTTTTAATAAATGCCTATCAATGTTAAATATGAAATTTACTGCAATATCTTTTTCTATATTGAATTTCTCCAATGCTTGATTTGCACAATCAATAGCATCCTATTACATTTCCTCTGACATGTCTGCATTCTTTACTACTGCTTTTCTGTCTGCTTAAGCCATTTAATTTTATTTAATTTTTAAATTTATTAATAACTATCTTCATTTTATATAATCCAAATTTATATAGTACTTTTAATTTATCATTTTATCAGTCAAATTTTACAATCTATCTACATTTAGGGCATTCAGATCTAGCTTTCAACCAATCAGAAATACAAAGCTTATGATATACATGATCATTATGACAATCTAATCTCACAAACTATTCACCTTCTATAAATTCTGATAGACAAATAATGCATTCATTATCTTCACTTATTTTATCCAATCCAACTATTTCCACCTTTAATTTCTTTAGATTTTCTTAACTTACACCTACTCTATTTATTTTTTAAAGATTATGCATATTTATACAATAAGCAAAAGGTAATACTACTAAATAAATTACAAATATTAAAGTTGGAATTCCTATTGTTATATATCTCATTATTAAATAAGTAAATGCCACTCCCCAAGTAAAATCAAATTCTGATATCCCAATCTCACATTCTCCATATAAATTCTTATAAATTTCCACTTGACCAAATACAAAGACCACTATATCTAATCTAAGAATTCATAGACATTTTTATACACAATTGTTAAATATTTCACAAACTTATAACAACTATGATAATCTGATATGGCATCAGACAAATATTTTGTATTTGTAAATGAATACTCAGGATAAGGTAATCTATTCTCACTTTCATTTTAATTTATCTCTACTAAATCATAATAAATTATCAATAATAAATATAACATTTGGAAAGCTTACTATATTAAACTTTTAAAGTACCAACGCATTTATTATTATAGCTAAAATAAAAAATTCACTCAAAGTTGTTTTTAAACAAATAGTAGGTAACAACCCTAAAGCTAAAAACAGCAATAAGAGTTCTACCATCGAAAAAATCAATCTGAAAATAGCTTCATTACGTAAACTCTTAAATACAACAATTTAATTAGATCTAAATGCCTACATATTTTAAGTATTCTAAGCCATCTAACTCTCTTATGATAATAATATTAAATAACCTTACCTAATTAAATAATATTCATTATTTATTAATCAGTTAGTTATTCTTCAGGAGCAACTTGCTACATAAATTTCTTTATTTAACTTTTTTATATTAATTATAATGAAATTGTAGTATATAATGAAATTATTCAATTTGAATTCAAAAATAATTAAAATGAATAATATAAATATCAAAATATAAAATCAACATGCAAATAGTTGTATTAAAAGAAATGGCAATCTTAAGTCCATTAAATTTAAATATATCTGAATCATGCAAAAACTTATTTGTATAAAAAAGTGCTGTAATTAATAGAGGGATTGAAATAATATAGTTAAGGATTTATTAATCCTTATTAATAAACACCATAATTGATAGAACAATAAAAGGAATAATTATTTCATACAAATGAAAAAGTTCAATCTGAAAAAAATTCTGTTTTACTTGATAATTCAATTTTATTATAATCTTAACTTGAATAATCCCAAGTTATTGCTAATAATGAATGATATATATATAATATTATTATAAATTGTTATAATCAACAAGTTTTTGGATATAAATTATTGTTATCAATTTCTTAAACTATTTTAAAATTTCCATTTTAATCTATGCATAATATTTTTAAGATTTTCGATCTTTTATAATTTATGTATTATGTATTTGAAACTCCATTAAAATATATATTAATAGACAAAGCCAAAGAATTATAATTATTAACCTCATAATCTTACAAAAAAATGATAGCATTATTCATATATTCTTAGAATTAAAGTAAAGAATCTAATTATATATTTATATTTATTTACAATTCTTGCCTTATTTACTTTTTATGTGTCCACAACCAGTAAAATAACCACCAACTTAACAATTCATATTCTTTCCTATTTTTTAATTTGCAATCAAGTAAACTGGTATTTCTTATTCATTTTCCCATTTAACTATAATAGTAAATTTGTTATTATTCAATCTGAAAGCATAAAGAGTTAACTTTTCTTCCTAAACAAAGAAGTTTCCGCAATAATCAAAATACTTTTCATTTTTAAATAATATCGTTAAGTATGATCCTTTCTTGATATTGTATATAATATTATTATCATTAACAGATTATTCAAAATATGGTTGATTATTAATATGAGAACATTGAATAAATTCTTTATATACTCTTAATGTTCCTTTTCCAATTAATTTATTACTTAATATATCAACTAATTTCAATTCTACATTTAATAATTTATATAATAATTAAGAATTACTTTGTAGTAATCTATTTTTTTATTCTTTAACTTATTCTACTGAATATTCAATTTATATTTATGAGCTATCTGAACAAACTTATATATTATTAAGCCCTTAAATTAATTAATTTTTATTTCCTTTGATAACAATCTATTGTTGAATATTATTTTTATTGAAATATTCATTTGTAAATTCTTAATTAAATGATTTAACATAGTTTGGTTCTAATTACTTAAAAAAACTATTTGAACTTGTTAATGCCACAATAAATTCATATTATTCACAGGTTGTATCACAATTAATTGCTTAAAACTCATTGATAGAAGTTAATTTACCAACAGTTGAACAATCCTATACACTAAAACTATTTTTAATTTAGTTGAAATTCACTTAATTAAATTAAGGAAGGATATCTTATTCAACTTAATAATCAAGAGAAGGCTAAACTTATAATTTTGATAAAGGTATAGTTTCTAAACAAATAATTCCAATTATGGTTGTTATAAAAAATAAGCTTATAATAATTTTTTATGTTAAAGGATTAAGTAGTTTACTAATCTAATATTTTACTGATACTGTATACATAGCATATGTATTTATAAAAAGTAAAGTAGCTTCAAAAAGAAAAACTAAACCTAATTGTAAATTAAGATTTTTAATATAATTGATAGCTTTTTCTGCACAATTTTATTATAAACATTTTAGCTCATTATTTTGTTCCCATGCTTCAACTTAATAGATTAATGGACAATTTTCATTTTTTAAATATTTGACACATCCCAAATCTTCAATAATATCCCTATGTAAGGCACGTAAAGCTAATTGATCATTAACTGGAACCCAAAACTATCCATTTCTAATAACTAAACATCCAAAGACAGTATGCAAGATAGATAAAAGTAAGAAAATAGTACCCAAAATATTATAGGCCTTCTTATTACCCATATAATTGAATAACATTGATACTGCCAAAAATAAAAGGGTAGGAATTTAAAGTAATGTATTCCATTCAATCCAATAATCAGCTGTTTATAATTATGATGGTAATTCTTGAACCTAATAGATTCTAATCCAACTTAAGAAAATTACTAAAGAAAGTGTTAGACTTAAATGATAATATTTTAATACCTTTAGAAATAAATTGATAATCTTAATACATTTGGTGATTTACAGAAATAACTATTGGTAATCAAAATTACAATTTATATTAGAATTTCAAGTATCTATCCAATTATTATTAAAAAGACAAATAAATCTTAAATTTTCTACTCCTAGATGGTAATGAGTAGAAATCCCATAAATTCATAAATAAAGATAGTAGTTATTGTGACACTAAAAACTAATTAAAATCTTGTTAAGAAATTATTAGTTGTTTCTGTGTGATGTTGTTACGCTTGAATTGTTTTTTGATTTTAATCATAGGACCAATAAATTCTCTAATTTACTTAGAATGGCTTACAACAAAAGTGAATATATTATTCCAATACCATCTATTATCATATAACTGATAAAGCCGTAATGTAAGTACATTAGTCCTCCAGAGACACTTAGTTATAATAAACTAAAAAAGAAAATTATTTTGATTCTCCTAAATATAATATCTATATCATCAGAATCCAAATCCTCCACTTCCTAATTTGACTGTTAATTTATCATTTAAATATTAATTAATATATATTACAATTTCACATTTTAAGTTCTATTTTCAGCAATCTTTTTTCTTCTTTAACTATAATACTATTCATCTATCCAATATGCAGCAATTATAACTTAGTTTTTAATTTCAATTATTTTGTTTCAAATTCTTATTCGCTTTACTAAATTAATATTTTAAATATTAATACATTCAAAAATTCGAAATATATTTAACTTTTCCACTAATTGTTCCTTCTTTTTATATTATCTTTTTTCCTCTAAAGACTTATATATTTAAATTTACTCTATTTTTAACTCTGATCTTAATTTTAATATTACATTTTCTCTCATAATTTATTTCTAGTTAATTATATCCAAAATATTAAAAATCTACCTTTTAATACTGAAATTATTCCTTTAATTATCCATACTTTTATGATTCTTCTTAATTTACTTTATTTTTATTCAATTCAATCAATTATTTTAACTTTTAACTTCATCCAAATTAATCTACGTTTAATTAAATAAGGTTGAGTAATAAATTTATTAATTATTTTATAATTTAGACTCCTATATTTATTTATCAGATTAAGTCTTTATATTTTAAATTTAGAAAGTAATGCTATCTTAATTAATTCGTTATTCAATTTTTTTTATTGATCTTCCATCAAAGAATTTGATCAAGATAATAAATCTATTTATCTTTATACCATTTAAGAGAAATTTTGTTTTTCTATTTAGAATTTTTTCGATTTAATATGGATTTTTTAAATTCTTATATTTGATTTTCTATCGAATTTCCTTTTTCTTTCAACTAATATAGCTTATTATTTAAATTAATTTTAGAGTATTTCCTTGTCTTTTTATTTAATTCATAAATTTTATTCTAATTATATAATTTTTTGTTATTATTCATTTCTTCTATGCTTTAAAATTGTATCTTCTTGTTAGAGATCTAAAATTATGAAATCTATTTATATTTATAATTTTTATTCTATCAGTGTATTATTATCTTAAAAACCAAATTCTCATTTTAAAATTTTTTTTATTTATTTTAAATCTTCTATCTCATTATTCTTGATTCATAAAATCCTTTTAGATGTTTTAGTTTTTCTTAATTTTAATCACTTTCATTTAATTGATAATTTAAAGTAGTTATTTGAGAAAATGATACAACTTCCTTTATTTTTTTTAGAATAGTAAATTGATTATCTTTTTATTTTTGTTGCCATTCAGAGATTGTTGCAATAATATCAAGTATAAATTTCTTTAGATTTTCAGCTATAGAGTAAGATTTAATGACTAATACCTAAAACCAATAGTAGATCTATTATTATTAGAAGCTAATTTTAATCTNAATACATTCAAAAATTCGAAATATATTTAACTTTTCCACTAATTGTTCCTTCTTTTTATATTATCTTTTTTCCTCTAAAGACTTATATATTTAAATTTACTCTATTTTTAACTCTGATCTTAATTTTAATATTACATTTTCTCTCATAATTTATTTCTAGTTAATTATATCCAAAATATTAAAAATCTACCTTTTAATACTGAAATTATTCCTTTAATTATCCATACTTTTATGATTCTTCTTAATTTACTTTATTTTTATTCAATTCAATCAATTATTTTAACTTTTAACTTCATCCAAATTAATCTACGTTTAATTAAATAAGGTTGAGTAATAAATTTATTAATTATTTTATAATTTAGACTCCTATATTTATTTATCAGATTAAGTCTTTATATTTTAAATTTAGAAAGTAATGCTATCTTAATTAATTCGTTATTCAATTTTTTTTATTGATCTTCCATCAAAGAATTTGATCAAGATAATAAATCTATTTATCTTTATACCATTTAAGAGAAATTTTGTTTTTCTATTTAGAATTTTTTCGATTTAATATGGATTTTTTAAATTCTTATATTTGATTTTCTATCGAATTTCCTTTTTCTTTCAACTAATATAGCTTATTATTTAAATTAATTTTAGAGTATTTCCTTGTCTTTTTATTTAATTCATAAATTTTATTCTAATTATATAATTTTTTGTTATTATTCATTTCTTCTATGCTTTAAAATTGTATCTTCTTGTTAGAGATCTAAAATTATGAAATCTATTTATATTTATAATTTTTATTCTATCAGTGTATTATTATCTTAAAAACCAAATTCTCATTTTAAAATTTTTTTTATTTATTTTAAATCTTCTATCTCATTATTCTTGATTCATAAAATCCTTTTAGATGTTTTAGTTTTTCTTAATTTTAATCACTTTCATTTAATTGATAATTTAAAGTAGTTATTTGAGAAAATGATACAACTTCCTTTATTTTTTTTAGAATAGTAAATTGATTATCTTTTTATTTTTGTTGCCATTCAGAGATTGTTGCAATAATATCAAGTATAAATTTCTTTAGATTTTCAGCTATAGAGTAAGATTTAATGACTAATACCTAAAACCAATAGTAGATCTATTATTATTAGAAGCTAATTTTAATCTCTCTTGAGTTGCAATTGTTAATTTTAATTTTTCAATTCCTGTTAATGAATAAAATTAAATTGACAATTCTTGGAATATTTTTTTTTGTTCTTTATTCTAATTATAAAGTGAATGAGTTCTAGAAATTTCAAAATTTATTTAAATAATAGAGAAATTTGAATTTATCAATCATCTTTAGATTAAAGATAGAATATCATTAGATACCCATGAATTTGCAGATAAATGTGTTTATTTGTAATTTAATGATCTAATTCTAATCAATACTCTTATATTTAACATAAAAAATAATATTTTTAATTTGTTTTAACGAATTAATTTAAATTAAGAAATGAATTAAATGGATGGATTGATTGAGGAGAATACATAATTAAAGAAAGCAATAATATCTTCGAAGGCTGTTATATCAAGAAAGATAAGTATATAAAATAATAGCATCATTTAGATGAATTTGAAACTTTGCAAGCTATTAATGATGAATTAAAATTGTAAGTTGATAAATTGAAATTGGAAAATAATGAATTAAATTAAAAAATTAGAATTGCATTTCATGAAAAAAAATAAACAGAATAATAATTTGATAATGCAAGCAAAAATTGGAAATTGTTAATTGAACAAAAATAACGAGAATTAGAAGAAATATAAAATAAATTAAGTCCATCTTTTGATTAAGATATGATAAGAATAAAATTAATTAATGAATTAGAAATACCTCATAGATAACAACTTGAAGTTAAATAGAATGAGATAGAAAAATTAAATGAAATAATATATTAATTAAAAAGAAATTTGGATCTTGAAATAGCAAAAGTTGAAACAACAAAATTAGAAAATGGAAAAGAAATAAAATTACTTTAAGATAGATTTAAATTAGATAAATCTGATTTATAATATTAAATAGAAGAATTAACAAAAATAATTGAAGATAGTAAGGATAGAGATTTAATAAGAAGATTAAGAAAAGATTTAGATGAATATAAATTGAAGTTTAATAACTCAGATTCTGAAAATTAAGAATTAAGAAATGAGAGAGATAAAATAAGAGAAGAGAAAAATGAAATAATGATTAAATTTGCTAGATAGATAGATTAAGAAAGAAATGATAAACGTTAATATAAAAGTGATTTTGATAAACTCTAAGTTCGTACAAGATTTGTAGAGGATGAATTAAGAAAAGAGAAATAAAGAAGAGAATAAATTAGTACTGATTTTGAAATTTTAAAAACTGAAAAAGATTAATTATTAACAGATATTAGAAAAAAGGATGATACTATACATTATTTATAAAGAAAAATAGGAGATATGGAAGAAGAACAATTAGAATAAGAATAAAAAGTTTAAGATAAATTAACTCGTTTATATTAAGATGAACATGATAAATATTTATAAGAGAGAAACAAAGCTGTTACTTTATAAAAAGATGTTGATAATTTAAAAAAAAGATTTAGTGATTTATAAGATGATTATAAAATATTAAAAGATAGATATTTAAAAGAAAATAATGATAACAAAGATGCAAATAAAATATAAATTGAAGAAATTGAAAAATTAAAGAAAACTCTTTCTTAATAATTAAAAGATATTGGAGATTTAGAAAGATCAAATAAAAATAGAGAAGAATAAATACATGATATTGAAAATGAAAATGAAACTTTAAAAAGAAGAAATAGAGAATTATAACACAGAATTTAATTGATTGAAGTCAATCCTTTACCTTCTCCATAATAAGCATAAATGATATTTAATTAATCATAATTCCCAAGTTTTGCTTAAGTACCTTAGTATGCTTAATAAATATAAGAATAATATGATACTAAACCTAAACCTAATACATCTGTTTAATCAGAAAATGAACTTTAAAATAAAAATTAAACTTTAAAGTAAACTATTTAATAGATTACAGAAGAAAATAAAAACTTAATTTAAAAGAATAAGAAACTAAGTACTAAATTAAAAGAAGCAAATGATAAGATTTTGGAACTTTCAATGAAAAATACTCTTCTACAAAAACAATTACAAAAATTCAATTCTGTCCCTTCTATTAATCATTAAGGATAATATGGAAATTAGACTCATTCTTAATCTCCTCTTAGATATGATTATGAAAATTATGAATAATAGGATATAAGGTATGAATAACAAATTCATACTGATACAAGATTGGATAGATTTGATAGGCAAGATAGATATGCTTAACCTTCTTATGATAAATATAGATCTAAAAATTAATCAGGAACAAATTAATAAACAAAATAGGGTTTTCATAATGAAATTCATGATGATGATTTACTTAATAAAGTAATGATGTTGACTAATAATAATAATACCAGTTAGACTAAATATTGGTGATTTTTTTACTTATATAATCAAAACTTAAGTTAACATATATATAATACAAATATTGTTTCTTTTTATTTTATTATTAAAACATATTAATGTGCTAATTTCATCTTATCTATATCAGAATTACCTTCACTTTCAATTTACACTATTAGTTATTATTTTTTACTAAATTCTTAAATTTTGTTATTAAGCAACAATTAATTTTATCCATTTTTCCTTTAAATTATTATACAGACACAATAAATACTATTAAATTTGGATAAAAGTTTAGTATGCCATAATAGTTCAACTACTGGTTAGTTAAAATTAATAAAATCTTTGAAATAGATCCTTTGATTATTCATTGGATTAGAATGACTTTTTTTGAAAGAATTTTTGTCCTTCAACAAATATACAAAATCAATCTTTAGATGATATTTCCCAAATTTTACATTTTCATATTTTTAAATGAATTGAAACTATTTACATCAAATAAATATTCTTATTATGACAATAAAAAGAAATCCAATGGTATGAAGAAAGAGCAAATTTTGTAATGATATTTAAATTTAACAATACTATATTCATCATAATTTTTCTTATTAATTGTAGTATAGATAATGTTTTAAAACAGATTTTAAATATATTATATTACAAAATAAATATTATTTAAAATGTTACATATGAAACCTTAAACACCAACGTTTGGAGATAAAAATAATTCACGAAAACCTTAGATTTAGATAAGTGAAATAAATAGTAATTCTCGCTTTTATAGTATACCGACTCGTTAAACAAATGCCTAAAGCAGAAGTTCATCTTAAAGAAAAAAATAAGATTAGATGGTATATCTATTTTTAAATGATAGATAAAAAAATGGAAGGAACTATATGATGAACAAACCAATTATTACATGAGATTGTTAAAAGTCAATAATATAGATTTTGTTGAGTTACCAAAGTTTTAACTATAAAAATGAATCAATACTTAATTAATTTTTAGTATGATAGATTTTGAATTCAATAAAATCAATAAATAACTTTTCCTTTTATTACAAAATACCATAGTTTATTTCAAAAAAGCTACTCTATAATATAAAAAATAAATTATTTTGAATATTATAGTTTTTTAATAATTAAATAAAATTCTGAGATAACCCTTTATATATCTCATTTTAAATTTGATTCTGTCATAAATCTCAATAAAACACACATTATTTAGATTTATTTTAATTAAATCAATTTCTTAATTAAGATGGATAAGAGAATATAAAAAACATAAAATTTTCAAAGAAATTTAAACACCCACTTTTAGTAAGAAGAAAACTGATTTACTTTAAATTTATTTAGAAGAAATCACTAGAAGTGAAGGAGGTTTGCAGAATTATTTGAAACTTAATTAAAATAAGGAGAGAAATTGAATAAATAATCAATTTTAGTTAATAGATAATAAACAATAAAATTAATGATAAATAATAAATAAACATCACTTAGTGGTTTTATATATAAAGTTTGGATTTTCTTTATATTTTTGTTATAATTTTTGAAGCCAAATTTAAAGGACATTGGCTGGTGTGACTAAAACATCTATTTCCTATCCATTAATCACAACTTCTTTATTATAAGCAGTCATAAAATTATAAAGGTTTTGTGCTATTGTTAAACCATATTTTAGTTTGTTTTGAGCATCATTAGTTAATTATACAAGTTCTGTAATCTATTCATTAATAGGTTCGACACTAAGTACTAATTTAATTTAATCTTAATTGGTTAATATTTAATTGAAAGATGTAGCAAAAATGTCTGAAGGTCTTTGATTAGCAATAGCACCTAAGAATGAAATTCCATCAAAAGGATATCTAGAGTAAAATAAACACACTGCATATCCTTCAGGTATAGGATTGAGTAAAAATAAAGCTATTGAGTGCATTTACTTGGCATTTTAAACATCCATAAAATAATAATTTCCATTCATCAAAAATTAAGTCTAACTCAAGAATCCTGGAATCATCACACCAAAAGGTGCTTACACTAAATTAGAACCAATTTGATTATACATTTTATTAAAATAGTAATANGAAATCCAATGGTATGAAGAAAGAGCAAATTTTGTAATGATATTTAAATTTAACAATACTATATTCATCATAATTTTTCTTATTAATTGTAGTATAGATAATGTTTTAAAACAGATTTTAAATATATTATATTACAAAATAAATATTATTTAAAATGTTACATATGAAACCTTAAACACCAACGTTTGGAGATAAAAATAATTCACGAAAACCTTAGATTTAGATAAGTGAAATAAATAGTAATTCTCGCTTTTATAGTATACCGACTCGTTAAACAAATGCCTAAAGCAGAAGTTCATCTTAAAGAAAAAAATAAGATTAGATGGTATATCTATTTTTAAATGATAGATAAAAAAATGGAAGGAACTATATGATGAACAAACCAATTATTACATGAGATTGTTAAAAGTCAATAATATAGATTTTGTTGAGTTACCAAAGTTTTAACTATAAAAATGAATCAATACTTAATTAATTTTTAGTATGATAGATTTTGAATTCAATAAAATCAATAAATAACTTTTCCTTTTATTACAAAATACCATAGTTTATTTCAAAAAAGCTACTCTATAATATAAAAAATAAATTATTTTGAATATTATAGTTTTTTAATAATTAAATAAAATTCTGAGATAACCCTTTATATATCTCATTTTAAATTTGATTCTGTCATAAATCTCAATAAAACACACATTATTTAGATTTATTTTAATTAAATCAATTTCTTAATTAAGATGGATAAGAGAATATAAAAAACATAAAATTTTCAAAGAAATTTAAACACCCACTTTTAGTAAGAAGAAAACTGATTTACTTTAAATTTATTTAGAAGAAATCACTAGAAGTGAAGGAGGTTTGCAGAATTATTTGAAACTTAATTAAAATAAGGAGAGAAATTGAATAAATAATCAATTTTAGTTAATAGATAATAAACAATAAAATTAATGATAAATAATAAATAAACATCACTTAGTGGTTTTATATATAAAGTTTGGATTTTCTTTATATTTTTGTTATAATTTTTGAAGCCAAATTTAAAGGACATTGGCTGGTGTGACTAAAACATCTATTTCCTATCCATTAATCACAACTTCTTTATTATAAGCAGTCATAAAATTATAAAGGTTTTGTGCTATTGTTAAACCATATTTTAGTTTGTTTTGAGCATCATTAGTTAATTATACAAGTTCTGTAATCTATTCATTAATAGGTTCGACACTAAGTACTAATTTAATTTAATCTTAATTGGTTAATATTTAATTGAAAGATGTAGCAAAAATGTCTGAAGGTCTTTGATTAGCAATAGCACCTAAGAATGAAATTCCATCAAAAGGATATCTAGAGTAAAATAAACACACTGCATATCCTTCAGGTATAGGATTGAGTAAAAATAAAGCTATTGAGTGCATTTACTTGGCATTTTAAACATCCATAAAATAATAATTTCCATTCATCAAAAATTAAGTCTAACTCAAGAATCCTGGAATCATCACACCAAAAGGTGCTTACACTAAATTAGAACCAATTTGATTATACATTTTATTAAAATAGTAATAANTTTTGTTGAGTTACCAAAGTTTTAACTATAAAAATGAATCAATACTTAATTAATTTTTAGTATGATAGATTTTGAATTCAATAAAATCAATAAATAACTTTTCCTTTTATTACAAAATACCATAGTTTATTTCAAAAAAGCTACTCTATAATATAAAAAATAAATTATTTTGAATATTATAGTTTTTTAATAATTAAATAAAATTCTGAGATAACCCTTTATATATCTCATTTTAAATTTGATTCTGTCATAAATCTCAATAAAACACACATTATTTAGATTTATTTTAATTAAATCAATTTCTTAATTAAGATGGATAAGAGAATATAAAAAACATAAAATTTTCAAAGAAATTTAAACACCCACTTTTAGTAAGAAGAAAACTGATTTACTTTAAATTTATTTAGAAGAAATCACTAGAAGTGAAGGAGGTTTGCAGAATTATTTGAAACTTAATTAAAATAAGGAGAGAAATTGAATAAATAATCAATTTTAGTTAATAGATAATAAACAATAAAATTAATGATAAATAATAAATAAACATCACTTAGTGGTTTTATATATAAAGTTTGGATTTTCTTTATATTTTTGTTATAATTTTTGAAGCCAAATTTAAAGGACATTGGCTGGTGTGACTAAAACATCTATTTCCTATCCATTAATCACAACTTCTTTATTATAAGCAGTCATAAAATTATAAAGGTTTTGTGCTATTGTTAAACCATATTTTAGTTTGTTTTGAGCATCATTAGTTAATTATACAAGTTCTGTAATCTATTCATTAATAGGTTCGACACTAAGTACTAATTTAATTTAATCTTAATTGGTTAATATTTAATTGAAAGATGTAGCAAAAATGTCTGAAGGTCTTTGATTAGCAATAGCACCTAAGAATGAAATTCCATCAAAAGGATATCTAGAGTAAAATAAACACACTGCATATCCTTCAGGTATAGGATTGAGTAAAAATAAAGCTATTGAGTGCATTTACTTGGCATTTTAAACATCCATAAAATAATAATTTCCATTCATCAAAAATTAAGTCTAACTCAAGAATCCTGGAATCATCACACCAAAAGGTGCTTACACTAAATTAGAACCAATTTGATTATACATTTTATTAAAATAGTAATAATGAAATAAAAATTATACATTTTCTATATCACAAATAGAATGTTCCAGGTTTTTCTATTTAATATATAAAAACTTTAGATGTACAATTCTGATAAGGATAATAGATATTTATATAAAATAATAATAATAATATATAGATTTGATCAATTTACATCATCATCATCATCATAATCTCCATATTTTAGTTTAGATGATTGTTGACCTCTTAATGATTTCTACTAGAAATTCATTTAAGCACCAGGAATAGAACTTTCAGGGTTTTATTATTACAATTATTTTTATTTAATTTAAGATTGACTTTTAGATATGACCAGAGAACCATTGTCAAAAATATAATCATCTTATTTAGGTGTATTCGTTTCTTCAATTTTTGCATATTTAGATAAATTCTATGAAATCTATTTCATCTCTTAATCTCCTATTCCTGTAAGAGATTCTATCTATTTAAGTCTTTCTTCATTTTAATTTTTATGTCTTCTAATTTTTACATCTACTTATTCCTATTACAATAATCTTTTATGACGCAAACCCCTTAATAGAGTTTAAAATTTTACACTGAAGGTATAAATGCTAATAATTAAGGTTAAAGACTTGTTTTAATCTAATATAATCTATCATCTTTTATATACAAATTTTATTGACTAAATGATATTTCAAAATTTAATACCTTTTTATATTGTTTTCCAAAATTTCATTTACTTCTTTTAAATATTCAGCATATTTTTGTTTTTAAGAATTTCTAATCAAATTATTAAAATAATAATCTTTACTTTTCAGATTTTAACTTATTCAACTATTCCGTTGTCAATTTAATTAATGCCTGATTGATTTTATTATCATTTAAATTTTGCAGATTTTTTATACTCTCATCAAGATACTATCTCTTTACTTACCTATGTAGCAAATATGAATTTACATTTCATGAAATATTGCATCGTAGTCTGTCACAGAAATCATTAATAAAAAATTTAAAAATATTAATCAGGCATATTTATACACTAACACAATTGAGATTCCAGTCAAAAAAATAGCCAATACTATTAGGAAAATAATTTTGCGTTCTCTCATCTTTTATTAAATTCTTGACAATGTACTATTCGATTCTCCTAAGTCATATTAAATTTCTGGCATTTTATTGATATTTCTATCCAATATCTCCGTTTAACCATTTAATTAAACCTAAATGTTCGTAGATATTTATTCTATTTCAAAGCATACTTTTTTTGCCTCTTCCAATTATATTGTTTATTTGACTAATTTATCTTAAGTATTTATAAATTATATTTATTAATTTTCTTATTCACCAAATAAAGAATCCTTTACTTTTTAAGATTAAATCTCATCCTATATTATTTTAAATTATTTTTTTAATGCTTCAGTCTCTGATTTATATGTTTTCACTTTATTTTTCAATTCTTATCTATCTGCTTAGGGTACACTTGTTGATTCAATATCCATTTATTATAACTAAACTCATAAAAATAATCATTTTACACAATTCTGCAAATCGCTGAAAATTTAACTTATCTCATTAAAAGTTTCATTTGATTGATTTATTTATGTTTATCTAATCAGTGAACAGATTTATTATTAATATTTTTCAAATTCTACTTCATAACTGCTGAAAACTTCAGACATCTTCTATTCTTAATAAATGTATAAATATAATATAAATAAAATTATATGTTAAATATCAGAAAATAAAGTATTTAAATTTATGATCATACAACTTGCCTTCTCCGTGCATTATCTTCTGATAATACAGCTAATTTCGTTTCTAAATTTCTTATTTTCTATTTATATCCATTCAAAGCTCCCTCACTTCTTTCTGTTTCTTATGATTACAATTAATCTATTTTTTATTTGAATTTAAATAATTATTCTTCAGATGCACTCAATTAATCTTATAATTTATCACTTAAGAATTTTAATTACTCATTTTCATTAAGAATAAAATCGATCTTTTCGTCAATATCCCCTAAATTGTTTAATTCATCTTGACTATATTTCAACTATTCTGTTAACTCAGCATTTCTTTCTAATAATTACTTGATATGTTCTTCTTAAGCTATAATTGTTTCTTTTTTATTCTCAATCTATTAATCCTTATAATCTAATTCTTTTAGAACAGCCTAGTATTTTGTCTCTGTTAGGATTCTATCCTCTTCAGACTTACTGATAAATTTTATAAATGATTATATTACATCAGTTATTCTTTAAGAATAACTACTTCTTCTCTTAATTAAGTTAATTCTGTTTAATCGCTTGATCTTTGTTTCTAGTACTTCGACTCCTTTGTTAACAGTTATTTTATTAGTTCTGCTGATTTCTCATTTTCTTCAAGAAGAGCTATAATCTTTTTAACTAAATCCACTCTTTATTAATTTGGAGACAGATTCTCCTTGTTTTTTGGAGATTACCAAGTAGCATACTTGCAATCAGTACTGACTGAACGAACCTGCTAAAATGGATTTCTTAAAAGGGCTGGTCCTTAGACTTTTGAAGGGGAACATACATTCATTAACGGTATATTTTATATAATTCATTTATATTCTTAGCTAATTAAATATTGAATATACAACTATTATTTAGCAATTATATTCAAGATGATTTGTGTATTTTTTTAATTCCTAAAGTCTCATAGATTTATCGCATATTAACTTGTAGAAGATTACAGAGACTTCCCATTTGCAAGTTTAAAAGTTAAAAAACGAAAAAGAATGAATAAGGATTAAATTATATAACGAAAGAAGAATGGAAATAAGATTAAATTTAAGTATGAATTCATAGATTAAAGATAACTTCAAAAAATCGATAAAAAAAAAAAGTTAGAAATGATCATTTACACTTATCTCATTTAAAGTTTGAATTTAAATATATATTAATTATTTAGAATTATGATTGCAATTTAAACAAATTGCTATTATTTTAGAAGACTTGGAGAAAGAAAACAGAAATTTTAAGAGATTATATATTATGAATCAATTATAAAAATCCTGTTATTGTGCATTATTTATCAAAAGATATCCTCAAAACACTTAGTTCATGAGATATTGTAAAGGTTACAGCAAAATCAATTATTAATTTTAATGATTAATTTACGCAACGAGAGGGTATTTAATCATTATTTATTTGTATAATCAGTTTGTAAGATATTAGTAAAATCAATAGAATTTTATAAACATTGGCTATGGAATATTAGTTTCAATAGTTAATTATATTAATTGTCTGAATTGATAAATTTGTACATAAACAATAAAGAAATAATAAAATCATAATATTTAAAATAGAACATATTTTCTTAGTAACCATTTTACAATTTCAACTGTAGCAAGTAAAAGAAAACAGAATGGAAGGCCTGCTGAACCCAATAATTCCCAAGGCATATTGGCTGTCTGAAATACCCATTGAATTCCTGGTACATAAATAATAATAGGCAATAAAATTAACGATATTATTAAACCATATATTGCTAGTATGTTAATACGAGTAGAATTATAAGATTTAATTAAGGTTCTTAATGCAAAGTAATTGACACTATTTAATTAAATCATAATTACCATTATGATAATACCAATACAATGTAGAAGGATGTGGATGCATAATCACTAGCTTTAGCTGTGTAACAATTATTACTATCAGTTAAACAATCTGGATAGTCATATTTTGTGTTCCAACAATTTTATTGATAACCATTTTGAATTTATAATTCAGTGCATTCACCACACTCGACAAATATTAATCTCTAGTCTATTGTATTATTAGGTGCACTCCATTAATAATTTACCATATTACCAATATAAGAACAATCTTCAAGTAAATAAGAATTACCTAAATTATAAATTGCAGCAGAGTAAATATCATTTGGGCCAGCAGGATAGACATTCTGAAATCTTGTAAAATATAAATTTTGTAAATAAAATCCGAAATAGCGATAAGCACTGTAACTTGCCATCAATCCTCCGCCTGCCTCAATACATCCAATAATTAAGATAGCAAATAAGAATAAATTAGTTCTATTTGGAATTTTATACTCTAATTCTTCTCTTGCCAAACTGATTCCAAGGATCAAATCAACAGATATGCTAGTTAATAACATAAGATTTTAAGAGAACGGCAATGGAGTTCCTAAGAAACAATAAAAAAATAAAGCTAGTATCATGGCTGTGTTTGAAGATAGACAGAGCATTATAGATTTTGAAACATTATTAACAGCTCTTCTAGCTTCTAAGATAGCATGATAACTATCAAGAAAAGTTTATTTACTCGAAGTTAAAACTATATCACTAGAACTTATAATCATTTGCTATGATCCATGTTTCTTACTGATACTTATGTCAGCTTATCGAAATGCTCCTAAATCTGTTAAACCTTCTCCAGTTATTGCAACTCTAAAGTTCTATTGTTATAGAGCTTTAACTATGCTTAACTTCTATTCTGGAGATGTACGAGTAAAAATTATTTCTTATTATGAACACCAATTTCCCAATTTATTTTCTACCGAACTTAATCTAGTGACTTCTTATTGATCATCAACATGTAGATACAATTAATGCCCTTCTACAACAGTTGGATTTGTATAATGTCCTGTATGCTTACAAATTAGTCTTGCTGTTTCTGGATGCTCTCCAGTGATGATTACTAATTTAATATTTAATTATTGCAATTTTTCTAAAATTGGAATTGTTAATTCATTAAGACTGTTATTCAAATAAAGAGTACCTAGATATACAAAGTTCTATTAATTAAATTCATAGTCATTTTCATTAATTTTAAGATCTTCTTCTTTATCAACTTATAAGAATGCAAATCCTATTCCTCTAAGACCCTGAGAACATTAATGAACCAATTAATCATTGAATAGTTGAGTCTAACGTATATCGATTTTTCCAAACAAAGTCTTATTACAATAACTCCAGATAACTTCAGGAGCTCCCTTAATGTAAACATAGTATTTGTTTTCCTGTTCAACAATTGATAAAGAATATTTCTTACTACTATTAAATGGCAAATGATATTGAATACCATTAACATAATATTTGACATTCTTAATAAGACTCTCTGTTTGATCATCTCTAAAACAATCAATAATGCATTTTTCAGTTCCATCTAGATTAGAATGATTACAAGTAAGTATTGCACATTAATAAAGATGAATAGAATTTCTTTTTCCACATTCATGCAATAATTACTTACAATCATTAAATGAATTAAATGAGTAATTCTTACTAGTAAAAACTTCATTTAATCCAATACATAAACAATTAATTTCACTTAATCTCTCTATACTTTCTGAATCTTTAATTAAGAATTTAAGTTTAGCTAATCTCCTAATTGCCATTTAAAATGAGATTGTAACAATAACTAATAGACCAACTGGAACTATAGCAATTATCACTTATTCAACAACTCTAAATCCATATGCAAAAACCTCAGTATTCTCATTCTCAGACATAATACTACTCCATATTATGACTAATATTATCACAAATAATGCTATCAATGTCATTATTTATTAAAACAATATCAATTATTTCTATAGTATCTTACTTCCTTATCTCTTCTAAATTTAAGCAATTGTTGTACTTGATCCAGTCTTAATCACTACTGCTTTTCCTAATCCACTTCTTATTAATGATCCGCAAAATATCTATGATCCTTTTACTGCCTTTGTTACATCCTAATTCATTTATATCTATAAATCTGAAGATTCCAATACTCTCATATCACAATATATTAATAATCCTTCCTTTATCACACAAATATCTCCTGATACCAAATTCTATACTTAAACCTGCTCCATTTTTCCATCTCTATATACTATCATTGTTTGTTCATTATCTTTCTCTATAGCATATTAAGACTTCTTTCTTTATTGAAATCCCATAGCAAAAGTTATTGTTATTACTATTAACAACAAACATGATGTAATTATCTCTTCTCCACTAAACTCAAGATTATTTTAACTTCCATATATTGCTAAACTTATTGAAATTATCGTTGCTATTATTAAATCAAATGCAAATAAATTCAATTCTTTTATAAACATTNTACCTAGATATACAAAGTTCTATTAATTAAATTCATAGTCATTTTCATTAATTTTAAGATCTTCTTCTTTATCAACTTATAAGAATGCAAATCCTATTCCTCTAAGACCCTGAGAACATTAATGAACCAATTAATCATTGAATAGTTGAGTCTAACGTATATCGATTTTTCCAAACAAAGTCTTATTACAATAACTCCAGATAACTTCAGGAGCTCCCTTAATGTAAACATAGTATTTGTTTTCCTGTTCAACAATTGATAAAGAATATTTCTTACTACTATTAAATGGCAAATGATATTGAATACCATTAACATAATATTTGACATTCTTAATAAGACTCTCTGTTTGATCATCTCTAAAACAATCAATAATGCATTTTTCAGTTCCATCTAGATTAGAATGATTACAAGTAAGTATTGCACATTAATAAAGATGAATAGAATTTCTTTTTCCACATTCATGCAATAATTACTTACAATCATTAAATGAATTAAATGAGTAATTCTTACTAGTAAAAACTTCATTTAATCCAATACATAAACAATTAATTTCACTTAATCTCTCTATACTTTCTGAATCTTTAATTAAGAATTTAAGTTTAGCTAATCTCCTAATTGCCATTTAAAATGAGATTGTAACAATAACTAATAGACCAACTGGAACTATAGCAATTATCACTTATTCAACAACTCTAAATCCATATGCAAAAACCTCAGTATTCTCATTCTCAGACATAATACTACTCCATATTATGACTAATATTATCACAAATAATGCTATCAATGTCATTATTTATTAAAACAATATCAATTATTTCTATAGTATCTTACTTCCTTATCTCTTCTAAATTTAAGCAATTGTTGTACTTGATCCAGTCTTAATCACTACTGCTTTTCCTAATCCACTTCTTATTAATGATCCGCAAAATATCTATGATCCTTTTACTGCCTTTGTTACATCCTAATTCATTTATATCTATAAATCTGAAGATTCCAATACTCTCATATCACAATATATTAATAATCCTTCCTTTATCACACAAATATCTCCTGATACCAAATTCTATACTTAAACCTGCTCCATTTTTCCATCTCTATATACTATCATTGTTTGTTCATTATCTTTCTCTATAGCATATTAAGACTTCTTTCTTTATTGAAATCCCATAGCAAAAGTTATTGTTATTACTATTAACAACAAACATGATGTAATTATCTCTTCTCCACTAAACTCAAGATTATTTTAACTTCCATATATTGCTAAACTTATTGAAATTATCGTTGCTATTATTAAATCAAATGCAAATAAATTCAATTCTTTTATAAACATTTTCCAATCACTTATGTCTTTTGTTTTAGATTATTATCTCTTAGATGCTTCTTCACTTGAAAGCCCACTTACAAAATGTGTTTTTAAAAGTCCCTCTAACTAATCTAATGGACAAAAGTATTCCTGCATTTCTGCATACTTTTCATACACATTTGGAGCTGGTCTCTCTATTTACTCATCTTATTCTGCATAAGTTATACTCAACTAGAGTTTAGTCTGAATATCAGGTCCTTTCTCTAGAAACCTAAATAAGTCACATTCCTTACCTTGGTTTGCATATTAGCATATCCTACATCTCGGAATCAGCCATCTTTTTTATATTCTAAGTTATTAAATTTATTATATTATCTTAAACAAAGAACTATATAAAATCATTATATTGAAATTTTATAAAAAATTTCATTTACACAAACTATGATATACTGATCTTAGCTTATTTCACTAAATCTTAATAATAAATTATCATAATTCCAATCTTTTTTCAATTACTTAAACAGCCTTATTTATTTATCAAGAAGCACAACATGAATACTATTAAATACAAATTAAATTATTTTTAAAATCTTTACTTTAAATCTCAAATATATTTAAAACAAATATCAATTATGTTATGTTTATGTTACTATAAATTATTCTATCCACCCTCGATGTAATAGATTCATTTTCATTTTTTTTTTAATTTAAATACTAGTTAAGCATAGAATCATGTATTATTTAATTTAAATATTCTATTTAGAATTAATAGCCATTTTCATAAAACTCTTTTAAAGATTAATTCTATCAAGGAATTTACTAACCTTAATTCTATTAAGATTTTAAAAAATAATGATTAAAATATATATTTAAAATATAATGCAAACATTTCTCTTGTATTCAATAATGACTGAAAATGCCTAAGAATATAAACTTGATAAAATTGTCTATAATTATAAAGAATCGTTACAACTTTAAAATTAGTTTAAAGATAATGTTGTTGTTGCAGTCTCTGGATTGTATGGAAGCTAGATTGGGATAGAACAAGAATTACATAATTAAACTTACTTAAAGCTAGACCTTTCGTAATTTTTACAAATTTCAGAAAAAGGCCATTTAATTGGGTAAAGTTTCAAAACACAATTACATTTTGTTTAATGGTTTCTTAGAAATTTTTTGAAAGTATACCAATAAATGAAAAATCTATTGAATTAACATTATTTAGAATCCTGTAAGATTTAACTGACAGTATAAAAATTTGTCTTGACAATTCCATTTTTAGTAATTGGTATGGAGGAGATGAGATTCCTTTTAGTCCAGCAATAGTCTAACGTTAATAATATAACTATGTTGAATAAGGAGATCAAGAATATACTTGTCGCCTTATCAATCATTTTAACGAGGATATTCAAAAATAAGAAATTATACTAAGTTAAAATTTATCTCCTTTTTTTACACTCGTTCAAAGATTGTAATTCGATGATTAAGAATTAGATAATATTTTATTTACTTTTATAAATAGTTTACTTAATTAAATTGTTTAAAATGAATACTTTTATTAATCATAAAATTAGCTAATTTAAAAGTAATATCAATCAAAAGAACTATGAGATCATTTAAAATAAACTGCTGAAAAATTATAAGGAATAGTCAAAGATGAAAGAAAAAACCTCTCAAATAGTTTACAGCAATAGAATTAATCCTTCTTTTTAATTTTATTCCAAATCAATACGAAACCTAATTTGGAAGAAANACTGATCTTAGCTTATTTCACTAAATCTTAATAATAAATTATCATAATTCCAATCTTTTTTCAATTACTTAAACAGCCTTATTTATTTATCAAGAAGCACAACATGAATACTATTAAATACAAATTAAATTATTTTTAAAATCTTTACTTTAAATCTCAAATATATTTAAAACAAATATCAATTATGTTATGTTTATGTTACTATAAATTATTCTATCCACCCTCGATGTAATAGATTCATTTTCATTTTTTTTTTAATTTAAATACTAGTTAAGCATAGAATCATGTATTATTTAATTTAAATATTCTATTTAGAATTAATAGCCATTTTCATAAAACTCTTTTAAAGATTAATTCTATCAAGGAATTTACTAACCTTAATTCTATTAAGATTTTAAAAAATAATGATTAAAATATATATTTAAAATATAATGCAAACATTTCTCTTGTATTCAATAATGACTGAAAATGCCTAAGAATATAAACTTGATAAAATTGTCTATAATTATAAAGAATCGTTACAACTTTAAAATTAGTTTAAAGATAATGTTGTTGTTGCAGTCTCTGGATTGTATGGAAGCTAGATTGGGATAGAACAAGAATTACATAATTAAACTTACTTAAAGCTAGACCTTTCGTAATTTTTACAAATTTCAGAAAAAGGCCATTTAATTGGGTAAAGTTTCAAAACACAATTACATTTTGTTTAATGGTTTCTTAGAAATTTTTTGAAAGTATACCAATAAATGAAAAATCTATTGAATTAACATTATTTAGAATCCTGTAAGATTTAACTGACAGTATAAAAATTTGTCTTGACAATTCCATTTTTAGTAATTGGTATGGAGGAGATGAGATTCCTTTTAGTCCAGCAATAGTCTAACGTTAATAATATAACTATGTTGAATAAGGAGATCAAGAATATACTTGTCGCCTTATCAATCATTTTAACGAGGATATTCAAAAATAAGAAATTATACTAAGTTAAAATTTATCTCCTTTTTTTACACTCGTTCAAAGATTGTAATTCGATGATTAAGAATTAGATAATATTTTATTTACTTTTATAAATAGTTTACTTAATTAAATTGTTTAAAATGAATACTTTTATTAATCATAAAATTAGCTAATTTAAAAGTAATATCAATCAAAAGAACTATGAGATCATTTAAAATAAACTGCTGAAAAATTATAAGGAATAGTCAAAGATGAAAGAAAAAACCTCTCAAATAGTTTACAGCAATAGAATTAATCCTTCTTTTTAATTTTATTCCAAATCAATACGAAACCTAATTTGGAAGAAATTGAAAAAAGAATTAGTTAATAATTTAAGCATGTTAAATTCAATTTGAATAAAAAAAAGTTCATATTTGAATTTTAAGACAAACCACATCAGCTATTTTCAAATAAATTCTAAAATATAATAAAAAAAACTGAAGAAATGATTTAGGATAATAAAAAAGTGCTTCAGAAAATATTTTAAGACTTAAAAAAAAACATAAAATATTCAATTAAAAAGGTTAATTGTAAAATAACAAGAGGAGAAGATAAATAAATTGAAAGTATTAGGATTTCAACAGAATAAAATTAATAAATTATTTTTGATTTAGATCATTAATCAAGCAAAAATTAAAATATAAAAATTAAAGAAATATTTTAGACTAAGGATAAGGCTGAAATTGTAGTAATTCAAACAGAAGATTATACTTCTTTATATTTTAGATAATAAAATAGCGAGTCTTTTAAACTTCTATAGAATTATGAATTATAAAAAACAAAAAACATAGTATCTTACTTTAAGATTAGTTAAAATCAATTATTTTTTTTTAATTTTAATGATAAGCAAACTCTAAAAGTAATAATTTCTTCGTATGGAAAAATAGACGATTAAATGTCTATTTGTGAATAGTGTATATATTAAGAAAATCGTTGCATAGATATTTAAATATAATAAGTAGCATATATGAGTTAATAAAAGAAGTTTATAATTTTGACTAAGAAAAGTGACGTATATTTTTTGCTTGAGGATTCTAAATAGATAATATAAGCAACGTGTTCTTCAAAAAACAATTAAAAACCATTTAAATTTCATTATAATGTAAATCAAGATTAAATTTAATAACTTTTATCTTGCCCTAGTGGTAAGTATTTTTATTTAGCTTAGGGAGAATAATGTTTTATGTATGATATGAATTGTTAATAAATTAGAACTATTAACGTTAAAGGAAAAATTAAAATTTTTTCAGATTAAAGTGATTTAATAATCTTAGATGAAATCGATTAAATAACATAAAAAAAAGATTTAACTGTGTTAACAAATGTGATATCATAAAAAACCATTAATAAATTGGGAGAGGAAGAAAAATAAATAATAGGAAACCCTTCATTTGATATTCTTAAAGGATCATTTATCAAATTTGGCCCTAATTCATTATTTTTATCAGAATCAAAAAAGAAATAAATTTCTTTTATAATTGATTCGAGTAAAAAGAGTTTGATTGAAACATATTTTAATAGGATGAATTTAAATAATGTAAATTTAGTAGATACAGATAATTTGCATTATTCTGAAATTAGTTTGAAAGATCTTTAAAATATAATGTTTTCAAGAGTACCTTTATAATTATGTACAACTGAAAATGGAACTTTAATTCCATTAGTAGATGGATTTAGATAAGAAGCTTCCATATAATAGAAAGTATCTGTTTATGAGAAGGCAAAACAGTTAAAGCTAGGATTTATTGAAGAATATTTAAAAAATGATATATCTAAGATTTTTGTAATAGGAATTATAGGAAAACAATCTTCAGGGAAAAGTTATTTATTAAATAGAGTTTTTGGTACTAGATTTTCTGTTTCATCTGCAAGATGCACTGATGGTATTTGGGCAAGTATAGGCTGGATTGAAGGATAAAAATTTTTGATTTTAGATTGTGAAGGATTATTTAATTCAGCAAGAACAAATTAAGAAGAAGTTTAAATGCTAGCATTTTTGACAGCCATTTGTGATATATCTATTTTGAATTCTGATATCACTTTCAATCGTTATATGAATGAATTATTTAATAATTTAACTAATGCTTCATCTTATTTAAAAGGGGAAACTTTATTTAAAGGAAATTTACATATAGTTTTAAGAGATGTTAGCTCTAATGATAACTCTGGAATAGATAATGAATTATTAAGCAATCTTTATAGATTGAAATCCTCAGAGTCATAAGATATTGTTTTCTTAAAGAAATTATTTAATAATAACTTTACGGTTGAGAAATTATTTAATTTCGAACACTCAAAGTTTGATGAATAAATAATAAATCTTCGTCAATATTTTTCTAAGGTTGCTTAGGCATCTAAACGATGGGAAGATGGAAATAAATTATTATAAATGATGAAGATATTGCTTTGCCAATTAGAATTATCAGATCATGGAAATGCATATTTGATTGATTTGAAACTATAAATTGAAAAAATTATTGAAAATCAAAAAAATTTATGGGACAAATTTTCAACAAATCATCAATAAATGATAAGATTAGATTAATAAAAATATTAATTTCCTCAGGGTGAAATTATTTTTTTCAACATTTCTTTATTGAAATAACTATAAGAGGATCTTTAACTTAATGATACGATTATGAATCACAATTAAAATTTAAATATTATGGAAACTGAATTTAATAATTTAATGACATCTAGAAAAGAACAAATTTTATAATAGACTAAAGAGTAATTATACAGATTTTAGTAACCAGAAATGATTGAAATTATAAGTAAAGAAGAAGGATTGTTAGCTAATTATATTAATAATTAAATTTAATAATATTAGTTTTGTAAAGAAAAATGTTCTGAATGCTATTTAAATTGCAATTAATTTAAGAATCATATCAAAGAATATGATAAATTAATGAACAAGTTATAAACTACAAAAGTAGCATTAGAAAAAGAAATTGCTGAATCAAGCATTTAAAATGAGGATTAAGAACAATAAATTAACAAAAGGTTGTCAGAAATTATTGAATAACTTTAAAAATAAGATTTTTAAATTTCTAAATTTGAAAAAATAATAAAGAAAGATGAAGAGGAAAAACAACTATTAAAATGTATTTAGAATTTATCTTAATTTGAATTTTGTGACACAGAAAATAATTAGTTAAAATTAGAAGCTTTTTAATAAAGTTTAGGCAAAGATGAAACTTAATAATAGAATTTAAAGTTAGAGTTGACTGTTGAGAATCTTGATTAATTATTCTGTTTGATTGGTGCCAACTCCAAGTAAAAATAACAATAATCCAGTAAAAATGCAGAAGTTCTCAGAGAGAACAAAAATAATTAAAAATAGTTATAAAATATATTAGAGGATGTTTAAAATAAAATAATAAAAAATGACTTAAATCAAAAACAATTATTAGACTAATAAGATCAACTTTACCAAAAAGCAAAAGAATTTTAGAAATATATAAAAGAAATTGATTAAGAATAATAAATATTATAAAATAATCTTTCACAAGTAATAAATCTTAGAATTGATAATAATAATTTAATTAAATAGTTAGAAGAAATATCATCATAACTGCAAAATGAAGAAAAAAACCTGGAATTCATATAAGAATAAATTAAAATATAAGAACAAAAAAAATAGTAGCCTTGTTTAGATAAATTCTGTTTTTATAATGAGAGTGATTTATTTGAGGAATTTTAAGAAATTAGAAAAGAAAAAGAAATGATTCTTTAGGAAATTGATAAGCTGTAAAAATAAAAAGAGAAACTTCATAAATTGGAGTCTATGAAGCAAGAATAAGCCAATATGTCTGTCAAAAAATAAAAGGAAAAAGAAAAATATGAGAATGATCTTAAAATTTCAATTCAAAGTGATCTTACTAAAAAAAAGAATGAAATTGAATTAAATTTACAACTTTATTAATAGTAATTAAATAAGTAAAAGTTTGAAGATCTAGAAATTTTTGAAGAAATAATAAATAAAGAAAGTTAAAATATTTCAAGTGATTCATTGAAAAAAAATACTTATCACTAGTTTTTAAATTTTAAAAAAGCTGAAGAAAAGGATTCAGAAGAAGAGTTGTAAAATTTGTATATATAGTTTTAAAAGACTGAATAAAATATTAAAAATTTGGCAAAAGCATAGGAATAAATATTCAAATATTAGAATATTTAAAATTGTAAGATAGAAGCTGAGAATTCTTTGAGTGAGAACTAAAAAGAATTGGTTAAAATAAATGAATAAAATAGATTCATAGTAATAGAATAGGAAACTTTGAAAAGGAATATGTAAGAAGCAAATATATAAAATGACTTACTGAATACTAACAACAACAAATTGATAAATGAAAATGAATAAATTGAAAAAGCTTTATAGAATAATGAATAATGGAAAGAATAAATTTCAGAATGTTTGAAAATTCTATATATTATAGATGAATCTAAATAAATTGCGATGCTTTAAGAATTTGAAGAATGCAAACAATATTAATAACTTCAAAATTCTGACTTAACCTACACGAAATAATGCTAATTATTGAAAGATGAAAAAGAAACTTTGCTAAAGGAAAAATAAGAGTTAGATTAAAGAATTCAATTATATTTTTAAGTAGGAGAAGGGAAATAATAATTAAAAGAATTATTAAACTAAATTTAAAAATTAGAAAAGTTATAAGGTAATGTTCATTCATGTCAAAGATAAAGTCATTTATGTGAAGAAAAATGTTAAGCATGTCCAGATAAATCATGCAATCATAAAGCCGGACATGATGAAAAGTAAGAGCATCTTTGTTCAAAATTAGATCATATATGTGATATGAACTGTAGTGTTTAGGATTGTTAAAATAAATGCAAAAATATTAGAAATCATAGTGGTAATCATACTTGTAATAATAAACATATATGTAAGAAGATTTGTGACTATTGTGATAAATAATGTTAATATGATAAAACTGAGATTCATCAGAGCCATATATGTCTAGATAAGAATAATGGATGTAATTAAGAATGTGAATTATGTGATAAAAATTGTAAAGAATAACATCAACATTCTATAAAAAGTGGTACTTATTGTGAGAAAAAGTGCTCAAAACATCATCAACATTAAAGATAACCAACTGGAACTCATCTTTGCAATGATATCCATTATTGCAAGGAAACATGTACTAAATAGGGAATTTGTAATGTAGAATATGAATCAGTCTAGGCAACATGGAAAAGTAAAATCTCTGAATTCTAATATACTAAATATATTCCAAAGAATGGTGGTAAAAAGAAATGTATGCATCAGATTCCAAAAGGGAAATATAATCATGATTAAGAACATGTTTGTATGCGTGATACTGATTTTTAATATCATTTTTGTGATTAAAAATGTCCTGAGTGTTAATCATTTTGTGAATTAAAATATGATCACAAAGGCTTACATTATTCAAGCAAGCATAGAAATAAAGATGATTAAAAATTTACATTATAAAAAGGGAAAAAAAATTAAATTAAAGTAGTAAGTGAGGATGGCAAAACGGTTAAAAATTATGTAGTTGGAGATGTTTCTTCTCCTGAAACTTGTAGAGAGAGTTGCAAAAGAAGAGGAAGAGGTCATTTTCATTTAATTGAATGCAAAGGTGGATAGTAATGTCTAGAAAAAAGTGAGTAAAAAAGATATGCTAGGCATTCACAATAAAAATATTTAGGATTTGAATTTCAAAAATTTGATGAAATTCTTTGCTTTCAATTTTGGGAATTAAAAATGTGGGCTCATCCTTTACAAAATACAGAAGACATTGATATTATTTAATCTTGTGATGCCTATTGTCCACTATGCTAAAATAATAAATCATTTTGTGAAGAAAGAGGTTGGCATACCCATTCTGATAAAATAAAAGATCACAAATTTCCATGCAGTTTAAATCATCAATAAGATATATTTCATGGAATTGATGTTGCTTTTGTAATTGATACAACTGAATCTATGTCTAAATACATTAAATCTTGCATTGAAATCATCAAAAAAACTATGTAAAATTTTTAAAAGTTTAAAAAGCATCTTAATTAATGTCAATTTGCAATTGTTTCATATAAAGATCATACATTTCCCTATGATGTAAATTAATAAATAATTTAAGTTTAAAATTTTGCATCTGAAGATGTAATTAATTAATTTTTGGAATCATTGTAAGCTTAAGGTGGAGATGATTATCCAGAAGCATTATTAGATGGATTAAATGCATCAATTAAATTAAATTGGAATGAAAAAAACATCAAAATTATATATTTGATTGCTGATGCTCCTCCTCATGGCAATAATGATAATAAGAAGTAAACAAAGTATCACAGTTTCAAAGATAGTTTTCCTGATGGATGTCCATGTGGATTAAAATAAAAAGAAATTTTGGAACAATTCTAGTAATTAAATATATAACTAAAAATTGTAAAATTAAACTCAACTCTTGAGATGATGATATCTAATTTTAAAGAAGAATATTAAAATTTAATCGAACTAACTCCTCAAAATATGGAGTAAATTGAATTTTAAAATATTCTAGTTATGGATATTTGTAAATATCTGGAACATAACGAAATTACATATCAATTTAAATAATGAGTTTACCAGTTAAAAATATTGAATTTAAAATATATAATTAATATTGATTATACATAAATGATTGTTCTCTTAATTTTCTTCTTATTATCTACATTAATTAATATATAAAAATAAAACTAACATCTAAAAAGTCATCTAATCTAGATTATAGTTTTTATTGTAATAATTTGAAAGAGATTAAGTGTTGAGATATTTTCAAATAATTACTATTAGTAAAATCAAGGATATTTTATAAAACATTTTTTTAGTTTTAATTATAAATATAATAATAGTGTTCATTTATGAAATATAATCTAAATATTGGAGGTTTGAGAAATAATATTAAAACATTTTGTAGAATTTTAGAAGATAGTCTTGATTTGAATATTGATCTATCAATCACTTTTCACGAATTAAATGAAATTACAAGACGATTGATTTAAGAATTAGAAAATGAAAGTTTTATTGATTTGAATAAAATGTAAAAAATAAATTTGAATGAATTCTATCATATATTAGAAAGTGACAAAGAACTTGAATAATTATTAAAAGATCATGTAAAATAAAAGTTAGGATTGAATACTGAGATTTAATGGATGATTGATAATAATCAAATAATCACAGAGTTGAATTGTAAATTAGTAGTAGAAGAATATCTAAATAAGTTATTTACATGTGAAACATAATTCAAAGAATATATTGATTTTATATCAACATAAACAAATATCAAAACATTATGCATATAGTAAGAAAGACCATTAAGAGGATATAAGAATTCTTTTCAAGAAATGGATGATTATTATCAAATTTATGGTTTCAAACATTTTGATATATCAGAAATATTCAAAAAAAAAATAATAAAAACTCTTTTAGAAGTAAAAATGTATAATGTATTTACAACTAAATTTATTCCAAAAATAAAACCTTGGATTGAAAAATATTATTATGTTTATGTTGATGTTGATGAAGAAAATGAGATAGTAATTATTAAAATGATAATTAGATCTCTCTTTATGGTCCAATTAATTTAGTTAAGGAATCTGAGGAAATAATTATGAAAGAATTCAAACAACTTTCATTTTTTTGTGGAATTATTAAATCAGATTGTCTCACTGCAGAATAATTTTAATTTTTAGAAATTTCAGAGTTTTTAAAAGAATCATTATATTAAAATTATGAAGTAGTTAAATAAAATTCACCAATTTTATAATAATTAGAAGACAGTTTAAAAGATATTAAAAGCTAGGCATTTTAAGCTGTTATGTATGCAGGTATAAATTATATTTATGAATTTTAGAATTTTAAAATGGTGAAGTGACTGGAGATTGTATTTTATGCTCAAATCTTGAGATTGATTAATAGAATGTTGAATAAAAATTAGAATCAGAAATTTAAAAATTGGCAGAGTCTAATGTAAATGGAAATTGTGTAGGGTATTTCTAGATTGTATATGGAATGAAATTAAGTTCTCTTTTAAAAAAATAGTTAAATGATCATCTTAAAGTTGTTTCTGAAGAAATTCATTATTAGAGCCATAAAATCTATTTAGAATAACAAGAGTTCTCAGAATTATAAAATTATGAAAGCTTATTTAAAATTAAAATAGATTCCAATAATTAGAAGTTCTTTATAACTGGAAAATAAGATTAAATAAATAAATTTAAGGATAACTTGAATACTATTTTAGCATCAAAGATAGAGATTATAGATTACTATTAATATAAGAATAATTTTAATATTAAAGCAGCTATGATTGATTATAAAGAGAGATATAATTAAATCATATCTTAAAATGAATGTTAAGGTATATATATAAATATACAAATAAAATAGTTGAGGCAAATTTATAAAATACTAGAATCAAAATAAGTGGAAAATAGAACAATATTTAAAAATTGAAATAAGATTTGTAAGAATTAGAAAAAGATATTTAATCTGAGAAAATCTCTAAATAAATTTCAATTGACTTACCGAAGGGAACAATCTTCTCGTAAAAATTTCAATCTTAAATAGATAATTAATAAAAACTATATAATTAAAATATCCATCAGTTGATTTAGTTGTTGGAGCATTTGAAGAAGTTAATATTGCTTCAATATATTCTTTTCGTAGAAAATAAACTAGAATTAAAATTTGTAATGGATCACCATCTGGATTATTTGAGATTAAGACTGAATTAATTAAATTAGATAAAGCAATATTCATTATACCAATTGAAAAAATACATTTGGAAGCTTAGAAACCATCTTTATTGTGGGAGTAAGAGTTAATTTAAAAAAAATCTATTAACATCAAATCAATATCTGAGACAAAATGGTTTAAATTAATTAAATATGCCGTTGAAATTACAGAAACTAATTCTAATCTAAATTCAAAAGATAAAAAAAAAAAACCTAAAATAGAAACTATAGAATATTACATTTGCTAAATTTATTATAGAGATTATTTTAAGCCAGAAAATTTTATTCATTATTTTGAAAAGGAAACATTAAAAACTTCATTTGATTAATTAATGAATTAAATATAACTAATAAAACCAAGTTAAATGTATATATCATGTTATAATGACGATGGTAAAAATTATCAATAAATTGTTGATTATGTAATTAAAGAAGGATAGTATGATTTTATTAATTATCATTTATTAGTCCAAAAATAACAATATTATTTTTAATGAGCCAATCAGAGAATATGGAAAGTCTTAAATAGGATCTACTAAATGATTTTGATGAGGAAGAGAATTAAAGAATCAAAATAACACAGCATTTTACTATTTTAAGTTGTATCTAAGACAACATCTCTTCAGTAATAAATGATCTAAATAACTTATAATGATATATTTTGAAAAATCACCTATTATTAAAATATTAAATTAATTACTTTGATGTAAAACTAAAATATAAGAATTTTTTGTAAATATAATGAAAATATAGACGATAACCTTTTGAATTCACTTTAATCTTCTTAATAACAATCAAGATTGTTTATGAATGTAACCTATTAATCATATTTAAGCTTATATAGATCATATTGATTGTCATAAAATATTAAAATTTTAGTTAACATACTAAAAGTTATTTTTATGAAGATAATTAAATAGCTTATTACACTATTTTCATCAATAATATTATAGAAATAAGTTCATCAATATTGAGAATTAAATGAACAATAGACTTAAATCTAAGAATAAATTTATTTTCATTATGTAAATACCCTATACTAATAATATCAATAATAAATTTTTGAATTTAAAATCCTTTTTGAACAAGGAAAGTATTAATTTTAAGATAGTAAGTTTAATACAAATATTGACTATTAGTATTAAGTTTATTTAATTTTTATTAATTTATGATAGTATTTGAAAATTAAGAAAAATAATATAAAAATGATATCTGCTATAATTTTGCAGATATCAAATAACTCAAATAAATTAATAAATTTCATTAATAGCTTTAGTAATGTTTTAGATTTCAGTCTATATGTTTGAATAATCTTATTCCAATTTTAAGACAGTTTGGAATTGTTTAAATATATTAAATAGATCAGATTCCATTCTATCAATCTAAAATTTATCTAATAGAATTATACTTAATCTTTTCGATCTTCATATTCAGTTTATACGTCGTTTAAGACTCTTGTCAAGATTGTACAAGCATCTTCTACAGATTTGATTCTTTCATCTTTTTCAATAATATCATTTTAGATTTGATCAAATTTTTATGGTATAGCGACTATAATTCTTTTACTATTGTCAGTTAATTCTGCAATTTATTATTATAGAGATTCAGGAATAGCAGGTGTAATGCAGGTTAATTTATGAATAACATCCTCTAGATTTAAAATTCTTTTTTCTAATTCAAACAATTTATCATTGTTGTTTTGCTACAATTATTACATGTCTAATTTGTTGACGACAGACCACATTTATTTAAATGCAAGATCAAAAATTTCAAAAGTAACATATTAGTCAGGACAAATTGTTCTAAGTTATTCGATTGATATTGATCCATCTGATGAATGAATTCTTTTGGTATTTTTCATTTAGCTCATTAATTGATTAATAATTATTATGGGAAATAATTGTTGTATAAAGAAAAATTAAAAAGAAAACAATAATAATGATACAGGTGAAAAAGAAATAGAATAAACAGTGGATTATAAAATATAAAAAGGTCCAACTCATATCAATGTTTAATATAAAAATTTATAGTCAATAAATAGCATTGCATATGTATCCTGTTGTGATGATAGAGGGAGAAATGCATAAAATTTATTATTATCTAAAGTATAAAAATGAATATAGGATAGAATGAATAAGTTTCTGAATAATTAATAAGAAGAACAAATTAGATTGGGCAAATTAGTGAAGTGAATGTTGGAAAAGTGTTTTTTTATTTTTTAGTACTACCATTATATTTGGGAGAAGAATAGTAAGTTTAAGTTCTAAGATAATAATTGAAATAGTTGGCATAAATAATAATTGAAAAGAATTTAATTGAGATTGCAATAGAAGATGTAGGAGTTTAAAGATTTGGATATCCAAGATAAGTAAATAGAGTTTGTTTATTTAAAGATTGTAGCTAAATTAATTATAGAAACATTTGCCAATCAATTACATAAGATGGTAAGCTTAACTAAGATTGATTTTATGATAAATGATATAAAATCAAAAGTAATGTTTGAGGAAGAAATTTAAGCAAGAAAGGAATTATTAATTAAGGGAGATTCATTATTAAAGATAGATTAATCAGATGAGAAATCTCTTAAATAACCTTTGATGGTTTGAAACATATTATAAATACAATGATTTTTGATTAAGTATTTTAATAATTAAAATGCCCCCAAAATAATAAAGAGTTGCAATAAAGAGACCACAGATTGTAAGATTTTATAATTTCTATAATAGAAAAAACAAGCCAAATAAGTGAATCAAAATTTAAATCAATAAGACCCAGAGCCAGATGGAGATGAATCAGAATATTAACATGAAGTTTTGAAATAATATAATATTATTAGAGAGAGAAAGAGAGACCTTAATTAACAGAGAAAGAACTTAATGAAGATATGCCATCTAAAATGCTTATACCAAATAATCCTTAAGCTCCTAAAAATATTACTTAATATGATTATTTATAAAGAAAGGTAACTACCGAAGTTATGGATAGTATAAAACAGATGAATTAGTAGAGTAATTGATTATTCATTTTGGATTGGATGGAGAAATAATACATAAAGACTCAAATGAATCTAGGATACAAGAAGAATTATGGGAAACAAAAGAAGCATTAATAAAGGAAGCTGAACGAAATTAAGAAATGGAAGATCCAGGAGCTTCAAAAGATATTGAAGCAATTAAATAGACAATGAGAAATAAGTTTAATTATAATGCAAGAGAAGCTTAGACAGATGGAAGAGTAATTAGAGAAAGAGGAGTATCAACAGAACCTCCTCCAAGTGATACATTAAAAGGTTAAATTACTTAATGGGAAATATTTGATGCTTACATTTAGAATAAGGCTAAGGAAGAGAATTAAAAGAAAAAAGATCATACATCTGATAATACAGTTTATAAACCATCATTTAAAAGATGCTTAAAAATTATGGAAAGAACTGTTGTACATAATGATTAGAAAGAAAAATATAATGATTATAAATATTATTGGAGTTAAGGAGAAGTGGTTGAAACATCTAAAAATGAAGGGTAAATATATATATATATATATAATATAGACATTTATTACCAATTTGGAAATTTTCTAATGAAAAATAAAAAAAAAAACATGTGACATCATTATGTTGGAATCCTAGATATATGGATTTATTTGCTGTTAGTTTTGGTAGTTATGAATTTTCAAAATAAAGAATGGGTTTAATATGTTTATATTCTTTGAAAAATACAACTCATCCAGAATATGCATTTACATGTGAAGCTGGTGTAATGTGTTTAGATTTTCATCCATAAAGTCCAGCATTATTAGCTGTTGGATTATATGATGGAACAGTTCTTGTTTATGATATTAGAAATAAACATAAGAAACCAATTTATTAATCTACAGTAAGAACATAGAAACATACAGATCCAGTTTGGTAAGTTAAATGGAATCCAGATATATCTAAAAATTATAATTTCTATTCTATTTCATCAGATGGTAGAGTTATGAATTGGGTTCTTATGAAAAATAAATTAGAACCTGAAGAAGTTATTAGATTAAGATTAGTTGGTAAAAATGAAGAAGAAAGTACTTTAATTGGTTTAGCTTGTGGTTTATGTTTTGATTTTAATAAATTTGAACCTCATATATTTTTAGTAGGTACAGAGGAAGGTAAAATTCATAAATGTTCTAGAGCCTATTCTGGATAATATTAAGAAACTTATATTGTAGATTATATATATTTTATTTAAATAGGGTCATAATTTAGCAGTTTATAAAGTTAAATGGAATAACTTCCATCCTCGAACTTTTATTTCAGCATCTGCAGATTGGACTGTTAAGATTTGGGATTCTAAAATTTCATCATAAATTATGAGTTTTGAATAAGGAATGTAAGTAGTTGATGCCATGTGGGCTCCTTATAGTTCAACAGGTATTTAGTTTTATATTTATATTTTAGTTTTTGCATGTGCAACTTAAGATAAAATATTTGTATATGATTTAAATGTTGACAAAATTGGCAAGCTTGCAGAATAAAAACCATCTAAATAACCTAGATTAACTAATATAGCATTCAATCAAAGAGATTCTATTATTTTAGTTGGTGATACTCACGGTGGTATAACTTTGCTTAAATTAAGTCCTAATCTTACAAAATGTAATATCATAATTTAAATTTTAGCTGGTGTTAAAGCATCCAATTTTCCAGATGGAAAAATTCCAAAAGAGTTTGAAAGCATGCCTATGGAAGAATATGAAAAATAAAAGATGGAGAATCTTTTATAAGTTGTTTCAAAGTGGGAAAGAGAAGATTCTTGAGAAACATATTTTATGCATCAAAATATTATAAAAAATAGATTTATTTTTAATGAACAATTATCAAGATAATAGTTAAAAACTCTTCTATGAATTATGGAAAACTGGTAACAGAATATTGTGTTCAGGTAAATTGTTAATGGGGTAAAAAATATTTTTATGGAAGTTCTGAAAATCATAAATTCATAGCCTCTATTGTACTTATTACAATACCAACTGTTTTATACTATGTATTCATGGCACCAGTAAAATATTATTAATATTTAGGAATTGGTTCAAAGAGATTAAGTTATTTAGGTTGTCATCTTTATAATCCTGAATTGTTTAGTTTACATTTTCATTACTATTACAATTCTAGTTGATCCAGGAATCATACCTAAAATAGTACTAATTAAAATAATAGAAGACAACAAACTATGAAATGGATGAGCAGCTAATCTTAATTCCTCAAAAATATTTAAAAGTTGATCCCTTAGCATTATTTGAATCAAAAACCTTATAAGTGAAAGGACATTAATTTAAATTGAAGTTTTGTAATACATGTAATAACAAAATTGAATACATTCAGGTGCAATTTATAGACCTCCTAGAGCTTCACATTGTCCATCTTGTGATAATTGTGTTTTAAGATTTGATCACCATTGTCCATGGATAGGTGCATGCATTGGAAGAAGGAACTATGTCTATTTTTATCTTTTTATTTTCTTTCTTTCTGTCACAATGATTTATGTTTTTTCTACTTGTCTTGCCTATCTTTTTGGAGACTTAAAAGATGATTAAGATCAAGGAGAATAGATAATATCTAAATTATCAAGAAATCCTTATTCACTAGCCTTAGCAATTTATTGTTTAGTTGTAAATATTTAAGAATTAAACAGTTTTCATTTTTTGTTGTTGGATTGTGGGGATTTCATACATATTTAGTTATAGCAAATGTGACCACAAATGAATATTTAAAGAAACATTGGCTTATTTAAAGTAAGAATCCTTTTAGAAGGTAAATCTTAATTTATATTCTATAGAAAAAACATATTTAAAAATATTTAGCATGTATTAGCTTGTATAAGAGATATCAAATTTTTAAAGCTTCGTTAATTCGTTTATGATCCAAAAAACTATAATTAAGTATTATCAATTTAGTTATGAAGCCTATGACATAAAATTAAATAAATGAAAATGAGAACTTAAATATAGAACCTGAATAGCAACATAATGTTATAAGAAGATTATCAAAATAGACTGATGATCATGTAGAAGAACAATGAATTTTAAACTCGTTTTATTTTTAAACAAATATAAATTAATATAGTAATGAAATTCAAATTCAAACATAGGAATGTTGAAAATAAGTTTAAAAATTATTTATTTATATTATGAGTAAATTGATATATATAAGCGAATTATATCATTTATGTATTCATGGAATAGAAGGTAATTTCTATTGGTAATGCAGCAAACTTTATTAAAATTGTGAAGGAATTTAACCATTAAATGATTATTAATACTACTTGATTACATGACCTAATCTTTTTCTGTGACTTTCAGTTGCTGTCTGTCTAAATAATTTTTCTTATGTCTTAGACTCCTAAATTAAAAATTATAAAATACTTTTGCAATTTTTGGATTTATTGAAGCATTATTTTATGAAAAATCTAGCGGTTATATTTTTTTTATTGTCCATTTAGGACTTTGATTCTAACTTCCTTAACTTATTTAAACTCCAAATTATTTAGCTAAAATTCCTTAAGCCCAATCAGACCCATAAGGATCTTTTTTCTAAGAACGATTGACTGTTAACTATTTTATTTAAAGAAAGATAACTTCTCTGAGATTTAATTTTTGGTTTCTCTATTTTTTCTAATTTCTCTATTTTCATAATTTTTGGTTAGATTTCTTTATTTTCATCTTCATACCAATAATCCATAATAGATAAAGGCTCACACAATTCTGCAACAAATAAGGAACTTTAAAAAAAAAGTCCATCCTTTTACTAATTCATTAAATTTATTTTATTAAATTACATTAATATAAAGTCTGATAATTATACATTATTGGTATAATCTATAATAATTTAATAGTATAATAAAATATTTATGAATCAAAAGTTTGTCTCCCTATTAATTATTTTGATTATATTTAGATCTAAAGAATTTGAAAGAATTGAATTCAGGAATAGAATAATCTATGATTTATTTAATTTTCATAATTGACTATTTCTTTTCTTTTTTACAATCTCTGTTATATAACATTATATTGAGCTTCAAAATTATTATGAATTAAAGTATCTATTTAATTTTTTATATATATTTATATTGATTTTAGTAAATAAAATAATCAGCATTCTATTTTAAATCAACGTGATTAATTTACTAATGTCTTTATTTGACATTCTAAATTAGTTGTAATTATGACGAAATTTGAATTTCTAGTATATAAGAAGTTTGAATAAAATTTTTTTGTTATAAGAAACTACGTATAAAATTAAGCATGTATTTAAATAAAATATGTTCAATAATCCAACATCCTATTTTGCTAACTCAAATGAAAAAAACAACTAATTGAAAGAGAAGATCTACAGTGCTCTATATTCATCTCCTAATACCTCCTAGTAAAATTTAAGTTTAAGCAATTAGTGATATTATGAAGTGGATTCCTAGCAATGATATTTCAAATCTCTCTGTGTCTATTGAATAAGATATTGATAAAATTCTATAGGTAGTTCCTCCGTTTCAATTTTAACCAAATAAACAAATTTCCTTCTAACATTTTTAGACATAGTAATATACGAACAGCCAACCTAATACATATTTAAGTTCATCTTAAAAAAACTATTCTTAAAATCGTTGTGAACCTGAAATAAAGTAATCTCAACTTCATTAAAGTGAAAGCAATTCAAAAGTAATTAGAAGAGAACAATAAAATATTCCAAAGTAGAATTAATACATTTAAGACTTAATTAGTCGATATTAAGAACCTCCCAAAAATACTTTCTAAGAAGATTAAAATATTCCATCTAATAATATTGAAGAAGAATATGATGTTAATACTAAATAATCAGTTACTAATAGAGATTCTCAATAAAAAGGTTGTTTAATTCATTAAGAAAAATGTAAAAATAATGAACTATCTAAATTAACTGAACAATAAACATGTTTAAATTAAAGTGTTGGTAATTCTGCTGTATTAGAACCTTTAATTAATGAAGAAAATATCAATTAAATTAATTAAATTAATTAAATTGCTCCACTTGTAGAAATTGAAACACCAATCTTTAATACAAGTTAAAATTGGGCAAAAATGAAAATTAGAAAAGAAGCTAAATTAAATGAAAACTACAAAACTCAAAATTTTTAAGATCTCTTGTATTCTTTACCTTCATTTTTTATTCATTAGACTGAAGGTGAATTAAAAGTAGACAAATTAAGAGCTTAAGAAAATTAAGAAGGTTATTATTATTAATCTTTTGAACTTACTGTAAATCCATTAAAAATGATTGGACCAATTAATTTTAAAAAACATCTTAAAATTGTATTTATTTATATGATAATAGCACATAAGATTCAAGAAGGGTTACTATGGAGTTGTATTTTATGATAAGCTTTTGCAAAATGTTATTCCATAAAATTAAGTTGATGGTATAACATTGAAGAATGAACCATTTTTACTAGCAAATAATTCTGATAAACCCATAAAAGTAATTTGCTGTATAGTTGGCATTAAAAAATGATATTAATTAAATATATAACTCAATCAATTAATTACAGATATTTATTAATTTTATTTCAATATATCAACAATTTGTATTGTATCTAAGTATTCTTTTTAATAAACTTAGAACCATTTTTAAATTATTATTTATAATAAGTCTTAGTTCGAATATAATTGATTTAGTTCTTGAGTACTTAAAAGAATGAATAGAATTTATTATTTTGAAAAACATACAAAAGTGAATTTTGATGAAGAAAAATGAAAGGTATAGAAAGAGATTAAAAATTTAGTTTAAAACGGGTTTTATTAATAATTATAATATAAATGAAAAAAGCCTTGGTTCTTATATTGGTAATATTGGGTTGTATGGCAAGTGAATTTGATGATGAATTTAGTGAACTTGAGGAAAGTTAATTTGGATAAACAATTTTATAAACGATATAGATGGAAATGTAAACAGATGATCCAGTTGTTTCTAATTTGATAGATATAATGCAAAATATAGAATAAACATTAGAAGATGAATAAAAGAGAGATGATGATAGGATTGTTAGATTTAAATAAAACTGTGATATAGCTTTAAGTTAATTGACAGAAATGATAAATACTAGTACAGTCACATCACTTACATTGAAGAGTGATTTAGACTCATTAAATCCTTAGAAGGTATAAGCAGTGGCTAGTTTAGAGAGAAAAAACTTAGAAATAGCAGATTTGAAAGCAGAATTAGATTATTAGACATTGAAAAGATAAAAGGAATCAGCAACATATTAAACAATATTGGATAATTTAGAATAAGCACTTTTTGGAGTGAATTAAGTTAAGGGATATTTCAATAAATATTTAGATGTTTTAGTGAAGAATAGAAATAGATTTTAATAACCTTAACCTTCATTTTTATAAGAAGATTTAAGTTTTGAATATCGTGATGATAATGTAGAGGAAGATCTAGATACAAAGAGTATTTCTTCATTTGCTTAAGTGGCTTAAAAGGTTAATAAATTAAAACATCATGTAAAGATAATAGATTTATTTATTTAGGTTCATTTAGAAGGTTATAAATCTATGATTGAAATATTAAGTCAATTGGCAAGTTAAGCTTAAACTTCAGCAGATGAACCAAGTTAATGTGAAGTATTAACAAGAAAAGTTTTATCAATTCTTAAATAAATTGAGAATTATATATAATCAGAAAGAATTAGAGAAGATTAGGCTGAGAATTTAAGATAAAGTTCTTTTGAAGATTTAAGAACTTTATTATCTGATTAATTAGTAAAGGCTAATTAAGATAAAACTTATATGGAAGGTTAATTTATTATTTAATTTAGGATTGATTGATTCTTTATCAAATAGAATTTAATAAGCTAAAAATGAGAAATTTGAAGTTGATTAAAAGATTACTATAAAATAAAAAGAAAAAGAAAATAGAGACAATGATTGTAGATTGAAAAGAAAAGAATATGAAACAGATACTGCAAATAGGTTTATTTATGATCCTATTTATTTAGAATTAAATAAAAACGAATTGTAGCTATCGCTGTTGATTTAATTTCATCAAAATTAGGTTAACTTAAAAGGAAAATGTTGGCTAATTGATTAGAAATATCATAAAATAAATATATTTTATATATATATATATATAATATTTATTAATTATAAATTTTAATAATGGATTAAGAATTAATAATAAGTCCAAATGATAAAAGATAATATTCTTTAACAACACTTCCAAATTAATTAGAATGTTTAATAATATCTGATCCAAATACCAAAATATCAGGGGCTTGTTTAGAAATAAGTGTAGGATGGGTAAATAATTAATTATTATATAAATAGTTAGATGATCCAAAAGATTATTAAGGAATTGCACATTTTTGTGAACATATGTTATTTATGGGATCTAATAAATATCCAACTTAAAATGATTATACATCATTTATCTAATTACATTCAGGATCTTATAATGCATCAACATGGTTATAAAGTATTATTTTAATTAAATAAATAGGAACAAAGTATTATTTTAGTATTGAAAATGATGCTTTTATAGGAGGATTAGATAGATTTGCTTAGTTTTTTATTTGTCCACTTTTTGATAGTAGTTGTATTGAAAGAGAAATGAATGCTGTAGAAAGTGAATTCAATTTATCTTTGGCTGATGATTAATCAAGATTATGGGAGTATTATTTATTATGAATATATTCTTTAGAATCTTTGTTTAATAAAGTGATCCTCAATCTACATTTAATAGATTTGGATGTGGTAATTTACTTACTTTAAATAAACCAGATATTAGAGATCAATTGTTAACATTTTATGATAAATACTATTGTTCATCTTTAATGAAATTAGTTGTTTACACTGATAAAAATTTATAAGAAGTAGGATAAATGTAATATTATCTAAATTTAATTAGAGTTTATGATATTTTTTCTTTAGTTCCAAATAAAGGTCGTAAAAAACCATTACATTTAGATAATCCTTTTTAAGGATAATTATTTAAAATTGATGTTGTTGGAATCAAATAAGAAGATTATTTATTTTTGAATTTTGTTATACCTAATTATGAAAATAAATATTTAGGTTAACCTGAAAGTTATATTACTCATGTTTTAGGACATGAAGGCTAAAATTCATTAGCTTCATTTCTTAAAGATGAAGGTCTTGTAACTGAATTAATTGTTGGATCTTAAAGATTAAATGATTAAGTGAGTGAAATTTATTTAGAAATTACTTTAACAGAAGAAGGATTTGATAATTATGAAAAAGTTATAGGCTTTGTTTTCTAATAAATTTAAAAAATCAAAGAAAAAGGTGTTAAATAAGAAATTTTTGATGAAATTGCTTAAATTAAACATCTTGAATTTAAATTTAAAGAAAATTCATCCTCTGTTTTAGAATATATTGAAAAACTTAGTGAAAATATGCACAAATATCCAAAACATCATATTATTTATGGAGATTATGCTTATTAATAATTTGACCCTTAATCTATAAATGAAATTCTTGATCATCTTAATCCAAATAATATGATTATTTTCCTTAGAAGTCCTAGTTTGTAATATTATCAATTAAGTTTATAGCGCAGAAGAAAAAGACGATGAAAATTTTATATCTGAACCATTTTGTAAAACAAAGTATAGAAAACAACAAATTTCTAATGAAATATTCTAAATCATTAAGAATTCTAATAATTTAAAAGCAGAAAAAACACATAAAATTATTGATATCTTCCCTCCCAATATATACATTCCATAAAACTTTGATATTATTGATAATATTGATGATAATCAATATCCTAATAAGATTTTCGAAAATGAATTTATAAGATGTTTTCATTTAAAGGATAATTAATTTCCTATATGCAAAGGTTGTTTTGGAATCTAATTCTTCCCCAATTAAGAATTTGCTATTAATGAAAAAGAAAGAGTTTTATTTGATCTTTGGTCAAATATATTCTATTCCTAATTTGAAGAAACTTTATATAATGCAGAATGTGCAGGAATCTCATACAATCTTGATTCAGCATATAATTTTATTTCTTTTAAAGTTCATGGATTTAATGATAGCATTCTAAAATTCTACAAAGATTTTATTCAATATCTATTAGATTTTCATAAACAACCAAAAAAATATGTTAAAAAACATATATTTTCTGTTTAAATTGATGATTTATAAGATAGATATGAAAATTATTTTATGAAAAGTCCATATGACTTAAATGCAAGTTATTGGAAATGTATGATTTATAAATCAGGTAAATTTATGAAAGAATAATTAAGAGAAGTAGATATTAAAATGAATGATTTTATTTCTTTTACAGAAAAATTATTCAAAACTGTAAGAATGCAAATTTATTTTCATGGTAATATTTCAAAAGATGCTGCTTTAAATTTATGTTAATTTACTCATAATTAATTTTTGGAATTTTCAATACCAAACAAATCAATTCACCCTTTACAAATTATTAAAATTCCTAAAAATTAAACATATAAATTTGAAAAATTGATTAATGAAAATCCTGAAGAACCTAATTCTGGCCTAAGAATATCATTTTAAGGAGAATAATCTCTTGATCCTACAATTAATTTATATTTTGATTTACTTAACTCAATAATTTCAGATCCATTTGAAAATTAACTTAGAACAAATGAATAACTTGGATATGTTGTCTATACTAATAAAAGTAATAGAAGAGGAGTTAATTTCTTCCATTTTATAATCATTTCAGAGACTAAATCGACTAGATAAATTGCTAATCGTATAGATTCATTTCTTTCAAACTTTTTAAATCAAGAATTAGCTTAAGTATTTATATAATAATAATTTTAAGCTTTCAGAAGAATAATTTGAAAAAGTCAAATTAAGCTATTACAAAGATTAATCATAAGATTTTTAAAATTTAAATGAAAAATTTAAAGATTTTTGGAATGAGATTTTAATTAATTAAAATGATTTTGACAAAAGTAAACAATTTCTTATATAATAGAACAAAAACTAAAAGAACGTATAGATTCAATAACACATGAAAAATTCATGAACTTTGCACTTAATATTTTTAAAGATTCAAAAAGGCTAGAAATTCATATTGTTAATTAAAAGCATTTAGATTGGGAATTAGAGTATTAAGAAAAAATTTCTAATTGCGAATGGCATGAGGATGTATTTTAATTGAATTGAATTAAAAAGATTGTATAATAATAATAGACCATTTTTATTTTAACATTGCTATATAATCTTTAATTTCTAATTTATTTTTATTAAATTTAAATTAAAAAAAAACTTAATGATTAATAAAACTCAATCAATTATTTAAGATTTTAGATTATTTTATTTGGTAAATAGGATTTTTGTAATTTATAAAATTTTAATTTATTTAATTTTCGATGCATGCAAAACCCGAGAAAAAATAGAGTTGATAAATTTAATATATATATTTTATTTTTAAGTCTTAATTAATATTAAGTTATAAATAGACATTTTGTTAATCGATTAATTATATTTTTTCTCCATTGAATGAAAAATTGTTATATTACAAAAGTTGGAAAAAAAAATTTTAAATAGTAATAATCCTAATGGGTTTATTAAGCTTAAAAGAATCAGACAAATAGTCACTCGTTTTTGATTAAATAGTAAAATTAAATTATTTCCTTTATATGTTTAAATATTCCACCTTGAAGTAAATTTTGTTTCTTTCTATTGTTAGAAAGGTCTATTAATTAAACCTTATAGATTACTAGAATAAAAATCAATATTTACTACTTAATTTACCATTATCTACTTTTTCTAACAGAATATAAAAATTAAAATATGACTAAAAGAATTTACTTTCAAAAAATAGGAATTTTAAGCAATGAATATTAAAATCTTATCACATAGAACTAATAAAAGCTTACTCTTATTCCAAAAAATCATAAAAAGGAAATTAAACAAAAGTTCTGCTTCATAAGACATTATAAATTATTTTTAAGTTTTTAAATATTTTATGGAAATTTCAAAAAAAAAAGAAATCAAAAATATTTAATTAAGGAATTTGGATAAACAATAAGTATAACCCCCATAAACTCCGAATAAAGGAAAAAAAAAATTTCTCCAAAACACACTTTAAATGAATTTCTTGATCCTAATCTCGCTTAAGAATTGATTCAATATTTATTTAAAAATTTACGAATATAGAGTTTTAAGTTGTGACATAAATTCAATATTATATATAAAATAATTTTCAATTTAGCCTTTTTTTAGTATATAACTAATGTTTGTTTATTGGCTGGAAGTTTCTATTCTTCTTTTGTATTATATTATTAAATATTCATTATAAAATCGATCATGATGAAAGAAAAATTTTCAGCAACATTTAAGGTGTAACTAACCATGATACTTTTACTAATATTTCACTTTATAAGGCAAGTGATATCATATAATAACCGAAAAGATCAATTCATTATTTTAATGATGTCGAATTTTTTATTCCAAATTGCATTGGAAGTTTTATTTATTTTTAGTCAGACATTCTATTAAAGAACATTATAAATTACTTTCATATTGATAAATGTTATACTATTTTAAATAGAATCTATTAAATATGGCTTTGATAACGTAGATTCTAATTATTTGTTTACAACGATTTTATTGTTACTGGAGATCTAATAAAATTAGAAAACTAGAAAAGCTATTTGGTAGGCTATTTAAAAAATCTTACTTTTAATATTATTTTTAAGCTTCTCCTACTTCAAAGATGATCAATAAGATTAAAAATTTATTTTAAATTTTTTTAGGATATTCAATTAAAAATTAAATATAGCATTATTTATATTTTTATTGTATGGAAGGAAAGAATATAAAATTTAAGAGTAAAACCTTAATTTTTTGGGCATAATTGATGATAAAATTATTTAAAAAAAATAAACAAGCGAGAAAAAGAATGGGTTCAAAAAAATCGATACTAAAAGATCATCATTTTAGGATTTAAGCGAGATTGTTACAGAAAGAAAGTTAACATTCTAAAAATATTAATTTTAATCATCAATAGATTAAAATTTATTATTGGATGTTTTATCTGAAGCAGTAGTTATTATAAAATTCGAAAAATCTGAAGATCCACAAATTTATAAACCTAAAATTGATTATTAAAATTTATTAAGTAAAACTATGTTTTAAAGAACTAATTAAGAACTGCTATAATTTTTTGAAAAAATATAAAGTGAGGTTTTGAGTGATGACTCTCCAGTTAATCCAAGAAGTTCTTTGTTATCATTTTAGAGTTTAGCATAATAATAGTATAAATATATGAAAAGGTCTTCTAAATTTAATCCATAATAATACTTTGCAACTGATTTTAAGTAAGATTTAAAATAAGGAGGACTTCCTTCTTAATCTCCAGGAATAAAATCTTTAACTACTTAAGTAAAATTAATAATGATATTATAGTTAAACACTGTTTATAAATGTTTACTCTATGTATTCAATACAAAGAGATTAAGATTTGAAATAAATGGAAGAGTAGAAGCATTGATAATAGAAACTAATTTTGAAATAGAAAATATCAAAAAAACTGCTGAAATCATTATCACAATAGGAAGTGAAGATTCACTACTTTTAATTGCTAGAGATGTAGTTCATAGAAAAAATATAAAGGAACTTTTTGAAATTAATTAATCTAAATCTAAGATTTTATCTTTTGTTAGTCATGAATTTAGATCTCCTTTGAATGTTATGATAAATTTACTTCAAAAAATTAAAGAAGATAAAAGTCTAAATAAAATTGTGTTATAACAACTTTCAATAGTGTTAGAGAATTCATTTTATATGCTAAATCTATCAAATGATTTACTTGATTTAGCATAAATAAAAAATGATACATTTACTTTAAGTTTAAAAACTGTAAATGTTATAGAATTAGGGGAAGAATGTATTAAGATGTTTGAATTGTAGGCAGAATAAAAAAATATATAATTAGCTATCAAAACTAACACAAAACCATTATATATATAAACAGATAAAAACAGATTGAAATAGATACTTATAAATCTTATTGCAAATGCGATGAAATTTACAAAAGAAGGAAGCATTTCAATTAAAATTATATAAAAAGGATTATTAGTAGAGATTGGAGTGGAAGATACAGGAGTTGGAATTTCACCATCAGAATAATCTAAATTGTTTAAGGCTTTTTGTAAAATAAAAGACAGTGATCATTAAAAATTAAATGAGTAAGGAGTTGGATTAGGACTTGTAATAAGTAATAAGATAGCATAACAACTATCATTTGATGGTTAAGGATTAAAGGTTATTTCAAGAGATATTACATAATAAGATCATGGATCACATTTTTATTTAATATTGAAAGTTAAATAATTTCATTAGAAAATAGATTTCTCAAAAATTTGTCAAGTTGATAATAATGAAATAGAGTCGCCAATAATAGATAAATATACACAATTATCATAGTTTAAAATGACATTTAATAATGATATGAATTCATTTGCAGATGAACAAAAGTTTTTAGACAAATATATTTGTCAACATATATTAATAGTAGATGATAATATATTTAATTTAAATATTTTAGAAATGTAGTTAAAATAATTGTAAATTTATATTTTATAATAATAGTACAAAAACCAAAATTGATAAAAATTTTAGTGGAATACAAGCTATTGAATCTGTAAAAAATAAAAAATGTAATTAACATTGTTCAGGATATTAGGCAATTTTTATGGATATGGAAATGCCTGGCTTAGATGGGATTTAGGCATCTGCTCAAATATTATAATTAAATAAAAATATTAAAATATTCATAGTATCTGGATATGAAAAAGATCATTTTAGTGAAGAAAATAAAAAAATTGGAATTAAAGATTTTATTGTAAAACCAATTTCTTAATAAGTTATATAAAAGATTATATTAGAAAATCATTTGTGATTTTTAAACTAATAAAAATTTAAATTATTAATCGATTTTTTTTTTTATTCTAGCTTACATATCTTATTCTTTAGATTTATTTACTCTTAATCTTATTTGCTCTTATTCTAGATTCTTACTATTTTTGATGAATGACCTTTTTATAATCATATTATCTTGTTTAACAAAATCAGATGTAGTTTTTATTTTTATTTTTAAATCTACTAATATTAAAAAATTATTTTTTATGAATTTTTAACTAATTTATATTACAATGATTGCTTTAAACATTTCTTATTATTATATCTCTTATTGAAAATTTCAAATGTCTAAATATTCTCATATAAGCAAAATAAGAAAAATGACATCAATGTAATAAAAAATCTATTGATTTTACAAAATAATGGAATTATAAAATTTGGATCTTTTCTAAAAATTTGTCTAAATTTGGGATTGAAATCGTTAAGTAAAATTATAGAATTCTTGATTTAAACAAAATAATTTAGATACTGAAAAATAACATATATTTAAATATATCAGTCTTAGATAAAATATTTGTTCACTAGTAACACAATTTTTGCTGCAATTAAAGCACCGGCAACGACACCGCCAACGACACGGCGATTTTTACTTAAGAAATTACTAAACTTCTACAAAAGAGGGATTTGGAGTATACTATTAACATTTATAGTATTTGTTGTGTTTATAACTTTAGCGCCTAACTCTTTAATATCTTCATATCCAGAATTCTTACAGAGATCAACTGTACATTATCCAGCTTACATAACTAATGGGTCTCCATCACTTAAATATCCTACTGCGATTGTACAACACTTTAAACCATCTTCTACCATCTTCTTCTTCATCTCACTGATTTATGGAGTAAGTTCTGGTTAAATTACACCTCCAACAATACCTCCAATACATGATCCACCAAGAGTAAAATATTTGATAGACTCAGAAAATTTTTCTTAAATTTTCAATTCTTCTATAAGTTCTAAGCATAAGTAAAAAGCTGATAATAATAATGTGCCTGGTATCATTAATTCCAAAAATAATTTCAAAATTAAACAGAATGTATCATAAATTTTTTTCCACACTGTACTATCCTTTTATATCCAAATAAAACCAATATTTATAAATGTAGCAGCAGCAGATATATATTGATTACAATAAAATTTCAATAAAATGAAAATGGCTATTATAACACAATTACCCAATTTTTACCAATTATTTTAGTGTTCAAAACTTCCAATAAATTACCTAATTATTTTATAATAAAATTCTGGATCTTAAAATTGTTTTAGGATAAATTTAGTGAATGATAATTCTCCCTCCCCCTAAGTAGATTTATATAAGTCTTGAGTTAGGCATTTTATCAATTCAACTAGATTAGTTTATTCGAAATTTTTAGTTATATCTTTTCTTTTTTAGAGATATTTATTTAAATGTTATTTAACTCTATTTACATAATGAATACAACTGTTATTAAATACACTATATTCTTCTGGCTCTTAATTCTAAAGTTCTTTCACAGTAAACTATTTTTTGAATTAAGATGATTAAAATGTTTCAGCAACTTAAAAACATTTTTAGTTTATTTCTTCATTCGTAATTTTAGAACTAAAGAATCCTTTCGAAGTCTAGTGCAATATATATTACCCATCTTCTTTTGTATTCAGAATCACTGCATAATGATGAGCAAAAGGGTCACTCAAATATTTGAGGAGTTATTTAATAATAGGATAATCAAATTTTGGATAATCTATACATAGACCTAATGGCTATTTAACAATTTCAATTTTGGATACAATTTGACCAAGTTCTTATGGGGTGAGTGAGTTATGTGAATAGCTCATTTAATAGAATTTAAGTTTAATAAAATATGGTGTTTAAATATATATTAAATTCTATTACATAATAATCAAAATTTATCGAAAGTATATAAATTATATTAAGATGCAATAACTTAATATATATTTCTACTAGACACAATTATTATTTTTATATATTAATAGGATAGTGCTTAGTTGATTAAATTATAATATTAGATGTAGTAAATAAAAGTAAGTAGCTTTTGTTATAGGAGATTAAACTAATTAAACAAATTAAATATTAAATAGTTTTAAATATGTTAATAATACATTACATAAATTTAAAATCATCTTATCTTGTTTAATAAAGTCAGACGTAGTTTTTATTTTAAAATAATCTACTAACTAATTTATATTACAATGATTGCTTTAAGAATTATTTATTATTATTCCTCTTCTTTTAATATTTATTCAAATTCTTTTATAAATCTACTGTTTAAATTTGATTTAGAAGGTTTGTTGAAATTTTAAAATGGTATGATTATTTGGAAAATTATAGATTATTCATTTCTTTGAAATTTACTTCATTTTAAAAATCTAGATATTATATTTTTAGATTATAAATTATTAAATAATCATTAAGTAAAATCAATTTAATTATTATCTTTTTGTTAACTATTTTATTGTTCTTAATCCAAAGAAAAATTGCTTAATGGACTTAGTTCTTCCAAAATATCTACTTAATTCTGTACCATAGGAGTACTAGCTTTAGGTCCATAAAGAGGAGTACGAGTAACAATTGATAATTTCTTACTATCTTAACTTATTAATTTTTAATTAGGACTATTATAAATTTAAAGATATTAATTAAATGAATCTTTAATTGGACTTTCTTAAATTTATGAATTAGTGAATTATTAAATTTTCTATTATGATTATAAAGAGCCATTATTTTAAAAATAAGGATGTTAGAGACATTATTAAGACGTATAACGTTATGAATAATTATGGGCTAACATTTTTAACCTAAAATTTAAAATAAATATTTTACAATAGATCTTTTGCATCAAAATCTAATTTTTGATATTTTGGTTTAGAAAAGTCTATTTAGAATTCTTTATTCATTTTTAAAATCTCTTAATGACAATCTCCAACAAATAAACCTTCTCCCAAAAGCAAAATGTGAAAAATGACACCTGCTGAAAAAATGTCACAAGCAGCTGTATATGGTTTAGTTTTATCTATCATGTTTGCAATTTCAGGAGCTACAAACCCTGGTGTGCCACATTTTGGATATAAATAAGGAGAAGAATCAATTTCTACAGAAAGACCAAAATCAGCAATTGTCAAAGAATTGAGATTACCTTTTTCTCTGAATAAAATATTTTCTGGTTTTAAATCTCTATGCATAATTCCTTTAGAATGTATATATTATAGTCCTTCTAAAATCTAATACATAATCTTTAATAATTATAAAATAATTACATTCTGAATTTCTTCTCTATTATAAAGATTTATCTTATTTTTCATTTCTTTATATAAACTTCCTCCTTGAGCTAAATCCATAATTAAATAAATATTGTTATCACCTTCATATACTTCTATTAAATTTATGAGTGATTTATGTGGACTCAATATCCTCATAATTTTTATTTCATTTTAGACTGATTGCTTAATATAAAATTTAATAAATACTTCTCCTTATTCAATTGCCTATACTTTCTTTTTATCAATACACTTTGATGCAAATCTTTAATTAGAATGTAAATGCTGTAATTCAAGAACCTAATTTTACTATCAATTTAAAAATACTAAAGCGTAATTTCCTTATCCAATCACTTATTAAGCCATATATTCTTCTTAAACTTTTGCTTAAAAAAAAAGTTTAGAAATATTTTTTTTTAATTCACGAAGTGTTTCATCTTCTCCAAAATATTCGAATTACAAATTGCCACAATCAAAAATCAATCCTTTTAATTTTATAGGCTATTAATTTGTGTATCTCCAAACTAATCTATTAGTATTAGTATCAGAAAATATTCGATCTGCTTTTTTTCTATTGGATTCCTAAGAGTAGAATTTTAAATAAAATCTACTTTATTCACAATCACTCTGTCAGAAAAGACATAGAAATGACGAGTAGATGAACCAAAGAACAATTTTTTGTTTAGACAACATTGATATAATTCATCACAAGATTTAGGAAACATTATAATTAATGATTATATGTTAGATCGATGCAGCCAACAATTAAAGTTCTTCCTACTTAATCTAAAGCAGTTCTTCATATGTTCTCTTAGTTATTTCTAATTATTTATTCATCAACGAAGATTAATTTACAAGCACTTTCTTTTTTTTCTTAATTCTGAGTTATTCCTCTGTTTTTTCTAGTCTTTACTATGTTTCTTCCAATTACTCTTTTATCTAAGGAAATTCAACTACTTATTTATCAAGTAAAGCAATTTTTTGTAAAGATTACTCAAACTAACTTCTAATTACATTATTATCCTAATATGAATATCCTTACAAATTACTTCAATTAAATTTATTACTTTATCTTTTGCCTCCTATAATTCTTATTCATATTTAAATTATTCAACAAAAAACTATTCTAATTTTATTTGTAATTCCTTCATTTCTTTTTACAATTAATTCTACTTTTCTTCATATAATGCTCTTTCTGCTAATAAATCAGAACATTATGTCTTCCAAAATGATAATTAAGATGATAAAATCTCTTCATCAAAACTAGAATCCTATTTTTTTATAAATATAGAACATTCATAATTTTCATCTGTTTATGTATGAACATCTAATTTAAGTTTTTAATCTCCTTCTATTAAATAATTAGATTTTGTTATTAATTAAGATAATTCTAATCCAAGATTCCTTTTTGGTGTGAATATTCCACTAAAATTTCTTCTCTCTTCTCCATCATTTAAGGAATGTAACATCACTGAACTATTTTCTAATTAAGATTATTCTGTCTTATTATGTATATTATGTTCTAAATCTATTATTTCTTATTTTAATTTAAATATCTCTTATTCTCTTAATTTCAATTATCTATTCAAAGATTCATTCTCTGATCTAGCTTTTGAAATATCAAATTCTTATTAACTCTAAATTTTTTAATTTTATTTTTATAACTATTTTTGTTAATCTAATTTTTATTGTAATTAAACAACTTTATTATTCAACTCAATATTTTCTTCTTTTAACTTTGAATTTTATTTCAAGTTTTCTTTATTTTTGGCTTATTCTTGAAGAGATTCAGATAATTAAGTTTTTAATTACTCACAATATTTTTCTAATTTTTACAATTAAGTATATTTTCTATATCCTACTTCTAATTTATTTCTTAAATCTTTTACTATCTCTTCATGTACATCTTTTTCTTATTATTAATCATTTTTTAAAGTTTCAATAATTAATTACATTCCTTTAATATCATCCATTCTATTATGAATATACTCACAAACTTCACTAACAGAATTAGTTTGTGTAGTTTCATAAATTTAATTTAAATCATCATTTAAAGAATTTATAGTCTTTTATCTAGTTTCTAAATCTACTTAAACAATATCAATATCTTCTTGCCATTTTTTTTTCTCAATTTCATATTACTCTTTAAAAAGCATCAATTCTTAATTCAATTTTTAATTTTCATATTCTAATTCCTCAAATTTACGTAATACTTCATCATTTATCTTTGATTCTTGATCTAAAGATTCAGAAGGCTATTCCTCTTAAATTAATTTTAATAGAATCATTTATGTTTCTTATTCTAATTACATCATTTGAGTCACTAATTAACTTGACTATTATGAATTTATTGTTCCTTATAAAAGACATACCATCTAATATAAATAAGAATTATTTTATTTACCATTTCTAAAATACATTATTCATTTCTATTTTTTACAATCTAAAGAAAGTTAGGCTTTTATTAAAGTTTTAACTTGCTTTCAAATCCATTCCATAATTCCTTCATTACTTTCATCTACATTTCCCAATTTTCACCTTATTCCAATTAAATATCTATTTCAAATCTTTATTAAAATAATTACGAATACATATGATATAACATTTATTATAGAGCAATGCCAGTACTGAAATCCTATAGTTGGTTCAACTTAGGTTAAATAAATTAAAATGAATTGATCTATTTACATTCTTAATCTTACTAAATTTAATATAGATGAAGTTTGCTTATGATGTTTACTATTCATATAAAATTATTATTGAATTAATTTCAAATTAAAACTATAAATTATTTATATATATTATCAATTGAGGAAAAGTTCAGGGTTTCTCATATGATAATAAGGTTTTGCTATTTTCATTGATCCATGCAACATCACAAATAAATAAATTGGTCTTAATAAATATCTTATATAAAAAAACAATTAGTAAAAAAAACTTTACCAATTTTCTTTGATAACTTCTGCAATAACTGAATTTGCTGTTGTATTTGTTACAAATATGGCTACTCTCTCAATTACAACTAATATAAGCATTAATCCACTAATCAAAAAGACATATAAAAAATCCCTTTATTTTAAATTTATCATACTTCACTAAAAGTTTAACCATTCCTAATTTTAGTGGTTAAGTTTGCCACATCAAAGTACAAAATAACACAAAAATGATTCCTGTTATTATAATATGAAGGGCACTCATCCATAATATTTGAGTTTGACCTTATTTTGTGTCTTATGAAATTTGATTCATAGTTGATGGTTCAATAAATGACGACCAAATCAAATCAAAAAGTAAAAAGACATAAAATACTCCCAATTTAATATAGAGTGCTCTTAATTCTGACTATAAACTCTATTTGTTAATAATATTTACTCTCTCATTTAATTTATGAATTCTAATAATTAATTATTTAAAATTAAATTATCTATAAAGAATGAAAAATCATATCAAGAAAAATTTTAAGTCTTTAATAAAGGCTTTATTCATTCTTAAATTTCTATGATTTTTCATTCTCAAAAATGATCCTCATCACCTGATTAATAACTAAAATGAAATAAGTTTTAAGAGATGCATTTTTTTTGTTATTAATTGAAATTATTTAAATAATATTATAGAACTGAAACTGAAAATTCATTTTAATTTGCCTTTTTTATATCAACCTGAAACTTTCAAGAAAATTTTAATTTATTATATAAACTTAAGAGATAAATTTGCTGACTTAATTTAAGATAATTTTAAATTAAGCAGTTTTAATTTATTTATAACAAATAAAAATGATTAATGTAAATTTTCGAAAACCTTAAAAAACAAGACCAAAAAGCCAAGCAAATCATCGACCATTAACATCAATTTCAAACGAAAGAAAGACTAATACAGAATAAAAATCATTTGATCTGCATACATGGGTAGATTTTGAAGATCAAATCAAAAGAATGACAATTAAAAGTTTTCATTCATCTATTGAACATAAACCAAAATTATAAAAAAAATAAATCCACAGTCAAAAATAATAATTGTAAGCTTAATTTAGAGAATTGATAAACGACGTGCTTTAAATGAACTTGAGAAATGACCTTTATAATAGATTATCAAAATTTATTTGATTATTTTTATTNGATAACTTCTGCAATAACTGAATTTGCTGTTGTATTTGTTACAAATATGGCTACTCTCTCAATTACAACTAATATAAGCATTAATCCACTAATCAAAAAGACATATAAAAAATCCCTTTATTTTAAATTTATCATACTTCACTAAAAGTTTAACCATTCCTAATTTTAGTGGTTAAGTTTGCCACATCAAAGTACAAAATAACACAAAAATGATTCCTGTTATTATAATATGAAGGGCACTCATCCATAATATTTGAGTTTGACCTTATTTTGTGTCTTATGAAATTTGATTCATAGTTGATGGTTCAATAAATGACGACCAAATCAAATCAAAAAGTAAAAAGACATAAAATACTCCCAATTTAATATAGAGTGCTCTTAATTCTGACTATAAACTCTATTTGTTAATAATATTTACTCTCTCATTTAATTTATGAATTCTAATAATTAATTATTTAAAATTAAATTATCTATAAAGAATGAAAAATCATATCAAGAAAAATTTTAAGTCTTTAATAAAGGCTTTATTCATTCTTAAATTTCTATGATTTTTCATTCTCAAAAATGATCCTCATCACCTGATTAATAACTAAAATGAAATAAGTTTTAAGAGATGCATTTTTTTTGTTATTAATTGAAATTATTTAAATAATATTATAGAACTGAAACTGAAAATTCATTTTAATTTGCCTTTTTTATATCAACCTGAAACTTTCAAGAAAATTTTAATTTATTATATAAACTTAAGAGATAAATTTGCTGACTTAATTTAAGATAATTTTAAATTAAGCAGTTTTAATTTATTTATAACAAATAAAAATGATTAATGTAAATTTTCGAAAACCTTAAAAAACAAGACCAAAAAGCCAAGCAAATCATCGACCATTAACATCAATTTCAAACGAAAGAAAGACTAATACAGAATAAAAATCATTTGATCTGCATACATGGGTAGATTTTGAAGATCAAATCAAAAGAATGACAATTAAAAGTTTTCATTCATCTATTGAACATAAACCAAAATTATAAAAAAAATAAATCCACAGTCAAAAATAATAATTGTAAGCTTAATTTAGAGAATTGATAAACGACGTGCTTTAAATGAACTTGAGAAATGACCTTTATAATAGATTATCAAAATTTATTTGATTATTTTTATTACTATTAGTTATTAAAAAAAGTATAAGTTTCTTTTCTATATTTATTAAATTTATTTTTGACTCCTGTTTGAAACTGAATTAGATTCTATTATTACTAATTTGCTTTAGTAGTTGGATCAAGAATAAACTCATTTGGAAATACATATTTGCAGAGCTTGACCAACTATTGTTTTTTTAATAATTTCTTCCAAAAATTGTTCTATAAGGTAAGATATTTTTAAATATATTTAGATATATTTTCTAATTTTAATTAATTTTTACAAAAACAAAGGTTATTTTAATCACTTATTAAAGTAAATATAGCTGTGATTAATGAGAATTATATTGACTAAAAAGGTGTAAAGAAAGAAATAATAACACATTTTTCTAAAGTAAAACAATAGATAGAATACAATGTTGTGAAGCAAATAAGTTTATTAAGATGAGAAAAAGATAGTTTTTATGTTTATATTTAATATTATAATCAATCAAATTTTAATTTGTGTCAAAGAAATTAATTTAATTTGACATTTTGATTTATCTGTTGGTGTTTATAACGGGGTTAATAAAAATAATTGATTAATATTTAGAATTACTAGAAAACTAGTGATATCTCTTTTTATACTAAGTATAATATCTGATGTAATAACATTTGATAGTTCTATTCATGGTGTTTTGACCAATTGGATGATTGGTGCTATTGGAATAAAGAAGATAAAAAATATTATAAATGGGATTTAAAATGCTCTAAATTTTCAACTTAAACATTTGTAATGTTACAGTTTGAGATACATAATAAGATAAATCTTGTGAATAATAGGATCCAGAATTTAAAGAAAGGAACTTATTTTTAGGAGCATTTGTTCTCTTATCCTTAGTTGCATGATATGATAATTTATTTTCAAAGAATTATATATAATTTTTATTATTTTTTCATTTCAATACCAGATTTAATAAACATTTATTTAAATTATTTTTTTAACCATTAAAATGATTTTTAAAGCTTGAATGAAAAACAATCTCTTAATTCTTATTATTTAAAAATATGTTTATCTATAAATTAAATTAGATCAATAATTTTAAAATTTTTTATATATGTTTTTTTTATAAGAAATTTAATAGATTATATTAAATTTATCCCATTTCATTACTAAACTTTTCAAACATTAAAAAAAATTTAATTAATTATGTTATAAATGAAAAATGTAATTAATAATAATGCTATAGAAAATTTTTATTTTAATATCACTGTTTTATTGTATGAATTAAAAGGAATTCTTTTTCCGCTCTCAAAGTAACTGCAACAAAATAAAATAGTTAGATTTCAGAAAGTATTATATTTCCAGGATTGGCCAAAAATAATTTTAAGTAATATTATCCTATTGAAAATGAAAAGAAAAAAGTTGGTGTTAATAAAGAACCCTTTTGATAGAATATTTAAATTTTAAGAGATAAATAAAGTTGATAAACTGAGAATTTTGTAGGATTCGTCTCTAGAAATTTTTAATAATATTAATAAATTTATAAAATGAAATATATAAAATAATATCAAGTTTGCAATTAATCTAATTATTATTATTACTTAAAGATTTTAAATTAAAATAAGTAAATACTCTTTAATTTTTCAAAATTGTTATAAAATAAAAATAAATTATTTGCCGATTTTAAAGATAATGAGGTTCTTTTTGTTGTATTATATTTTTTATAAATTATAATTTAATAATTTTTTATTTATAGTGATTTAAATTGTGCTCTTAAAATGAATAGAGATGATTTATAAATACATGTATTCTTGAGTAGAATAATATTATTAATATTAGTTGCAATTAATAATTATTAAATTTTTGATAGAAAATCAAAAGGGTAATTTTTAGATTAAATGATATCATATAGAAATCAATAATATTTTATAGAAAGAATTATATAACAAGGAATAAATAATGAGTATCTATATTTATCTTTAATAATAATATATGGGTTGATAATATAAAATTATACAATGAGAAATTAATGTTATTCGAATATTATGAGTTAGTTAAATAAACAAAAATTTGAATTAAATTGAAAATAGAATGCAATCAAACAAAGGGCATAAATTAGATGAATTACTCACATGTTTTATATGTCTATCAAACCTAACAAATCCTCATATATGTCCATGTTGTTCAAAATTATGCTGTTATTCTTGTATTACAAAATGGTTAACAGAGAACAGACAGGTTTATAAGTTCTTTTTAATTAGAATAGTGTCCACATTGTAGATCTTCTTTGAGAATTTAATAATTAGTAAATTGTAGGTTTTTAGAGGATATAGTTGCATAAAATGATCCATGTCCCCTCCATAATGCATAATTATAATATTATTGTGTAACATGTGCACATCCTATATGTTCTGAATGTGCAATGTTTTCTGCTCATAAAATGCATGAGTTTGAACATATTTAAAAGGTTTTTGACTCAAAAATAAAAGATGTGAAAACAAAAATTGAAAATGTTTAAGAATAATTGAAAACTCTAAAACATTCAGCAATAATAATAGATGAATTAATGGATGAATTGAATCGTAGTAAAGATGAAAGAGTTCAAGAGATTTAAGCATATACAGAATAACTATTATAAAAATTAGAATAAACACATACAGCTAGAATGGGTAATCTATAAATGTAAAGATAAAGATTAAATGATAAGATATTAATAGCATCTGCAGAATTAGATAATATCTAATAATAAATAAAAGGATATTAAAAAAGTAAAACAATAATGACAGCATAAGAATTATTATAAAAAATTGAATAAGTGAATGTTGAACCAGAATAAATTGGTGGTATACCAATGAATTTTCAATCTGAAATAATTCCTTAATATGTTTGTGATACTTTTGAATTAAATACATTCAATTAAAGTGATGAAATTGTATATTCTGATCATTTAATAACAAATGGAATAAAATGGAGATTGAAGATTTATCCACATGGAAATGGAAATGCTAAAAATATATACATTTCTATATTTTTAGAAATGGATTCTAAATATTCAGAGATTAGAAGATATGAATATAAAATAGAAATGATAAATTAAAAAAATGGATAGTCAGTTATAAGAGAATTTGCTAGTGATTTTGAAGGTGGAGAATGTTGGGGATATAATAGATTCTTTAGAATAGACTTATTATAAAAAGATGGATATTTAGTAAATGATAAACTTTTATTTAAATATTATGTTAGAGCTCCTAATTATTATACTTAATGTTTAGATATGCAAAGATATATTAAATAATTAGAATCTTAGGTTAGTATATAATAAACTACGAGGAAAATAGAATAATAATCATCAATTTAAAAATTAAAAGAGGAAATAGAATAATATGCAGAAAAAATTGAATAATTAGAATAATCATAACCAAGCAATAATTCAGAAATTTAAGAAAGTGAAGATGATCATCTTTAATTATAATAATAGTTAGATGAAGCAAGTAGTTTATCTAGTAATCATTCAGATTATTATTTTGATGGTTAATATTAAGAAATACCAATCTAATAAGAAAGTTTACCAATAAGAAGAAATCTTATATAGAAATTCAATTAATCAAGCTTTGTTAATACATCTTAAAATTTAAGAAGTCCCTTATCAGAGTTTAGTGAAAATTTATATTCTTGAATTATTTGCTTTATAATTTAATATTAAATATAATGTTTTAAGAATAATAATTCGGAAGATAAGATAAATCAACCATTGAATGTAGAAATTTAAAAAGATATGGAAATTGTAAAACTTCTGGCTGTCCATTTTCACATAATGCAGCATCTGTTAAACCAAAAGTCTTTAGAAAGGTATTTTAATAATAATAAATTGGCCCAACATCAGATCCAAATTAGTAATAAAACAATTTTAGAAATAATTCTTGGAATCAGAATAATTATAATAACTTTTAAAACAATCAAGGCAAAAGAGATTTCCAATTTTCTAGATTAAATTAAAACAATAATAATTAATAAGATAGATTTCAACAAAATAATAATATGAATTACAATAATAATAATAATAATAATAATAATAATCAATATTAGCAAACTCACAATTCATAATTTTATGATAACTAACAAAAAAATCACCTTTAATATTAAGGTTTGTAACAGTAACCTACAATCGGTCTTTAATTACTCTATAAAATGAATTTCGAGAATCTTAAAGGTTTTTTAAGAATAATCAATATTAATAATAACTTTTATTTTGGTCTCATAAATAATAAAGGCATCACCTTTTATCCATATAACGAAACCAATGGAATCGATATTTTATAAAAAATTGACTTTGTCATATAATATGAAGTAGAAGATGCATTTATTTAACAATACACTTAATAAAATAACCAAAAAGAACTCTATTGTTTAGTTATTGTGATAACTGAATAATCCTTAAAAAGTGTTTTACTTTTTCCAGATTTTTTTAATTCTTAAACTAATTTTGTAAAAATATCAGACATCTCAAATACGTACTTAAAATATATACATGTAAATATATTAAGTAGAGAATTATACACTTTTAGTTCAGATGGTATTCTATTTGCTTATTGAAGGATTTATCAGGGTTTTCGACCTTTAAAGCACTCAAAATTCATTAAAGCATTATGCTTAATAAACACAAGTCTTTTAGTCCATATTTTTCCTTAATGAAACATCAAAGGGAAGCAATTTTCTTATTTCAACCAAAAATGGAAACATTTATCATTATATAAATCAATAATTTACTAAATTACATTCTTCTACAGATTAAACATTATTAGATGTAACCATTGAAAATGATTCTAAAAGAATTTATTTAGTTACTAAAAACTAAGAACTTTATAATATTTATATAATAAATGAAAACAATTCTTTTGAAGGTCCAATATATACTCATAGATATCCAATTTTAAAATTAGTTGGATTCAAAGATTTTGAATAAATTAATTGTTTATTAGTCTCTGATAATAGAGGTTAATTAGACATTTTAAGAGAATAATCACCTAGTGATTCAATCAAATTTTTAAGATAATCACAATGTAATAATTATCATTTATATTAAGATAAATTATAAATGGGAGAAGTAAAGAAAATTATGTTTTTTAAAATCTCTAATATTAATCAAGTTGTTGAAAAAATGTTATTTGTTTAAAGAGAAAAAGATCCATAAAAACAAGAATCTACTAATTTTGAATTTTATAGATTTTATTAGATGTTGTGAATTTTATAAAACCATATTAAAAACAATTTTATATATGATAATTTATTTAGCTGAAAATTCATTATTATCAAATTATTTAGTTAAATATTTTTTAATTTATTTGGATAGGTTAAATTAACTTACTTCTTTCTGAAGTTCTTCAATTTTAAGTGAAATTTTAATTCAATTGTGGTTTGATTTTTAATATGATAAATAATTTTTTATTTAAATTTCTAGTTTAGGATAATTATATATTTAATTTAAATGCATATGATTTGTGGTATTTCTTTCTGTACATCTAAAAGGTATGAACTACTAACAGAATAAAACAGTTTAAAAGTATAAGATTATTGAATGTTATAAAACTATCATTTAAATAATAAATATCTCTTTTAGAAAGTCATACTTTAAGAAAAGTTTGTTTAACAATAAAGATTATCATTTTGTTACATAAGATATCTTTAATGATATCAGATTAAGAATAAAGAAAATTTAAAAGATTTCAAGGTTTTAGGTAGAATTGAAATATATTTATAAGAAATTTTTAATTTCAACCAATTTATATAGTTATACTTTAGAATAAATAAAACTTTGCATTTTTATAATAGTTTATAAAGATGATTCATTAGATACTCCTTTTACTTCTTTTCCTGACAAAAACATAATAGAATTATAGTAGTACTAATTAAATTAATGATTTTTATTATGTATGTCTTCATAGTAAAAAATCAAGATGATGAAAAAATAAAGAATATTTCAAATAATACTACGAAGTAGAATAAAAAACGAAGAGATATTAATTTAATAAATCATTCTACTCTTAATAATTTGATTTACATTACAGAGTAAGGTGTAAAAAAAAGGAATATATAAAGATATTTAGATTCAATAGAAATAAGATTTGCAAGGTCACAATGTAAAGTATTGTGAAATATGTAAAATTGATTTATTCTAAAAATTATTAATTTAAATTTTTGCAAATGTATTATATTAATCTGATAAATTCTGCTTAAATTTTTATACAATAATTTCCTATAAGGAAAAAATGAGAAAATTTAGAGTTTAAAAATGTTGATGTCAATAGAGATTCAATTAATAAATTAAGAAAAGAAAATAAATAAAACATTATGGGTATTCCACTATCAACTATATTTGATTCATGGTTTTCAAAGAAAGAAATGAGAATATTAATGGTTGGGTTAGATGCAGCAGGCAAAACAACAATTTTATATAAATTAAAGTTAGGAGAGGTAGTTAATTCAGTTCCTACAATTGGATTTAATGTGGAAAAGGTTGAATATAAAAATATTAACTTTACTGTTTGGGATATAGGAGGTTAAGATAAATTGAGATTATTATGGAGACATTATTTTACAGGATCAAAAGGAATTATTTTTGTTATAGATTCATCTGATAAAGAAAGAATTAATATAGCAAAAGAAGAATTAATGAGATTGATGAGTGATGAAGAATTAAGAGATGCTTCACTATTAATTTTAGCAAATAAATTTGATATATCTTAATTCTCTGTTGATGAATTAATATCAAAATTAGAGTTATAAAGTTTAAGAAGAGAATGGTTTGTTTAGACTACTTGTGCAATTACTGGCGATGGACTTTATTAAGGATTAGATTGGTTATCAAAATAATTTAAAAAAAGAAAAAACTGACTAATATAATATTTGTATTTTATTATTAGATTTACATAAACTTAAAAATTGTTATAAATATTATCTATCTTAAGTATTCATATTTATTTATGAAAAATTGATATGAGAAAAACATTTAAATAATTTTATATAATCACAATATATCAAATTATATTTGTTCATTAAAATATTATATAAATCGATTTATTTAATATTTAATTGAATAAATTGATTGAATGTTAAGCAAAGAATTCTATTAAAAAAAGAAAAGTTTATTATGTTTTTAGAATTCATTAAATATAATTAAATATAAGAGAAATTGTTGATAATTAATACTTTTTTTATCAATAAAAATGAGAATTAAATTCGAAAAGGAATAGATTATTTAATAAATGAACTAATTGAATAAGTGTAATGTATTAGTATATGAAATAAATAATTAAATTATATTAGAAAATAATTTAATGAAATAAATCTAAGAGAAGACATATAAAGAATTTACTGATATAAAACATCATATAGGTAATCTACAGAGTAATTAACTTTCGGATGAAGAATTATCTCTTCTATATGAGAGATTGAAATATTAATTTACAAATCTTAATTAATAAGTTGCAGTTACTTAAACTCTGTAGGGAAGTAGTGAGCCATAACCAATTCATAAAAGAAAAAAAATAAAGCGAGATAAACCATAGATATAATAATAAGGTAAATCAATAGCACTTCCTAAGATTTTGAAACCACCACCTATAGAATAGAGAGTAAAGAAAATAAAAGGGAAATTGAAATCAGCACATATTTATTAAGCAAATGTATTAAATAGAGAATTAAGATTAAATCCATTTTCAGATTTACCAACAATTTTAGATGATGACTTAAATAAGGGAGTTAGTAATTTAATATAATCTGGTTTAATACCAAGAGATGTTGATGTAGGTCCAGCATTTAAGAGAGGAGATGAATTATTATCTATATCTTAAGTATAAGTATAGAATCCAACAGAGAAAACTAAATATTATAATACAGTATAATCAGAGAATCTATCAAAATACAAAGTAGCTCCTTAAAAATAAGTAGCTAAATAAATAGCTGATTATTCTTCATCATTTGTTGAGAGATAATCTGTTCCAAGAGAAAAGATGTAATAGACTAAAGCTGTTCGAAAAGCTAAATATATTATTGAGATTAAAAATGGACATTATGTACCGGATTTTCATTATCAAATAAGACATTTAATGATTTGGGGAGGAATTGTTCATATTTTAAAAAAGTTAGAAAAAATAGCATCAGGATAATTGGATGGAGATAGAATAGCTTAATTAGCATAATCTTAATTCAAAGTTCATTTAATTGAATTATACGAATGTTATATTTCTAAACCAATAATGGAGAGATTGTATATTTTGAATAAAAAACAATTTTCATTAGATAGTGCAATTTTGAAAATATAAGCAACTGTTAGAATGTTTGTTGCTTATAGGAAATATAGACATTAAAAAAGAATTGTTTAAAAAGTTATTAGAATATAAAAAGAATTTAGATTAAAATAAACATATGTTTATACAATTAATCAAATTAAAAAGAATATGGGACAATTAATTAGTACATTAGAAAATAGATAAAAATAATTCCTATTAGAAGATTTAAATTAAAAGAGAATTGAAATTCATATACCATCATATTCAATTAAATAATATTAAAGATTATCAATGAGCCATTTTAAAAATAGAGAAGGTTTATAATTGACAAGACTATTTGCTTTAAAAGATTAAAATGTAAGTATAATATTTGTATGTTCACCTCTATAAGAAGAAATTATGGCTTATTTTTATAAATTATTAGAAGTAGCTGGTATAAATCCTGAAGGTCGATTATTTTTTATTCATCCAGAAAATATAAATAGATTTCCATAACATTATTCATTATCATTATTGTTATATCTAAGTCCAAAAGCTATTCATTAAATTTCTGAATTGATAAAAGGATAATTATCATATATTGTACCAATGAGAGTAGGAAAAGAAGAGTTTTTAATTGCTGAATATCTTAAAACAAACATATATTCTGGTCCTTATGAAATAATTGAGAAATTCAAAGAAATCTGAAGCCATAGAATTATTTAGATAATTGTCATTTCCTATTGCTCCAGAATATCATAAATTTATTAGCAAAGATGATTTTGTAGATAAATTAACTGTATTGATTATGAAAAATCTGACAGTATAAAAATGGATGTTTAAAATAGACATTGAATTTAATGGCAGAGGAACAGCATGGTTTACTTTAGAAGGAGTTAAATAATTTATAGAAATCAAAAAGTTTCCACATAGTATTGAATTTAAAGTATTAAGAGAATTAGTTTAAACAGTATAATTATTATTATATAATATTAGTTATTACCAATAAAAACAGTTTTAGCATTTCCATAAATGTTTACATTTGATGAATATTTAGATAATTTTATTAAAAATGGTGGAATAGTTGAAGCATATCCAAATGCTTAAAAAGTGTAAACAATAAATATCTAAGTGAATTTGGAGAATTAAGGATCATATTAAATATTGAATACATCAACAAGCATAGTAATAAAAGAGTATTAATAAAAGATTATTAATTTAGAATGTCAAAAATTGGTTGTATATATCCTTAGAATGTATTAAATTTGAATGTTGATTCTCTTATATAACCATTAGTAGAAGAATTATATAAATAAAATGTGTTTGGTTATTTCACATTATCTTTATTATCCTTTAATGGAGCTTTTTATACTAAATCATTAAAATTTGGAATGGATGAATATATAGGAGCAACAGTATTATCAACAGCAATGGATACTGATTAATTCACTTATATACCATTTGTTTATCATCCAGGAATAGCAGAATAAAAATTTAATGATTTATTTATTAAATGTAGAAAAGAAGGAATTTCTTTTGATATTGAAAAAAAAGTTGGAACTTTAATTTGGTTATCAGATTAAATAGAAAAAGGAGTTCTATCTTTACTATGTTTAGGTGCTCCAAAAAAAGCAGTAAAATTAACTACTGATGCATTGAATTTTTTGTAATAATTTGGTGGTAATATTATGAAAACTAATAATCATTAAAAACAGGATACATTTTACTTTATAGATATAGTTAGTAGATTAAGATAATTAAATAGTGAAGGTTAATAATGATATTTATATTGTCATGATTATAATTCTAGTGTTACTCCTTACAATGTTTTCTCTAATAAACCAACACGATTCATTAGTAATTTTTGTTTTTCTTCCATATTCATTTTTGCCTTCAATAATTACATATATTCTTTTGTTAATTTATATTGTTCTTCCATAAACATAACATTATCCTCTTTAAGATTACGATACTTTTTTTTTAGATTATCTCTAAAATGTATTTCTATATTTTTTAATTCTTATTCATATCTTTAACTTAAAGAAGACATTTCTAATCTAATTTAATTAGCTTAGTCTTTTAATTAAGCTATATTCTTTTTACTTTCATTAATATAACTCTAGATTAATATAGTATTACATTGACATGTTTTGTAGGATGATCATAAACTTCTAAGAAATGTATTTAAGAATTCTTATTTTAATGATCATCTACATTAAAACCATATCTCAAATTATTTACAACAGGTGTTTAACTATGGATTGTTGAGAATCTGAAATCACTTAAGCCTGTTGATCTAAATCTGTTTAATTTATGTTAAGTTGTTTTAACAGCTCTCTATGTTTATAAAGGAGTATCTATATAAATATTGTAGATACTAGAATCTTAAGATTTAAAATATAACAGTTGTCTAATATTTATTTCAGAACTCATCTTTTTATATTTTATTAAAGTAATTATGCTATTAATTTTTAATCATAATTCAATCAATGTCTGATATAAATTTATCATTCATCCAAATCATCTCAATTCTATGATTTTTTTAATTATATTACATCAATCAGATCTATAATCATCAATAATTGTTACTCTAAAGTAATTTTGATATTAATACTTTATATCATTTTTTAAACAACTTAATCCTTAAAATCTAATTTAATAAATA